TATCTGCATAAATGATACCTTAAAAGAAACAGCAATAACCAAGCATGTTTTTAAAAGTGTTTGAACAAAAACACCACCTGCCATTTTTTTTTAAATGGCGTCAAAAAACCGGTTTCGTTAATTATTCATCATTTTCGTAAACTTTAAAAGCCAGTAAAAAATATTTCCCACGATACAGATGCTTAGAACATGTTTTATTAGACTGTGTGCACATTACTTTATTGAAATAAAATAAAAAATAATTGAGTTATTATTTGAGCTGGTCTTTATTAGCCCATACCTCTAAAATTATTGGCTTTTTCTCAAAAAATCTTAAAATTTAAATTAAAAAAAAATTTTTAGACTTCGTCTTAGACAACCCTACCTAAAATGCTTCTAAATAGTCTATGCTACCTTCACATTAAAGCTTTGCATCGACCTTCCAAACACCCTGTATACAGTAAGAAGGTTAACTACAACTGTCACAATTTCATTAGTCTATCATAATTATTAATACAAAGATCAAAAAGTTCCTTTGATCTGACAGGACTTGTTTGTTTGTTTGACAGAATTTTTTGTGTTCAATCTTTGTATTATAATTTTATAGCACACTAGTGGAGTAATGTCACAAAAAGAAATAACTATCATGATAATAAAACATCATAACTTTCAATACAGTCAATATTCATTAGTTTATGTTATGCCCAATTTATGTAATCCTAACATTTAGTAGTGTAAGTAATGTAATCTTAGTGACAAACTTAGTGACCCAACAGTTAGCACTACAACCACTGGATATAGAAGCGTGGTGCAATTGAATTCGGGAAATTAAGTTTGGTTTGGGTATGCTGAATGGTACCCCAGAGAACACATTATATTATAATGCTGCACCCCCATTCCATAGTAATAAAATGAAAATGAAAAATAGTTTATTTGTACCTGTGTAATACTGTGTACTTTAACACAAAGACAATATAACCTGGCACCAGTATACTGTGAAGTCGTTTCACTAAAATATAGGAAATATAAACAGATGGTTTACTTACCAAAATACTTCTTTACATGCGTTACATTTCATGGGCAGGAAATCTGAAAGAGAAGGTTAAATAAATGAAAGACTAATTTAACGCACATTTATTTGTTACTAAATTCGGCGAGGTTCTAGAAGATACGGAAGTGACTGTGATTGATTATATATTCTTATGGAGGTCTACGTGTGAAACAGTTAACTTGTGCCAGATAACGAAAAATTCAGGACTCTTTAAAAAAAATTCTTCTTTTTGCTTAATGGCGCTACCCTTTAGATTCCGCCAGCATCGAGTTTTCCGCTTAGTAATTTTAATTTAAAAAAGTTAATTGTAGCCCAAACTTAGTTTAATTAAGTGAGGAAAAAAGACAATTACTGTAGAAGTTAGCACTCAACGATCTTACCAAGTCTGTTGCAAGATTTGTAGCAACAATTCTTCCCGATATGAGGAAACTCCATAGTTCTACACAAAAAAATAACTGCGCACAAATACAAAACACTTCCTACCAATATCGTTGCAAAAGCAAAATGATGATCTATAGCCGTTTCTCAATGTTTTATCATAACATATCAATTGCAAGTAATCGTCATCCACAATGAAACGACATTTTTTATTAATTCGCATTTCTTTGTCCTAAATATTAGTTAATATTAGTAGTAAAAGTGAAATAGCGCATAAAATTTTATAGGTATACATGAGGTATCTCTTTTTTACATTTTACGTTCTGTTAAAATGTAATTACTCACAGCTCATTGGTCTAAAAAATGACATCAGTTGTCATTTTATACTCTCGACCAATGGTTGGTCAATGATGCATGCAATGATAGTGTTGGTCATCATGGAAAAATTTCCACTTTCAAAAAATCATATTTTTCAGAAAAATAAATATTTTTTAACATTCAAATCAAAAGTTGAAGTTACTGAACGAAAACGATGGAGCCAACAGAAGGTGGTGTTGTGGTTGTTGGAGGTTTTTCGCTGTTGTGAAATAAATCATTAAATCATTTTAAATTTGGAAAACGTCAAATGTGGAAAATTAAAGGAAAAATATTGGAATATATACGGAAAATACTTATTTTTCTGTAAAATGAGATGTTTTCAAAATGGAAATTTTTTCATGACCCAACATACAATCTAATCATTTCATTACAGAATAGTACCTAATCACAACAAAACGCGAATGTTTGACCTATTTGTCCTATATTTGTTTGACACCTGTCAATGTAATGTCGTTTGGTACGTACATACCGTACCGTCGGGTATCTTGTCAAGTGAAACTGAAAATAAATTAGAGAAATCTTTATCTATCTAAAGACTGGGACGGCCACAAGCCAATATATTTTTAATTTCCTTGTTTTTTCTGTTATTGAGTGGTCCGAACTTTGGATCACTATATGACCTTGAGTGTCATTGAAAGATTAATAGCTAAGATGAGTAAAATTATCCCCTCTGCCGCTAAGATTCTATCCGGAAACACTGTTACGGTATGTAATGTCTTGATCCTTTGGGTTTTTTCAACTGCATACTCTACCATTTGTAATTATTGTATAATCAATTTATTCTACTTTTAGAAAGCGGCCGCCCCAGTCGTAACATCGTCAAAAGCTAAATACAGTACGAAAAATGAAGCTACATTCGAAACCAAAGTAAGTACCTGTTGTTAGAATCTGATATAATAACATGTTACTGATAAATTCCTTAGTCAGTCTCTAAGGTAAGTTTTTTTTCACATAAAGTACCTTAAGCAGGTAGTATGAGTTAGTCCATCGCCCTTATATAACCCAACCTTCAATGTGGCAAGTGTAGCTGTGTTGACGTTCGCACTGGATGTATGATACGTCTATGTAAACAAAGCTTTGTAATTGGTAAATAAACATGGGTTTCTTATTTACACTGGGTTTTTGCTCAAAGATCGAAAATTATATTATTTAATACTTCAAACTTCAATTAAGGGTCAAATGTGGAAACAGAATCGAAATTTGTTTGAAAATATACTGAACACAAACTTTTATAACTCGGAAGTTACAAAGAATTACCTATACCTGGCTTCGGCAACCTTTTGAGTTGGAAGAACCAAAAATTACAATTTACAAAATGTCACAGTTTTTAAAGAGCCACTAAAACTTTTCTTGCCAATATAAGAGTACTTGCTTAAATAAAGGTATTTGATTTAAAGTATTTTTGATTTTGATCTGTGTTGAAGTGTCAATAGTTGCATTGATTTTATTGCAATATTGCTTTAGATTTTCAAAATGAAGTCATTCACCGCTGTCAATGTCTTCTGCTAAAGTAATTAAGTTTTTTTTTTTTTTTCAAAACAAACCATTTGTTCTATCAGAGCATAGCCTGGGTTTTTCCTTGCCTTGCAGTTTTAGATTCAGCTCTTTTAATTTCACTGTGATATCCACTTAAAGTTGAATTTTTGCGACCATTTGTTGTCTTCCCGTTCAGGGTGATTAATGCTAAACTAAATGTATAAAACATTACACAAGAAAAAGATGACTATTATACATGAAAATTATCTTCAGTTCTATAGCAGTTAGATCAGTGGTGGTTAGACAGAAAGATGCATAATTACCCACATAATGAGTAGTTAAAAAGCTATCAATGTAAGTTGAGTAGTGTGTTTTTTACTGATGGTACAGTAATAACCATATTAAATAAAGAAATAGAACAGTAGCAAGAACATGAATAAACATAAGTTTTAGCAATTTTTTGTTTATTTCCAGCCCTTTAAACTCCACAAACTGGAGAAGGGCCCAGCTACAACAGCAACACTCACTTCAGAAGACGCACTTGACATGTATACAAAACTTGCAATGCTGCGTAGACTAGAGACTGCAGCTGGCAATTTGTATAAGGAAAAGATCATCAGAGGATTCTGTCATTTGTATTCAGGTATAGTATACAGCCTGTCCAAAATAATTCTGAACTTGTCAAGAAATGACACTCTGAAAGTGTTGGTATGACCATCTTTAAAATAGGCCTCATTCACTCAAATTGTAAGCAATTTTGTGAAGAACTCTACACTGGTGATGGGGGAGTGGAACACTTATATCTGGGTTAAATATTGACACGTCATCATGTTGTTGGACATAGTCTGTTTGGGGCTAGATAGCTTGAATCTTTGGTCTTATCCACTCTGTCTTAGAATATCTTTGTTTTCTGGTTTCTTGATCCACATACTTGCATACACATATGCAACAGAACATACATTTTATTTTCTCAACTGTCACTAGGAAATTTTATTATCATGACAAAAGAAACAATACAGAAATAAAATCTGGGTTATGGTCGTTTTAATATGATATACATATAATAAAAGCGTGCAGGTCGATTATTCCCAAAGTATAAAAATAATCCTGTTTGTCTTTTTGGTTACGAGAGTGGAACCCATTTAGGCAGGTTGTAACCAAAGTTTTGACTTTCCAGAAATGAAATAATAATAGTTCACATTATACAGATAGTATCTACGTACCTATTTACATAATGCTTTTTCTTATTGTAGACATACAGATTGTGTATGAAGTACACATTTCATAACAAACAAGACATGTGGTTAGATAAATGTAGAAAATTGACATGTATTTTTTTGTAAAGTTCCCCACTATTCATGTTTTAGACTATGGAAACCAAAGGACATGTTATATTGACATATCTTCGCCTTACTTTCTCAAACTCATATCTTAAAATGAGTGATTGTTCAGGAGAAGCAAAAAACTTCTAAGTTTATTTATTACACATTGAGGATTTTCATTTGGGTGCAATGTTTTAAGAATCGGTAAAAGTATACATTTAGATATAGTTGTGTGAAATCAGCCTGTAATTTAGTATATAAAACGCATTTTTTTAAGATACGAGTTTGTTGAATTGTGGTAACCGCTAATTTCAATTACTTTTGCGCTTAAGTTGCGTGTTTACTGCTTTCAAATTACCACAATTAACTGTAATTTCTTGATTTAATAATTAAATTAAACAACCGATTTTGTTAATGTAACTTAATATTTATTACGTAGGTAATACAGATAAACATTGAAAGAAATTAGGTGCGTTCATTAAGTTCGTAATAGAGTCCATCACTCGTGAGGCACATCATTATAAAAACTATGATAGTCTGCAGGAATCATATGTTTCAAACCTTGTAAATCGTTATATTTTGTGCAGGGTGTTGGTTCGTCGAGACAGCGTACCGGCAGTTGGCGCTTTTACTTGCCTAAGCGATAATATTGCAATCACATACGCTTTTTTTCTTCCCATGTCTGCGACCAAAAAGCATCAAAGATGTTCTTTCTCTCTGCTTCTGTAATTTCGTTGCATTGATTACCAAATTTTCTTGCACACGTTTCAGAATCTGGATTGTAAAGTTCTTGCTTTTCTTTTTCCGTTCCTACAGTGCTTTCATTTTCCTTTCTTTTAATTGATGAATATTCTTGTCCGCGCATTCTCTTACGTTTTAGTCTGTTCCTAGTCCAGTTTTATTTATTTCCTTGACTTTTTCGTGCTCTTTTCATTTCGATAAGTCCAGATGATTCGTCCAACTGTTTAGATGTTTGTCCATCGTTAGATGTCTGTGAGTCTGACACACACGGGTCATATTCGCTTACACTTATTGAAAATTCAGATTGATATGAAAGGCTCCGATTGATATGAATGGTTGGAAATTATAGGACTGCCGAACATGAACATTGGATCAAGTGCCATTTTCATTTGATCGCTCCATTTTGAAGTCAAATTTTAATAGAACTTTGAATGTAACTAGATTACATGATAATGCAATTCCATCGTTGCATTTATTGGTGAATAACTTTATATTTAATTTTGATTAAAATGGCTCTTACTTGCCTAGTAATAATAGCCTAGTATTAATCATACTTTGATTACAGTAAACTATACAAATTTGCAAACATAAAAAACAGTTTCAACATTCAAGCCTTTCATTTGCATGTCGATATTGATTTGATCTATGATTATGGTACAACAGTAAATCCGCCATTTGTGGTGGACATTTGTGTTTTAGGTAGGGACGTTTATTACGTAGATAGGGCAGCTCCTTTCCTTTATTTTTTTCCATCCTCTAAGGGTCGTATTCCAGAACTCTACTCAATACTCAAGTCAGGACTTGAGTATTGCAGTGAGCACTGAAAATCATACTCAAGTCCTTGCCATTAGGGTCCTATTTCCAGTGCTTGAAATCATACTCAAGTCTGCTCAAATCCTGACTTGAGCAATCCAGAACTCTACTCAATACTCAAATCAGGACTCGAGTATTGCAGTGAGCACTGAAAATCATACTCAAGTCCTTGCCATTAGGGTCGTATTTCCAGTGCTTGAAATCATACTCAAGTCTGCTCAAATCCTGACTTGAGCATTGAGTAGAGTTCTAGAATACGACCCTAAGATTCATGTAAACTTATTAGAGTAGCACTGTGACAGCTGTCAAAAACACATTTAAAGTTGATAAATTTGAAACAAAATCCGTATTATAAAGGCGGGGAGGCTACACAAAACTGGAAAAATTGGCATGTGGTCTACTATCCAAAAGAGTGGGTACTTCTGGTGGTGTAGATGTTTTAAGACAATTCATTCAATTGGTTCAATTTTAAAACAGGTCAAGAGGCTGTAGCAGTTGGTATGCGTGCAGCAATGCGAGATGTGGACTCAGTGATAACAGCATACCGTTGTCACGGATGGACACATCTCATGGGAATCAGTGCAGTTGGGGTTTTGTCTGAGTTGACTGGCCGTAAGAGTGGATGCTCCCGTGGTAAAGGTGGTTCTATGCATTTGTATGGACGGAACTTCTATGGTGGCAATGGCATTGTTGGCGCACAGGTATCTATCATGATGATTATTATTATTATTTTGGATATCTTTTTTATATCTCTTCCATAGCTAAAAAGATGAATTTAGAATTTCTGAATGGGAGAGATGGTATTCCCCGGTAATGGTACTGTCGGCCGAGATCAGGGACTCACGTTGAAAAACCGACGAACGATATGATTATTATTATTATTATATAATTAGGGTGACTTATTCAAGGCCTATACATCTATTACAGCCAGCAACAATTGACCAATAAAATTGTACAATTGGAGTCATGACCAACAGAATAAAAGAATTGTAAATTCTTAGCTCCAATTGTTTTTACCTTCTCTGGCTGAGGCATATATTTGCCCAAAAGTGAAAAACTATCTGTCATATATTGATAAAATTTGAAAGATAAATCCATCTATTTGTTTTGCTATGTGATAAAAGTATCATGCTTATGATATATTCTTATCGTATCTCTTCAGTTTAATTTGTTAGTGTGGCAATGGTATAAGGTAGTTTATTCTCTGGAACATAGTTTCCCAAAGTGGTCCCTACTGCCCACCAGAAGGCGCTGAAGAGTCCTAGGGAGGCGGATGGAGCCTCTGAAGCTATTGGGGGGGCCTTGATGCTGTCCGGGGGTGCTACCGCACTTGAAAAAAAGAAAACCTGAATTATCTATATAAACTACACTACATATAGGTATATATGTAGTGATTTTTTTGTGTTAAATTAATATAAAAAATATGTGTTTTTAATATTTTTAGTGGTGGAATTTTTTTAAGCGAAAAAGTTTGGGAACCTATCAGTGGCGAGGCGTGAAAATTTTCCTTGGTAAAGCCAAAGCTTTAATTTTTTGAAGAAACAAAAAACACTTGCTTTAACAAAAATTTATTTTTCCGTTAAAAAGGCGCCTTGGCGACACTTTAATGCAACACTTATTAGCAGACAAGATACTAGTTCACTTCATTTCACAGGTTAACTTATTCTACACATAAAATAAGTATAGTTTTTAAAGTAATTTACTACATAATTATTAATACAAAGATCAAACACTCGGAAAAAATTCCTTCGATCCGTCCGGATTCGAACTGACGTCTTCTAGCTTACCGTGCCAGACGCTATACCAACTGTTCAGAACATTTATGAGTCCAATTGCTGACTTTACTTACTGTTAAGGTAATAGACACATCAATATCGAAATCCTCCATTTTAATTAGTCAACAAATTCACGTCTGTAATCTCCGACTATACTTTATGGTAGAATTTGCGATCAAAAATGTAAACATGGTTGCCAATGATATAAATCCGTCGAGAAAAATTTCACCAATCGCGGTTTCGTTTTACCGTTAAATTGGTTAAACCCTCAAGTTTTACCGTTACTACTAAAAATGAAGTTGTTTCAAACACAAACAAATCATATTTTCTCTTAAGAATGTGAACTGCTACTTTTGACTCTCGGACTATCGTTCACATCGACTACAGTCGACGTTTGCAATTGAACTCTCAACTGCACGCAGTTTCGACTGCATGCACGCATTAACGGCAGACGTGCAGTCCACGTACATTTATAAGCAGCAGGCAAACTCAATCTTTCAAATCAAGTATTTCTCGCACTGATATCGAAAGAGTCATGTGCATAGAATTTAGTTTGTATTTGCGCGATCGACACCGTAATATATTTAAAATTGTTTCACGCTAAAAGGGAACTACCGTGATTTATCGATAACTGGACGATTTTTTTTAAAATATTTTAGGTGCCATTAGGCGCAGGTGTAGCGTTCGCCCATAAATATAAAGAAGATGGTGGTGTAAACTTTGCTCTTTACGGTGATGGAGCAGCCAACCAAGGACAGCTCTTTGAGGCTTACAACATGGCCAAACTGTGGAACTTACCTTGCGTGTTTGTTTGCGAGAACAATGGATATGGTAAGCATTCGTTTGCAATTCAACTTGCTATATTTTTGCTAGTAAAATATAAGTCCAAATAAAGCGCAGAATGAGAAATAATTATAAATTGAAATCCATGCAACATTTACTTTACTGGATATCATGATGTGTTTTTTACTATATGATGTTATATAACATATGGTGTTATTAAGTAAAGTCCCCACCAACGACACGGTTCGTCTTCTCATTCTTCGTTTGGGTCGAACATTGTTTGATAGAGCATTCGTTCGAGAAAGCCTTCATTCGATGGAACCAAAAAATCAAGCTATACGATCAAGGGGTCAATGGATCAATGAGTCTATCAATCATTCATCCTAATTGTTTCCTGGCATAGTGTCCATTACATGGTAATTTTGTAAGTTTAATCTGTTTTTCAGTATGTTATGATTATTTATGATTGCACATATAGTCATTTTGAATGCTCATACACACATCAAAAAAAGTTTGCGATCACTTCGAAAAACTGAAATCTTTTTTGTTACTGTAGATTATATTATGATTTTTTCTTCTTTTTAGATTCTTTATTTAAAAATAAATTAGAACATAAAACAATGACCCCGTTCAATTGTTTTTTCATATAAAAAGGCTTTCAGTCCTAGCTTACGCTCATTCAGAAATCTGATTTAGTCAATTATAAGCGATTCAAGATATTTTTCGCGGAAAGTTGTGATTGAAAAAATGCCAAGAGGATAATCAGAGGTTTTACGAGCTAGAATAGTAACTTTGAGGGAAGAAGGATACACCACGAGAGTAATAGCACGCAGACTTGCTATATCCCAATCCTGTGTCGTGGCTACGTTGCAGAGGTATCACGGAATGGGGAATTTAGCTGACCGACCCCGCAGCGGTCGCCCAACTGTTTTGACAGCTGCCCAAAAGCGCTATATTAGATTGCTGGCAGCCCGTGATCCAACAATCAACGCCACTAAAATAAAAGCAGAAGTCAGGGCCGCCTCTGGGCTTGAAGTTAGCACGCAGACCGTTCGCAATTGCTTGCACCAGGCTGGATTACGAGCACGGAGGTCTTGGTGAGCTCCGCTCAATTCCCGGCAAACGTCAACAACGAAGATTGCAGTGGGCTAGACTTCGGCAAAATGAAGAAGGTAAGGACGAAAACATTTGGCAAAACTGTCTCTTCGTTGACGAATCCCGAATCAGCACTCATCCAGATAACCGACGGGTCCGTGTCTGGAGAAGACCAGGCGACCGTGAAAGACAAAGAACTGCCACTGGAACAGTTCAGCAAGGCGGAAAATCGGTGTCCTTTTGGGGTGGCATTATGATTGGAGCTAGAACGCCTTTGATCCCGTATCGGGGCTTCATGACAGCAGACATGTACAAAGCAGTTGCTATTGATGATATCGTCAGACCATTCCGAGTAAACCATGGGCACCAATTTGTACTGGTCGATGATAATGCGCCCGCACATCGAGCTCAACGAGTCAATGCTGCTCTTCAAGAATACGATATAACACGATTAGACTGGCCTGCCGGCTCGCCCGACTTAAACCCAATAGAGCACGCGTGGGATGCTCTTAAACGAGCAGTATGGAACCGTGAGCCACGTCCCCAGACAGTTCCAGAGCTCAGGGAAGCCGCTATTGAAGAATGGGATAGGTTACCCCAGGAAATGCTGGATAACATGATCCTCAGCATGCCCAGGAGGATCTTCGCATGTATTCGAGCCAGGGGAGGAGTTATTTTATATTGAATTCACACCTTTTAATAATAAATTGTTGTTTAAGTTTAATTAAACAGTCTTTTTCTTTCTATGAAATTTCTATCACTATTACATTATGATTAATGACTCAATTTTTTAAAATAAATAATAAAAAATAGTTTTATATTTTAATTTCAAACAGGGTATGCCTATTTAAAGAAAGCATACAACATAGATTTTTTCTTGATAAAGTTAAATTTAAAGAATTATAGGAGCTATATGCTATTGATCGCAAACTTTTTTTGATGTGTGTAAGTTTTTTGTTTTGTAGGAGTTATTTTTCCTAGAAAGAAATTTTAATGTCCTAAGTGTAGTTTTATTTTATTTTAAAGGTACACAAACCGAATGTAATCATTACATGATAGCAGATACAGTTTGATATGTTAATAGCCCAGATCACATTCCAAAAACAGTCTGCCTACACAGCATTTTAAAATTAGTCTTAGTATTAGGTTAGTGTAAAATTACGATTTCCAAATCCAAAACGATTAATTAAAAAAAAGTTTAATAAATAATTTTACAAAGTGATTTGTTTAAATAGTTAAAAAAATAATAGTAACAACAATGTAACAGAACAGAAAATGATCAAAAGCTAAAACTCAAGCGATACACGTAATTGCGTCTTATATACATTTTTAACAATGATACATTTAACTTTAAACAGATTATATATCATCAGGAAAGAATAAAAGTCAATTGTATAATTTGACACTTTTAAACGCCATATGGAAGTATCGTGAGGGACGAGTGGCCCGCTAAAGCATCGAACATATGATCGAATTATTTGACCCGGTCACATTACGCATGGATCATGATCGACCCTGGTTATCAGAATTGATCGACCGACACAGGTAATAGCGGGATCTTTTTCAGTCTTCTGGTAAAGGTACCTGGCTGAATGAAGAAACTTTTATAAGTTTCATGTCGTTTGTGTCGTTTAAATTCAGTACAAAAATCTGTAGCAAATACCTTAAGGTATTCGTGAGATCTACTGACTTGATCTGTAGCTCAGTTGGTAAGAGCGGTAGCCACGATGAGGCAACAGACATTGGTTCGAGTCCAGTTGGACTGAAGGAATGTTTCTTTCTGATTGTTCAATCTTTGTGCCAATTATAATGAGAATACGTAATAATTGTTACAGGCATGGGTACTAGTGTGGACCGGTCGTCAGCAAGTACAGATTATTACTCTCGAGGCGATTACGTGCCTGGCATCTGGGTGGACGGTATGGATGTCCTGGCCACCAGAGAGGCCACCAAGTTCGCTATAGAACATTGCACCAGCGGGAAAGGTGATTTTAATAATGTTCTATTTGTTTCATTATTTTTTGTTTTTTAACCGATTTCAAAAAAGGGAGGACGTTCTCAATTCGAATGTTTTTTTTTGTATGTATGTTAAATATGGCAAATTAGGGGATATCGCGCACTTTCCTGTAACCGATTTAAATAGAACTTGGCAAATGGATGTAATTCCACGAACTTTGAATTGTTATTTATTGAAGGTTTTTTTTATATAAAATATAAGTGCACATTTAACCTCCATCTCACCTAATGGAAAGTGGCGATGAGGTCGACGATGGAGCATGCACACCTAAATAATGCCTATTCACTCTCGCCTTGAAAAGCCCAAGTTATAACGTTCAGGGAACAAGTCTGCAGGCAGGGAATTCCACTCCATAGCCGTTCGCCAATTTAAATGCCTGTATGTGATGTCGCCAGGTAAAAAGGCCTCCATTTAAAAATACACTACCGGAAATGCAAAAGCTTTTCTGCTACTTTGACATCTTATAATATCTTTATTTTTGTTTTAGTTCAGGTGTTAGAATATCTATAATATAATAAGCCGTGGTAGCCGAATGGTTTGACTACCGCCTCTCAACCAGAGGGCGTAGGTTCGAGGCCGGGCTCGCCTCTGAGTTTTTCGGAATGTATGTGGGAAATTTAATTTGAAATTTACCAACTTTCCGGTGAAGGAAAACATCTTGACGAAACCTGAACGTCGAGGAACGTGTAAAGTCACCAACCCGCATTGGACCATCGTGGCGGACTATGGCCTATACTCTCGCCTAAGAGGAGACCCGTGTCCAGCAGTGGCACGTATAAATAGATTGATAATGATGATATTGGAATAATTTTTGTTTTTAAATTACGACTAAAAGTGTATTAGTTCAGTTAAATATCGAATCAATAGTAAAAAGTATTTGAAGTTATGCATTGATTACTTACTGAAGAGTATTGTGGATTTTGGACATAAGCTTTCAAGGTTTGCGTTTAATTCTCAAGGCCCGTTGCTAATGGAGATGGAGACATACCGGTACAGTGGTCACTCGATGTCCGACCCAGGCACGTCGTACCGCACGCGCGACGAAGTTCAAGAAGTGCGCCAGACCAGAGATCCCATCACGTCTTTCAAGGACAGGATTATCAACAACGAACTCGTTACGCCCGATCAACTTAAGGTAATATAACCTTTTATTACTAAGTACAAAATTAAGTGAAACATTGACACAAAGGATTTTCATGGCCATGAAAGATGTAATAGACATAAAAAAAATATGGCTTGTATTCGTAAGTTTTTGACCCTCAAATTGTGGCTTTAGTATATTGACGACTTCGATTTGTACTGTGGGAAATTTATTTTATTTTATTTAACTTGTTTGGGTGTTCCGGGTAGTGCCCGGAGTGTATTCCGTTATTCTGGTACTCATGGTATAGGGAGTTACGGTACGGATATGGATATGATAAACTCTGAGTGGCACTGTAATTACTATGGGTGGTCGCTTACCACCATCGAGTATGTAACCAGAAATAGAGACGAAATAAGGGCCATCCATCCCTGGCAACTCATCAGTCAAATGGTTCTGATATCACTTTTAAATATCAACTCTTGTTTGCGCTGAAATCACAAATTAAAAAGCTGAAATAGTACATCGCCAACAACTGGGGTGCTGTTCCATTCGGTGGTGTGGGAAAAACAGCAAAACATCTAATTACAAAACAAAAGGAATCTCATCGGTAATTAAATATTAAATTATGTAATTTTTAATTTTTTTTCATTATAGCAAAACTCAAGTTTAAGTGGTCGTTTTGAAGTGAAGCAGTTGACGACCCCCGTCAATTGTTTCGAATTCGGGCTGGCCAATCGGAGTGCAGTTGTCACCGTAATGATATGGCAGAATAGTTTTGAAACAAATTAAATGACATTTCGTCTCTATTTCTGGTTATATACTCGATGCTTACCACAAGCGCACGACTTGCTCGTCCCATCGCATGATATCATAAAACAAAATGAATACTAATATTTTTGTTACAGGAAATCGACGCTAAAGTACGTAGCGAAGTAGACGCAGCAACGAAACAGGCCAAGTCTGAACCTGAAATCGGAATTGAAGAGTTGGCCGCTGACATTTACTGCAACAATCTGCACGATGAAATCCGCGGTGTACACCCGGAGGCACCGTTGCAACACATTCAAGTAGCTGTGCGTAACTAACCGAAGGTGTTCGTTGCACCAAATATGTTTGAATAATATTGGGATATTAATTTATTTCACTTTTCATGTTCTTCTAGTTTTAAACTATACCTATTGTAGTAAAAACGTGATTAATTGTTGAGCGGTGAGGTCATCGTGTTTTAAATATTTTTTATTCCGTTGTGCACGTGATACTCGGCTGAGTTACAAAAGTGTACTGAAAAGTCAACAGCCTCGCGCTGGTGCCAGGTGTCTGTTCCTTTAACATGCAGTGGATGGCGCCAGGAGTATTGTATTGTGAACCTTATGACTGAGTTACAAGGGTTGTTATCTCAAATGTGGTTCAAGCTTAGGCGCGAACACCTAAATTTATATTTATAAAACTTCGTTGCCATAATACGGTGGAATCATTAATTTTTAAAAATACATTCATCTAAGAAAATTGCAGTTTGTCTAAATGGAATGTGTCGATTATTATAAAATATATTGTAATTTATTCTTCTTCTGAATCGTTTTCTCACTGCTGAAGGTCGTGACTCGCATTTCATCCTGCTACTCGTTTGTCCCCATACAGTCATTAATATAAACAATATATTTTGAACGTCGACACGTTGCGTAATTTTGAAGATTAAGTTCTACTGACAACAAGAACATTGTGGCAAAAGTCATCTTCTCTTTTTGAAGGTCTGCACTAAAGCAATAACTTGATGGTTTTATACCATTTATTTTTACCATTTATACCACTTATTATTGGATATTTCAAAAACCAAAGGCATTAAACATTTTTTAAATTTGCATTTTTTCTATAGACTTTTTGCACAATGTGGTTTTTGATATATCCATCGGTCAATTTGTGCTCACGGGACGTTAGCGAATATATAAACTTATTAGTTTAAAAACTCGAGATTAACCGATTCATTTTAAAAAATCATTAAAAATTTAATTCATGGTGTATTAAATTCATTAAACATTTTTAAATTATTGAAACATTTTGTATAGAAACCAATTATCAGGGTTATGCACAAAAATCGTGTAGATCTTGATTGATGTAGCCATATTTAGGTCTTCGTTATGTAGTGTTAAGTGACAAGTGATACTGCTAATGCAGAACTAGAATCCCGTGGAAAGAAAGGTTGGCAAGTTGAATTTCAAACTTCAGCATGTGGCAGCAGTTTAGAACTAATTGTTTCTACGGACATCACGAATAGTGATGTTAAAAGTCGATACTAGCGCCACCATTTTAAGCCAGAGTTCTAAAGTAACTTGCCTGCTTTAACCACTGCCTTTTTCGAGCGAATGGAATACAGTTTCCATGAGTTGTAGATAATTGTAGTAAAAGTATATTTATCATGTTCATCTTTATTCTACAAGTAATATACGCGCGCAATATCGATGATTAAAGAGTTAAATGTACTTAAATGTGTTTTATTTTATTTATTTGTTAAATTGTTTTCATTTTGTCAACCCAATTAGTCAAGAGCGTGTCTAGCTTTGACTTAACCCCCGTCGCGTCGCAAAAAGAGGGAAGTTTTAGGTGATTATCACACTGCACCGCGCCGCGCGACGTAGCGCAGAGCTGCGTTTTTTAACGTTGTACCTCAGCTTGTATGGAAAACACGCGCCGTCGAACACACTGACAACGCTTCTCCGGCGCGCGCGGTTTTACCGCGTCCCGCGCGGAGGGGCGCGGCGAACTGCAGGGTATGGCACACTGCGCTCCGCACTACCGCGCAGATTTGTAAGCTTAAGGACATGTTCAGTTTTCTACAATAGATCTCGACGTCGATAAATTTATATTTGCTATTGAAAATATACCAAATTTATCTATATATTTTATTAAATCTTTGTAATAAAGTTGAAATTATCCATTTATCGATCTGGTTCGTAAAAAGGGATGTATCCAATATCTTCGGTGTCTTCTTATTTGAGTAAACAAAAATCAAATAGACAGTATAACTGCAGCTTCCTGAATGAGTTCTGTGTTATTAACCATTATTGCCAAAGAAGGATCTCGGCTACACATACGATCAACTGCGAAGCGAGTACTTTAAGTGACGCGGGGCCGCTAGACAGCTGTTCCGCGCAGATTAAACCGCGCGTTGATGCAGATCTGCGTCTCCGCCACCGAGCGCGTGATTTCGCGTCTCGCGCTCCGCCGCGTGTCGCGGTGCAGTGTGATAATCGGCTTAGCTTCAAGCCTTTGTAGGTAAAAAGATAGATAAAACGTATAATGTCTTCCCACAAGTTTATGAAATAATTATAAGAAGAAATGGACACAAAACAAATTAAAGTTGATGGTGAAAACCAACGACTTCAATCTATAGACAAGAACATTCACAGCAACTGAAAATTCAATACTAAAACAAAACACTATCAATATTGATAGGTTTTGTTTGAGTGTTGTAGTGTTGTTTTGTTTTAGTGTCTACGGTACTGCGGTACTGATACTCTTTGACCGTACCATAGTAACAGTCTATACCTATTGGGAATGAGCTAGACAGGCAGATAATATTGAGTGTTTACCAATGATATTTTATCCACAGTTGGTGAATTAACGGAAAGGCCCTAGCAAAAACTATTAGTTGCACAATACATTTCAGTTTGCTTTGACCCAGGGTCCTTCCGTTTACTATTTAAGTAAAAAAAGTCGAGTTGTTGAAATTATTGATGATAATTTATTTATGTACCTTTCCTTGCGGAAAGGCAAAGATCTTCAAGTACATACCTAGATATCGTTGAGCCTAGTCTTTTTTTATATTTTTTTTAAATTCATATGATAATCTTAGTAACTGTTACAATCATATTAAATAAGAACACTGTTGCTTATTAATCAATGATTTGCGTTTTGTTTTGTTTTAACACGCGTCATTACATGCTTACAAAACGAGATAGATAGTGTGAAATGTTGTATACTGTTTCGGAATTATCAAATATATTCCCAATTAATCAAAAACCATAACATTACTTACCGAATCAACGTGAATAATTTAAAATGTTAAATTTATGTTCACACAATTAATCAAATTGCGAATTGTATGCAACATACCGATGTAAATTAATTTTCAAAGAGGACCGCATCTGCGTCCGCCATCTTGACTCCGCGTCCTCACCAGTGAACAGCGTCTGTATAGAACGCCGCATCTAGTACGCTAGTACATAGATATCGTTGGTGAAAACAAACAAATATCAAAAAAATCACTTGAAATAAATACCTACATGAACAAAGTCTAGACTATTATTTTTTTGCATCCTCTAAGAACAAAGCAAACATTTTATGCATAGCTAATGAGATAACAATAACTTGTGTGTGCTGCAGCAAGCAAAAAGGCCCAAGCTCAGTGCGAGTTTTGCCAAATAGCGAAGCATTGGCTGTCAGCGATCACCTTTGAGGCAGCACCAGCACGATGCAGTGCATCAATAGCAAAAGAAAAAAGAAGACGTTTTAAATTCACATCGCCATCGCATGAATGACTAAACAAAGCAAAGTTAAGAATAAAAAGGCCATAAAATAGAAAATAAAAAAAATTGTGTCATTGTAGCTCTGAAACAATAAATCCGTTTGGTTTGGGATTGGACCGTTTGGGAGCCACGATCTCAAAGCGGTTTTATTTTAATTTTATTGAACATTTGTTCAGCTAGAAGTTCTATTGTGCAGTAGAACTATCGTGTTTGGGATCTTTAAATTAGTATCTATCTATGAATTGTTCGTTTACATATTTTACCCTTCAAAACCGGAACACAGTAATGCTGACATTATTGCTTGGCGGCAGAAATAGGTAAGGTGGCAATACTACCCTATGTAGCTCGCGCACAGATAGTTTCCTGTACATGCAAAACTCTCCACACTCGCTCCGGTCAGTAGGCTCCGACGACAGACACAAAAGTAGGTAAGTATAACCTACCTTTATGTATTTTTGCATAAAAATGCCGATAAACTGCAATCTTGAATTAACTTTTCGGGAACTTTGACAAAGTCATCCTATAGTACAGAATCCGAATTAACGCGATCACAAAGATCGAAATAAAGTTATCAATTTTTTAATAACTTTTTCTCACGGTTTAATGAGTAATAATTGTAATAGGTTGTAGCACATAATGCAGATAATTTCAAGCAGTGCGTCTAAGTTTGACGGTCTTATGTGATCAATTAGAGCAGTGATTCCCAAAGTGGTTCAGGTGGACCCCCAGGGGTCCACGGGAGACTTGCTGGGGGTCTACGTAGGCGTGAACAAAAAATGGGGGTCCATAAGATGTTAATGGGGGTCCACGAAAAATTATCTGCTTTTGATAGTAAAGAGCAAAAATGTAAGCATAGTTTTGTAAGGGCCTACCTACATTGTTTTAAGTACATAACTAAGCAGATAATATTTTAATAAGGCAAGCGACTTTTACTTGTCCAAACTTGCGTATTCGATATTACGTACAATTTCGTGTACGTACATGTACAGACTTGCAAAGCGCTATCCGCCCGACAATGCTTAATGCTTGTTCAGACATGAACTTGATCACCACTATAAATACTTGATGCCAAAGGCAAACTCATTCATTTGTTTCCGGAATTTCGAAAAAAAGGTTTGAGATAATTTATATCAGTGTTTGTTAGTGCCGGAGACAAGTAAGTAAATACCTTTTTTTTTGTTATAGTACTTATGTATTTTGTTTACGTGTACTAGTCGGTTGATCACAACTGCTTGTATAGATAGGTAACTTAGGAACTTACAGATATTTTAATTGTCCTCTTTCGATTTGAAGACAAACACAGCACGTTTTATTCAATTGTTTTTTCGCGAGAGAAGCACTGCCTCTCTAAAAAGGCCAAATAAGCAATAGCAATTAATTTTTCAATTTTTCTTGCAAATAACTACTAATTTTATAAAACAGTATAAAAAAGTCACGTTTTAACAATGTAGGCGCAGACAAAAAATACGCAAATACATCATTGATTTGATGAAATGTTAGTTATCGTTTTTATGGACAATTTTGGGATTTCGACTTTTATTTTTTCCTACACAAATATGATCAGTATTCGATACTGAGTACACCCATTTTTATTTGTACTATTAAAAATTAGTGGTAATTTAGGTACTTTAAAATTGATACCGTTTTGTGAAAACGTCTGTATTTGTCTTAGCGGTTATTAGTTGGCCCCTTAACAAGCCGTAATTCTATTTCTGCGTGCTGACAAAGGCTGCGGTGTGATACCTATATTCAGAAAAAAACTTGGTTACTAAAACATTCTTTTTTACAGGTAAGGTAACTGACACGAAACATGGCTACAGCAAAGAAAAAATGTCGACAATATAGTGTCGATTATTTGAAATATGGTTTTGTTCCATCAGAGGCAGACAAACAATTGCCCATGTGCCTATTATGCAACAAAGTTTTGAGCAATGACTCTATGAAACCATCAAAGCTCGAAGATGATCTAAAAAGGTGTCATACTGACAAAATAGGTAAAGATTTAAAATATTTTCAAACATTGAAGGAAAAATATGAAAAGAGACCCACCATGCACAGTATGTTCGCTTCAACATCTCAAAGTAGCGATGACGGCTTGCGGGCATCTTACAATATCTCATTACTTATAGCAAAATCTGGAAAACCGCACACTATCGGAGAACAATTAATTTTACCCGCTGTTGAAGAGGTTTTAAAAACTGTTTTGCACAAATCTCCATTTGACGTACTAAAAAGAATTCCATTAAGTAACAATACTGTTCAAAGACGCATTGATGAAATGAGCTCTGATATCGAAAGTTTTTTGTGCGATCATCTGCAAAAAACTCATTTTTCTATACAACTGGACGAGTCAACGTTACCCGGTAATGAAGCATTATTATTGGCATATGTCCGATTTATTATGGAGGAAGAAATTCACGAAGAATTGCTATTTGCCAGAACTTTAGAGACTGACACTAAAGGCGAATCAATATTTAATGTTCTGAGTAATTTTTTTACGGAAAAATCGATTCCATTTACAAACATTATTTCAGTGGCAACAGACGGAGCTCCTGCAATGGTCGGGCGATATCGTGGGTTTATAAGTCATCTCAAAAGAATTATACCAGGACTTACAGCTATTCATTGCGTAATCCACCGACAACATCTTGTGGCAAAACATTTAAGTGACAGGTTGAACCGATCTCTTCATTTTGTAATAAAAGCTGTCAACAAAATCAGGAAGCAATGCATTGAATATGCGTTTATTTGCTCAATTGTGCGATGAAAATGATGAAGACTTCCAACGACTGCTCTTACATACTGAAGTACGCTGGTTGTCGAAAGGCGCATGCTTAACGAGATTTTACTCTGTTTTCGATTCCGTATTAGAGTTCCTAGAAAGTAGAGATCCAGATTTAAAAGAAAACTTGATCAAATTCAAAGCAGACATTGCGTATTTGACAGATTTGTTTAAAAAATTTAATGATATCAACTTGCAGTTACAAGGGGACAGCCTGAATTTAATAAAAACAAAGGGGATAATTTCGGCTTTTCTTGGGAAATTGAAATTTATGAAGCAAAACATTAGTCGGCGCGAATTCTCTCAATTTCCAAACTTGTCGCAGGTAGAATGTATTGATGAGGATATCCATACCTACAGTCAACATTTAAGTGCCCTGCATGATGACTTTAAAACCAGGTTTGAAGATATGCTGACGATGGATATACCACCATGGATCATAAATCCATTTGAATTTGATGAAATGTACCATTTTTCGTTTTTATTTTACCTATCGGAATATAGGGACAGAACTCAAAAACGACACAATTTTTATTTTTTGGCGACTTTAAGAATGTGGTAGAAATGTAGCAGCAGGGGAAATATACGAGAAAAATAAGTTTGGGAACTACTGATTTAGAGCAAAAATAATACACCTGATATATTTGCGGTTTCCCCTTGTCTTGTCTTAGCAAATATTCTTACAGAGACATTTCGGCAAGAATGTGGAGCCCGCTTAACATAAAAACCTCCTTACGTAACTTACCCTGACATATGTCAGAGAAAGTACATAAATATTGGATGGTTTCCATAGTCTATTGGATGGCACAAGTATTGGCTGCCATAAAGGAAATAATAATACATAATATCTAAGATTTACCTATTTGGACAAAAATAACCACAAGTCTAATTTTATTTAACTGTTTATTGTGTGTACAATGTTATATATATATCTATTTAATTTTTGTACAGACTTATCTCAACAATGTCATTACTATTTCTTCTACGTCATTACTACTAAGTCTACTATTTTTTATTTGTTCTAAGGTTATTCTAGTGCCGTGTCTCTGAAACTATTAGGATTAAAATCACTAAGTTTGCTATTTGACTACAAACTGAATCTCTGAATACACGCATGATTTGTTGCCTATACGTACTAAACTAAAGTTGGGTTTCCATCAAGGGAGAATCAAGCGGACATTTGCCTAAATTAAACAATAAGAATATATTCAGTAGCAGTAGAGCTCTTCGTGAGATTTCGTCTACAGAAGTGCTGCCACCTTACCTATTTCTGCCGCCTAGCAGTAATGTGAGCATTACTACCTTCCGGTTTAGAAGAGTAAGGGTGCTGGTGAAATTACAAGCACATGGTGACGGGCACAGTGGCTGTGCCCATAAGATATTTGCGATTTAAAGTTCTGAGTGGCACTGCAATTGTTATGGATAGAGAAAAAGGTTGTAATGTGGCCCCCAACTTTGTTTTACTGGTCTAATTTTAAAAATACTTGACGAAGAAATCATATATATACGTTATAGTGATCTTTATTCATTTACCTATGCAAACTTTACAATAGAATAAATAAAATAACCATAGGATAGTAAAAAATATGTGTATTAAAAAATAATCAAATTTCGCAACTCGAGATCAAATGAGGGTTATATGGCACCCGGGGGATCATATTAATACTATACTAATACTAACACTTTGTCTGTGGGCATTTCATTGCCTGAAATAAAAGATTTCATTTCATTTCATTAAATTTATTGACCTTAATTAAAAATCTATCGGCAAATGTAATAAAATCGCAGATGTAATATACGCCTTCAGGACCTGCACATGCTACAGCAGGAGCCCATAAGTTGCAACTCTTACATTGAATCTTCTCCTCTCCACATCTGTCGTTAGAATACTAGCCCCCATAGCATGGCTACGCATGATAGTCGCGACCCACGTGGTAAAATTGAAATAAGTGCGCGCTATTGGCTATGACCTACGGCTCGAGACGTGGTCACTTACTATGGGCCTCATAAAAAAGCTCAAAGTCACTCAACGAGGTATGGAGCGAGCAATGCTCGGCATTTCTCTACGTGATCGAATTAGAAATGAGGACATCCGTAGAAGAACGAAAGTCACCGACATAGCTCGAAGGATTAGCAAGTTGAAGTGGCAGTGGGCAGGGCACATAGCTCGTAGAACTGACGGCGGTTGGGGCAGAAGTTCTTGAATGGAGACCACGAACCGGAAGGCGTTCAGTGGGATGGCCCCCTACTATATGGATAGATGACATGGTAAGGGCGGCGGGTTACCGATGGATGCACGTCGCGTCCGATCGGCTGGTCTGGAAATCTTTGGGAGGCCTATGTTCAGCAGTGGACGTCTTCCGGCTGACATGATGGTGATGATATTGGCTATGTAAATTAGATCTGCTTGAGACAGCCAATAGCGCGCGCGCTTATTTCAATTTTATCACGCGCACGCGACTATCATGCGTAGCCATGCTACGGGGGCTGGTATCGCAGAATATGCAGTTAGTATCTGAGCCTTCAGGAATCCTATTTGGGTGGACGTCGTCGTCATATTCAGAGTCCGTTTCTATAATAGCTTCACTTTCAGAGCTACTGCTGGGTGTGACGTCTCTCTGGCGTCTACTAGCCCTGCTGCCACTAGCCCCTCTAACTTGACTATCAAGATCGCGTTCCCGTCCACATCCGCGCCCTCGACCATGTCCACGTCCACCAGGCCCCCGAGTTTCTTCTGAATCTTTGCGGTTACGCAAAGATTCAGTTAATTGATTTTTGTTAGGTGACGATGTAATTACTTTTGCTGTTGTAACCTTTCTTCCACGATTAGAAGTTCTAATGTTGGCCCTGGGTATTCCCAGGCTGAATGTCTTCTGGTAGAACCAAACCACTATGCGGCTCTTGTACCGATGTACTCACTCCTGGAGCAACGTGGTCAACATCATGACAATCTGGAGTGCTAGAAGGCTAAACACTATTGGAGATCCAAAATAAAAATCTAATTAAATATTATATAGGTCATATATGTTATATGACCCACGGGGCCATAATACAAACAACGTGAGGGGACCTAATTACAAAAAACACAAAATATAAAATCAAACTATATTACATGTATTTATCATGATATTTTGTATAATTACCTTCAAAATCCGGAAGATGAACGCTTAGTTCACTGAATGTCCAAACCTTTAAATCTTTCAAACTTTTTCCATAAAAACTGAATAAAATACCGAGCGGCGAAAAATATTTCAAAGTTGCAGGTTTTTACTTGTTTGAATAACTGACAAACGAAGCGTCATCTTTCGAATTTCGTTGGTTTTCTATCAAAACTATCACAGACTATCAAACTATCGTATTGCGCCAAATATGTACTAGATAGCGCTTATCTAAATTATAAATATTCAAGGGTTATAAATATTCAACACTGGCCAGTGTACCTGCGGGGGCCACATTACCACCTTTTCCTCTAGGTGTCACTTACCACCTTCCTGTTCTTACCACAGATTTCCTGTAATCCATCAAATTTCTGCACAACACTATTTCGTTACGTGTTAGAGAGCTACAACGTCTTAAATTACAGCTACACTGGTCATAACTCTTCCGCTATGCCGCCGGTTGTGTCTTCTCTTTTTGCGTGGAAAGCGGAGCATAGACGATGGGTCTCTGCTCCGTTTTGATGGAAACGTAGCCTTCCTTTTTATACCAGGTATTGTAATACGCAAATTAAAAATAAATCCCATTATTCAAGTTACGTGGCCCCAGGAACATTATAGAAAACATAAGCTTCTTGGAATTATTAATCGTCAAAATGAGTAAAATAATTTCTTCTGCCGGTAACCTTCTAATGGAAAATAAAATAATGGTAAATGTTTTGATTCTTAGTTTTTTTTTTTTGTTTTTTGTAAAAGTATACTTATTGTTTTAATTATAGAAATTGCTCTCCGTCGTTGCGTTGAAGAAAACAAAGTTTAGTTCGAAAAGTGAAGCTACGTTCGAAACCAAAGTAAGCATTTACTTGAAGTAAAGGTAACAGGTAAAAGAAAACAGGTACCTACCCTGAATGCCTCTATCTACACAAAACTGCAGTGAAATGTTAAATAGTAGCCTTGAACATCGCCGTAAAGTTGCTTGCTTATCGCTATTCTACAGGATACCTATATCACGGAGAGTGTGCGATGGAATTGCATAATTTGATTCCGCCTTCCCCTTGTCATCATCGGGGGACTAGTCGTAGGCTGGGATTCCACCCCAATGTCGTGGATATTCCCAGGATTTGCACGAAGCGTTTCGCTTCCACATTTATATGGCGAGTGGCTAGAAAGTGGAATTCCCTACCTTCGGACTTGTGCCCCGAATTCTATAACTTGGACCTTTTCAAGACAAGAGTGAATAGGCATTATTTAGGTGTGCATGCTACATTGTCAACCTCATCATCACTTTCCATCAGGTGAAATGGAGGTCAAGTGCGCACTTATTTTTTATAAAGAAAAACTTGAAAATTTGCAAACGTTGGTAAATAAATAAACAGTAGTATTATTTTTATGACTATTTCTGACAAAATCTGTCTTCTCTCTTCAGCCTTACAAACTACATAGATTGAAAACAGGCCCAAGTACTACAGCCACGCTGACTGCCAAAGAAGCACTTAGTGTTTATAAAAATCTTACCGTGGCCCGCAGACTGTCGAATGCTTGTGGGAGTTTGTATAGAGAAAAGAAAATTAGGGGATTCTGTCACTTGTACACAGGTTTGGTTGATGATTTCTTTAAAGGTTCTTTTTGATTGAAATGCTATGTATATATAATGCCGGTAAACTAACTTAGTTTGGAAAAGCGGAGGTAATAGGCATCTCCTATTTAGTTTATGGTTTGATAGATTCTTTCAAACAAACAATTTACATAGGTATAGTTGGTTAAAACGGGGCATGAAAAAAAACATTAAGTAAAATAATTCGAAACAGGTCAAGAGGCAGTTGCAGCCGGTATGGTTTCGGTAATGAGAAAAACAGACATGGTGATCACGTCATATCGATGTCATGCATGGGCCCGACTTATGGGAATCAGCACACATGGTATATTAGCTGAATTAATGGGTCGCGCAACTGGGTGCTCCCGTAGTAAGGGCGGCTCTATGCATTTGTATGGGCCAAACTTCCTTGGTGGCAACGGCATTGTCGGTGCACAGGTTTGTATATTTTCGATTAGTTCGATTTATTGATGCTGATATTCATTGTGGATATTCGCGACGTGACATTAATTTACAAACCATCCAGAAACATACTGTAAGCCCAAAAGCAACTTTGTCGTCGTTGTTACCTTTGAGAAAATGTCTAAGATAGAGATCTGTACATTTTTCTGATATTTTGAAATAGACAATATCAGCATCTGCTGAAGTTAAGTTGAAAAATCAGCGTCCGCTGATGTGTGAAAACCTACATCAGCAACAACCCTGGTTAACAGTAATAAAATGTGTATAATTTCATCGTGTACCTACTAATAATTTTATATAACATTAATATACTTACCTTATTCAGTTATTACTAGAAAGCTCAATTCTCATTGCCGCGGAACGGAACGGGAGTGGAAAGGAATTTTTGCAACCAAATTGTACAGAGCATAATGAACTTTGTATCAATTTAGTAACGTATAAATTATATACGCTGTTACCGTATAACAGCGGAAATTCTTATAGGTACTCCGGAAGATGCGTGACCTTGTTTTTTTGGTTGTTTGTAGTTTGTACTAGATACGACCAGTTTCAAAAATTTGCTTTCGTTCCGGAGCAATGTGAACTAAGTTTCGTAGTGGAGCACCTAATTCATTATTGTCTGTGATTTATACTGGCTGTTATAAATCAAATAACGTCTTGTATAATGTTTCACCTAGGTGCCACTAGGCACTGGCATGGCGCTTGCTCAAAAATATAAAGAACTCGGTGGAGTGACCTTCGCGTTATATGGAGACGGAGCAGCGAACCAAGGGCAGATATTCGAGGCTTTCAATATTGCCAAACTGTTGAATTTACCTTGTATATACGTTTGTGAGAATAATTTGTATGGTAAGCTAAACATTGGATAGGGGAGAGTTGGATATTACCGCGCGTCTGATAATTTCGCACATCTGTAGGGGGAAGCGGGGCAGATTCGTACACTGTTTTTAACTTCAATTTTGGGCTACTAAATGAAATTATAATAAATATTTTTTCTACCTAATTGATAATATAACTAATAAACATTACTAATTTAATTTTTTCTTTCATAAATAGGATTGAATAATTGAAAAATTTTGATTTTAACAATAAATAGGAATTGTTCAATTCTGCCCCACCTGTGGAGTAGGTACTTTGATACATCCACTGGGGCACTCAGATGTGCGAATCAACGTAGTGTACCATTCCTGGTTGCCACGTATTATCAGCACTAGGTGATTAATTGTTCATAAATTATGACGCTGTATGTGCAGCCCCAGGACTTGTTAGATCAAGACTTATTTCTAGGGCACCATTTGAAAAGTGTTTTTTGTAATGTACTCTTGGAAGAAAAAATAGAGGATGAAGTGCTGACTATAGCGTTTCCAAATTTTTAGCCGTTTCCGGGTGCGTTTGGAAAAACTTATTGAGGTTATCACCTTCACATGTGAAGTTGACCACCCCACTTTGTTTTTTAAAATGTTTTTATTTTCTTTTTTTTCTTTTTATAATTATAATATCAAGTCGTCACTTGATTCGTCACTTGTTCATCCCGTCGGATAAACAAGTCGTGCGCCTGATGGTAAGCTACATGCCTGTCCATAACGGTTGCAGTGCCACTCAGAGCTTTAAATCGCAAAGATCTGAGGGGCACTGCCACATGTCCGTCACCCTGAGACATAAGTTGACAAGTCCCATGTGCCTGTAATTTCACCAGCATCCGGCATCATATCTCAAAACCGGAACACAGTAATGGTGACATTACTGCTTGGCGGCAGAAATATGTATCCGAGTATCTTTTGACGAGTGTGAGTATACTTACGATATACTAATGGTTGCCGTAGAAAGAATCACTAAAAGCTGTTTTGGAGTGGCAGAGTGAAGTTGACCACCCCAAAAAGTAAAAAGAAGTCATGGTTTCCCGGGTATTACACCGAGAGTGGGAATGTTAACGTCATTGAGTACATAACCAAAAACTGACGCTTCTGGGTCCCGTTTAGGGTGTTGTAAACTTCCCAAGAATGACAATAATTACGCGATTGCGACATGGCACGATTTTTCGTACGAAATGTCCCGTACAATCATTCGCATTTGCGTGTAACACCTTCTGAGTGCTCAGCGGTAGGCACTTCTCGCGTATATTCTCGAGCGAGTGACGGGGTATACGTGAGAAGTGCGTCGATGTGGACTGGATATAATGTTGATGCTAGGTAAAATAATTGTACGCGTTTCAGCTATGGGTACTAGTACGAGTCGGTCGTCAGCAAATGTCGAGTATTACACACGCGGCGATTATTTGCCAGGCATCTGGGCAGACGGAATGGATGTCCTTGCCGTCAGAGAGGCTACGAAGTTCGCCATAGAACATTGTACTAATGGACTTGGTAATGTCATTAATATTGTGTTTCTCGTTCCTTAAAATGTCAAGGTTATCCTCTTCAGGGTATGTTAAATTTCTATACTATATACAACGCGTTCGTGTCCAGTACAATAATGCATCTAGGGTGCTTTTGGGGCTGTCTCGTTTCTACAGCGCATCGGGGATGTCGGGATACTATTGCGGCTGGTCCAACAGTATCTAACTACTGAGAGTGTTTGCTGAATGTTTTGACTGTCAGTTCATGAACCATTGTATCATGGTTCATCAATAGTCAATAGACTAAAGTTAAAATTATATTCATGTATTTTGTCGCGGGTGCCATGGACACACAAATAGACAACCACAAATTACTCCCAAACTCACGAGAGAAGTAAATGTAGGCCATACAAATATTTCTCCCGGCCCGGGAATCAAACCTGGGCCCACTGCGTGGCAGTACAGCGTGGTAGCCTTTCGGCCTCGGAGGCAGTTGTTTTGTCTAGTTTGTGTGTGTTGTTTAGTTTTCATTTAAAGTTTATTTATAATTTTGATTATTTATGTTATTCTTGTGTTAATAAATAATCCAAGTTTGTTGAAATAAATGATTTATATTATTATTAGAGAATAGATAAATGTACAAGGTAATTGAATTTCGAAGGTCCGTTGGTGTTAGAGATGGAAACTTACCGATACCACGGCCATTCGATGTCAGACCCGGGCACGACGTACCGCACGCGCGACGAGGTGAAATACGTGCGCAAGTCCAGAGACCCTATCAGACTCATCAAAGACAAGATTATTAACAGTGGACTTGCTACGGCCGATGAACTCAAGGTAGGCCTCAATAAGCCTGGTTTCATAGCCCCTTTTATGTAAAAGAATGATATTTAATGGTAACGTAAAAAAAGTAAAAGCGTAATTTTCTGGTTAGTTTTCTCTACCTAATTTCGGTGGCAATTTTATTATTTATATAGAATGTTATCACGAATTCGAGTAACTTGAAATGTTACTTATTATTTCGCGATAATATACCTACTCGAATAGGTACTTAAATAATAAAAATTGTCACCGAAATTACGTTAAGAAAACAAACTTGAAAATTACCCAAAAACAGCTCGAACGCATTGTGCTAAGGATATCACATTCAGGATATGATACATACCATATAAAATTACAGAAGGTAATATGCATAACGTAATACTGAAAACAATGAAATATAGAATATTTTTCTGTTTTACAGTGTGTTTTTCTTCGGAATCATCATTAAAAATGATTACCTTTATGTTTTTTTTTAGGAAATTGAAACGATGGTAAAAAACGAAGTAAATGAAGCGGTGAAACAAGCTGCGGCTGATCCTGAAATCGATCCCGAAGAGTTGACAATGCATATATGCAGCAAAAATCTTCATACCCAAATCCGCGGTGTAAACCCCGAAGCGCTTTTGCAGCACAAAGTTGCTGGGCGTAACTAGAGATTTGTTTGATTTCAGATTGTTTGTATAGTTTAATACCTATTTACTTGTTTAACTTATAATTAAAAAATGTTTCCAATAAATTGTATTATCTTTGTATTGAGGGAACATAAAGATAGGGAATCAAAAAATACTCCCTACCTACTTGTGTGCAATGTCCACCACAAATGGCGGATTTAGTGTTGTATATAGGTACCATAAGCATAGATAATTCAATATCGACATGCAAATGTATGGCTTGAATGTTGAAACTGTTGTTACCTACTGTTTCTAATCTAAACCATTTTTGGAGTACCGGTTGTCAAAGGGAAGAACATCAAATGTCAAAACCAGTGCTTGGCCAAATGTTTTAGTGAATTATTCGCAGGAATGTAATGAACAAAAATATTGACAGTGATAAAAATTAAGTATTGATAAAAATGCGTTGGTGCAGCATTAAGGGGTGCGGCAGTAAAAAAAGCGGAAATCAACCGAATGTTTATTCGGCATGTGTTCTTTTTCTGGCTATAAATGATACAATAACTGAAATATCTCATGTAATTAGACTCATTTAAGTAGTTTATAAATAAGCCTTGCCGTATTTTGCTTTGGTTATTTTAGATTGCCTGTTTGTTAGCATATTTTGATGATTGTGCATAATGATTATTTTGAGATAGTGTTGTTAATGTAAGCAGACATATTATCGATATTCTGTTATTGAAACAATTCATTAGGAGGTTTTTAGTATTTCATTATTATTATTTTTATAGTTTACCTACAAATGAAAAAGGAAAGTAAGAATGGTTGGAAATTATAGGACTGCCGAACATAAACACTGGATCAAATACCAACTTCGTTTGTTCGTTCCATTCAAATTTAAATAGAACTTTGAATGTAACTAGATTACATGATAATGCAATCCCATCGTTACATTTATATTTAATTTTGATTAAAATGGCTCATTACTTGCCTAGTGATAATAACCTAGTATTAATCATACTTTGATTACAGTAAACTAGACAACAAATACTGTGAATAGCGACATCTCTCGCCAGGACTAGTAGCTGTAAAGGTACTAACTGGGTGATAAATCTTTCATAGATTTCTCATAGATTGCGCTACGACTAAAAAGTCGTTGAAAAAACCAAATACAAAGACACGACGCAAGCACAGAAAAATTTGTTGGGTCCGTTGGTTCGTTCCGTGGCTTAGTTAGTATAGCGTCTGGCACGGTATGCAAGAAGACGTCGGTTCGAATCCGACCGGATCGAAGGAATTTTTTTCTGAGTGTTCGATCTTTGTATTAATGATTAGAACAAACTAGTGGAGTAATTTCACAAAAAATAATTGAATATCAATTCAATACAAATTTAAACTAGACAAATTCGCAAACATAAAACACAGTAACAACAGTTTCAACATTCAAGCCATTCATTTGCATGGCGATATTGACTTATCTATGATTATGGTACAACACAAAATCCGCCATTTGTGGTGGACATTTTTGGTTTAGGTAGGGACGTACGAGTATATTCCGTAGATGAGGCAGCTCCTTTCCTTTATTTTTGTCCATCCTCTAAGATCTACACACATATCATAAACCCTCTCTGAAGTGTTCAAAAACCGAAAATTACGATCAGCGTAAAGATAAACTGTTTTGTTAGAACAAATTTCTTATCTATGAAAATGTTATTATTGCATAATACTAACATCAAAATCGATTTTATTGTTACATTCAAATTCGAACATCTCTGAAATACAAAACAATTTGATTCGACCTCAATTCTAACATCAGTCGAGAGGAAGTTTTATTGGAAATGAAATTTACATGTTACTTGATATCGAACGATATGATGGTTGTGGGCTTAGAGGATGGAAAAAGACTTGTGGGCGACTTGACTTGACTTGTGGGTTTAATCCATAGACAAACTAGAGAGTTTGTCTATGGATTAAATAAAAAATACGCTTGTGCGACATTATCTTAGAGGATGGAAAAAGACATTATGCATGAGAAAAGTTTTTATTTGCTGCCATTTCGCCTGCCGTAACATACGGTGCCTGAACACATCAAAGCTTATAATATGTGTATTTTGGGGGTTGATGTTGTTGTTGTTGCCTAGTTACCACCCTCCCGACGCAGTCGAGTCGCCAAATGGTTTTCACCGTGTTCAGACTGCTGTTCGGGAGTTGCCATTAGGAGGTCGGGTCGGAACAGTTGCATTGCGTCTGACGACAAGTTGTGGCTACTTGTACTGCCACACTGTTCTGAAGGCTAGCGGGATCCGAAGCACGGTGCACCGCTGGCCAACTGTGGGAAGTTGGAGGCCTAAGTAGCGGGAAAACCAGCCGTGAAAGGCTGCCCCGCCACCCAACGAAAAATCCCGGAATGCTCCACCTTGCTGGTTGGCGACTGGGAGGGTGGACCAGGTGACCATCGCCGGGGGGTTCCGGCGTCCCCGCGGTCTCCAAACCGATTGTACCCTCGTGTGGCAGTGTGAGCTTGCTGCTTGGTTGAACACGACGGATTTGAGAAATGTGAACTATTTTTTGTTTTTCTTTTATAATAATAAATTTTATCGCATATTTTCCATAATGGGTAGCTATATGTCTAAAGTCACAAATAACACTAAACTACTTTAAACATTTAACATTTTTGTTGTCGCGGTCGTCCACTAGCATTTGTATAGTCAAAGGCAGGGATGGGCTTTGGGATTTTGGACCGTAGGTCGTAAGTCGCATAGTGTTATTGCTGAGCATGCTGTTGTTGGTATGTGCATAACAAACATTAAAACACGTTATATTTCAATATCAGTTTATTTTCTGTCTAATTCTATATACAATCAATGCGACATGGTAGATATTACAAAAGGGTGTAGTCAATTATATCCATGTATACAATAATAATTTCAGTGACTCGTTTTTACAAAATGCAGCGTTAATACATTTCCAGATTTAGAATTAATTTTTTTATGTAAGAGCAGTTACACACGGCGACTTTTAGCAGCGATGCAATCGCGACTGCGTCGATACAAACGCGCGATTGCATCGCTACACTTGGGATTTATAAGAGATTGCATCGATGCAATCGCGCGTTTGTATCGACGCAATCGCGCGTTTGTATCGATGCAGTCACGAGTTTGCGTCGATGCAATCGCCCATAAATCGCAATTGTAGCGCGTTAACGCGCGTTTCACGAACGCGCGTTTGATTTGCTGTCAAAAGTCGCCGTGAACTCTTAGGGTCGTATTCCAGAACTCTACTCAATACTCAAATCAGGACTTGAGTAATGCAGTGAGCACTGAAAATCATACTCAAGTCCTTGCCATTAGGGTCGTATTTCCAGTGCTTGAAGTCATACTCAAGTCTGCTCAAATCCTGACTTGAGCATTGAGTAGAGTTCTGGAATATGAACCTTAGTCTTACCTGTTCTGCCGCTGTTAGTTCAAAGGGCGACAATAACTCAAAACCGAAAATAATGTTTAAGGAAATGAAATTTAAAAATCTACTTTTCTCTTGCGGTTTACTTCTTATCTTATCCACCTAGGAAAAAATAAAAATAGTGACAGATCTGCCTTTTTTTACTAATCATGGCAGCATACATAACAAATTTTTTGAAAAAATCTTATATGTGTCCTTTCAACTAACGGCAGCAGTGTTACACTTTTTTTTCCAAGACGGAATAAATGACATACTGTCACCGTTTTGTAACCTACTGTCCAATGTAGAATATTTTAAAGTGTAAAGCACTCGCATAATTATTTTTCTGAAAGTAAATACAAAATGAACTCACTAGCTTATAGAGGGACATTTTACCTGCTCCTTCGGTAGATATAATTATAAAATATTGTCATCTTTAATGCCAGTTTTATGGTACCAATTTTCACCTTCAAATGGTGGTTTTGATGATTTTGATTGATGCCATTGTTCAACTTTGTTAGTGACACTTTTTAATTAGCTAGTGTATTATGATGTCACAGTATTGTATGTGCAATGGCTGCGAGAAAAAGAGACTGACAGAAGGAGGACATAAAGAGAGAGTATTTTGCGTGTGGTTAATTAGTAAAGCAATACAAGATATGCCTATCAGACATGGTTACGGAGTATTCATAGACTCTAAATACTAAAAATGCTAATTAGACGCTCTTGTCGAATGACGCAAGGAATACAATAAGTAAAGTTGGTTATGTTATCAATTTATTCACTATAGAGACGCACTTGCAAAGCAAAGCTACAAAATAAAATACCACATACAATTACAGCGATAACAATAAAATTGTAACTATAAAAAAACAATGTTAAGCCTCCTTTAAAAATAAAACGGGACGTACTTTTCCCAATACACTTACAAAAATTCAATTTGAAGAAGCTTGTAAAAAAGCCAATAGGCGCGATACAAATAATGTTATACTCATAGATTTAGTCTTATACATATACATCGCACCTTTAGAATGAAAGTATAACATAACACAAAATTCATCTTTTGGAAATATGCAAAATAAGTATTGAAGTTGTGACATTTTCACATTATTTAATTTAAGAAGCAGTGGCCTTGTTAGTCCTAGAAAATAATGACGAAACATTCATAAATTTTTCGTACAATTATAAAGTACAAATTAAAGCACATAATCTTTGAACATATCAAGTAAGTACGTAGTTCATTGAGCAAAATTATATTTAATAATATGACGGTATTCTTTGGTATTATATTCGTAAATATTAACGACGCCGGATAAGGAAATAGCATGTTTAGGTATAATAAGAACCAGGTCGAGCGGTTCCTGAAATTGGCTCATGAATCTTTATTTTAAAAAAACGTAAGCACTACCCGACGGCAGAAATTATCTGACAATAGGTCGCAAATACAAGATTTTTTTCTTATGATTCGCTTTCGAAATAAAACTATGTGTCACTGCATGAATGTCACAAGTAGAGAAAAGGCATAGAGGCAGATTTACAAATTGAAGTAACAACTTGAGTTATTTTGATTTAAGAAACTGCGCTTATGACCGTAAATAATGGACAGAAAAAAGTGGGCCTCTACTCGGCATTCATAAGTAGTCGACAAAATTACTTAGAAAATATAAGCATGCTATCCACGCTTCACTACACCTTATAGTTAATGCACGTTCCCAATAAATCAGTTGGTATAAACCATTGACCTACCAACAAATGGACGTCGTGTCTAATACAAAGAAACATAGAAAAATGTCCGAAATTAACCTATTTATACGTAGTGATATGTACCGAAATTAAAAAAAATCAAACATTTAATTTAAATTGTGACGTCATTGTAGTACTGCTTAATTTTGATTGCAACAATTTAAGGGTCCAAAAACACCATATAGCTTCTACTGGAAACTTAACAAAATGCATCATATTTAGCTTCGACTGAAAATTACTTGAACACAAGAGTAACGAAATTGAAAGTGACCAAGAAGTTTATATAAGCTTCATGAAATTTACGTAATCGGTCTCTTTCTTTTTATATATATCGGTTATAAAAAGACTTTGATTGATTATTTAGTTTGCTTTTGTAATTTATATTTACGATAATTTAAATATATAAATTAAATACTATACAACTGTACAAAATAACACTTTTAAATGATAAATATGATAACAAAATATATATATTTTTTAGTGCAAATATGATACAAAATCCTGTTTTTTTACTTTACTTGAGTAATTTTTACAAGTTTTTATTATATAGTACTGCATGAATGACAAGTGCGCTGTCAGTCGAACAAACGAAGAATGACGCGCGATTGACGCTATGTGATTTTAACGCCTTATAGGTTCGGACTTTTTAGGCGCAGGCCCGACATTCATTTGTTGGTAAATCTATAGTATAAACGATTCCTATTAAATAGACAATCGAACCTGAATTTGTCTAATTGTGGCCACCCGTTTGAACGGTGCCTTCATCTTCAGTATCTTCTTCGACTATACCGCATTGTAATTCGTACAGGTTAGCGTAAATTCCTTGACGTTTTATTAGCTCCTCGTGGGTACCACTCTCGGCTACTACTCCTCCGTTAAGTACGCATATAAGATCGGCATTTTTAATGGTCGCTAGACGATGAGCGATTATTAGACATGTTCGCCCTTCACTAGCGCGGTCCAGAGCTTCTTGTACCACCTGGTTTTAAACAAAATATATGATGTCACAGCAAAATCATGTGAAATAAAGATAAGTAGAAAACAGCGAGTCAAGTATGTCACTTCCGGTAAATCGAAGTAGACTGCCGAAGGCGGCAGTCGTCACTGTGTTAACATACTATTTCCTGTCTGTGATTTTAACCGTAAATATCTTTGGTATTCGTTCAGATTCGGATATCAAAAATCTATCTTCAACATGTTCATGTGATAAATCACAATCGAGCAAATTGATCAAGTGAAAAATATGAGAGGTATAACCAATTATTCCTACTTACTTTCTCGCTATGTGTATCAAGGGCCGACGTAGCTTCGTCTAACAATAAAATACGAGGATTTCGGATCAATGCGCGTGCGATGGCGATTCTCTGTTTCTGACCACCGGAAACTTGCGACGCGCGAGCGCCCAGTCGAGTGTCGTAGCCCTGCAAATTGAATATTACAATTAAGGCTCTTACATATAAACATGATACGACGTCGCGTCGTGCTACCCGCCGCATCGTTTCATGATGCGACGTCGTTATAAAACAAATTATATGCAATGTAAGTTAACATTTAATTGGTATTGTTTGATTTACATCACACAAAGGAAAGAATATTTTATTAAGATATTTTAAATTGGAAAACTTTGATAGTTCAAAATATTTATTACAATGGCAGTTACACAATATCTTAATAACCTTTATTTTGTACACATTTTTTATAATACTACCGTTTCGCGTCTATATACCGAGTATTCGTTTCTAATTTTGATATGTAACGCAATCTCACCATCAAATACTTGTCTGTTAATTTTTTTTTTAAATTAACTTCGTAGTCAATTCCATAGCATTGACGATTATGTTCTAATTTGACAAAAAATATTTGCTTCCCAATTAAACTCTTTAGAACCTGTGAAGTCATGTCACACTGTAATATTTTTTTAAATTTTATTGAAACGCTTTCTTACAAAATCACTCTGTTTATGATATGTGCACATAACAATGGAAATCCTCTGTATCTATTGGGCTAAAATTTTAGCTATTTTTGAACGTTTTCTTTTATGTAATTACAGTATGGCGATTAAACATTGGTTTGAGAATAATTTAGATAAATCTGAGTAACCTAAAGACGGCTGCGATTCGACTATTCTGTGTGTATAATGCATGCATTATTTATTGTGTGCGTGACAACTAGGAGGGGCGCGGTAAATACTATAAAAGTATGAATTATTCGATGCTTCTAACACTCATGCATATTTATCAAATTGAAGGAAACTTATTTCGATATATAAACTGGCAACACGTGTGAATTTATGTCGAGGTTTTGTGTTCCGAGTGAATCTCAAAAAATATCTAGTAAAAAAACAGTTAAAGTAACAATAGTTTCCTGTGAAAAGATATTCCATCTTATTTTTTTTTGTTTTTGGGAACAACTTTTACAACGTTTAAAGACACAAGACGTCATTTTAAATAAAAAATAATTAATCCCTCGTGACGTGCAAACACTGCGACGCTGTGCTTAGTACTGACGCGAGTTTGTATTGGCTTTTGAATTTGTATTTGCTTTGGTGGATTCACTTTCGTGTTCGGCGCAGTCCATCTGCCTAGTGTTTTGTAATCTGAGATGGATTCAAAGGTGCCCCCCCAACAACATTTGAGTTCCTTCACAAATAATAAGAATTCTGACAGAATTATAAACTTTTTGATCGCGCTTATGAATGATTTTAGCCAAATAATAGGTCTAACCACTGCAGCAAACAAAACAAGTAAATACTTAATAATGATTTAGGATTTTATAACCAGATATACAAAACATTGTTCAAAGGCCTACATCTCTTCTCTTCTCCCCTACACTTGAGTCATGACCAATAACATAAAATGTTCGAATAAAAACACGAACATTGACTCGTATAGTCAATATTTACTAGTATAACATTTTAACAACATTAGACATTATTACAGAACAAAACAACATAGTGAAAAAGTAATATGTCAGCATGTAAAGCTCACAATGCTTAGCTACGAAGTTGGCATACGTACTTCAGGCAACGCTGCAATGAAGGAGTGCACGTTGGCGGCCTTAGCAGCAGTAACGATTTCTTCTATGGGAACTGATCTAGTGTTGTCCCCATAAGCAATATTCTCCTTGATACTGCGGTCGAATAACGAAGGCTCTTGCGACACAATGCCTAAGTTCTTTCTCAAGGTTGTCAACCGCATGTCGCCTGTTATACTGTAGCCGTCCATGTACTGAAATATTTACAATACTATTAATTTAATATCCGACAATGTCAGAAAAGTGAAAAAAAAAACGTTGCGAGGGGTTGCTCTTAACGTCCTGTGAAATTAACGCGTTTTGAATCTGCGGTGGAATCTGCGGTCTCGGTAGTCAGTTTATGGCATTTTTGTGTAATGCTGGTTTCCTGCGGTCTGCGCTTTAGCAGGCGATTCCGTATGGAATTCATTTTACAAACGAGTATGCGCTGTAAGTTTTCAACGGCATATATTCACGGCGAGTTGTCACAGTTTAGTCAAATTTTGAATTTTATTTATCCACTCCGTATGCGCTTGCTTGCGTTAACTCACGTCATCATAAGCTGTCTCACGTGTGGCTCTGTTTCCATGACCTGTGGGCGCAAGGTGGCGCGTTGTCAACCCATCACCGGTCGTGTGAAACTGGTTTCGCGACACATCAGTATCATCATCATATCAGCCGGTAGATGTCCACTGCTGAACATAGGCTTCCCCCAAAGATTGTCATGTCGGTCGGACATGATGTGCATCCATTGGTCACCCGCCGCCCTTACCAGGTCATCTGTCCATCTAATAGGGGGCCTTCCCACTGAACGTCTTCCGGTTTGTGGTCTCTATTCGAGAATCTTTCTGCCCCGACGGCTATCAGTTCTACGAGGTATGTGCCCTGCCCACTGCCATTTCAACTTGCTAATCCTTTAAGCTATGTCGGTGACTTTCGTTCTTCTACGGATCTCCTCATTTCTAATTCGATCACGTGGAGAAATGCCGAGTATTGCTCGCTCCATAGCTCGTTGAGTGACTTTGAGCTTTTTTATTAGGCCAATAGGTCGTAGGTCATCGCTGGCAACACGCACTGCTAGAAGACTTTTGTCTGTATTGTATTGCAGACGAGAAGACGTCCCGGAACTTCGCGAAAGCTGACCAACCGAGTCGGATTCAACAATTCACCTCTTCCTCGACGAGTTGCTTCTGCCTAATTGGACGGTTTGTCAGAGGTACATATAATCATCAACAACTTCGAGAGTAGAGGTTCCTAATATTATAGGGGTGGGTACGACATGGACATCGTACTACGTACGTGCATTTCGCGACACGCTTGAGTGTTAATGCAGTTGTTAAAATTTATGAACGTATCCCAATATCTTACATAGGTACTTGAATAGATATTTATATGAAACCAATATGATTAAAAATTATTGCCACCGCAGACGTGATTGCGGATGAAAAACGAAGGCATTGGTTTAATGGGGCCCTCTAAGTTGTCGTAACGCTTCGCGCAACGTATCGCACTTAGCTTTGCAAGCCTCTGGATATTTGTTTTATATCTAATTTAGCGCTTGTTACACTGGATCCAGCTACTGAATCAACGTTAATTTGTCGACTTGATCTAGATGTTATACTCACCACATTACCAGAATCAGGGTCATATAACCGCTGCAGCAACTGTATAAGCGTTGATTTGCCGCAGCCGCTGGGCCCCACGAGCGCGATCCGCTTGCCCTGTGGTACAGGTAACGTGAGGCCACGCAGTACCGTCACTTCGCGTCTCGTAGGGTAGGAAAAGTGAATGTTCTTGTAGTCGATCTTGCCCTTTGTAACCTATTTATTTAGTAAAGGTTATGTTACTATTGTGTTTAATATGACACACACAAGTTTATAACAGAGTAGGTACGAATTTCATTCGTTTTCTTACGCGAATTTCTTTTATCGAAAATATATTTTATACACGGAGAACATTCTCCTTTTTTGTTTTAAATTGTTTTTGTCAGGGTCCTCCTGTGATATACGGGACACAGTAGAAAATGGTTATGAAAATCACCGATTTCATGGATAGATCACTTTTTTACAGGTATATTTGTTATGAACATGGCGTTTTACAAAGTTTTCTTGTCCATGAACTTTAAGAAGGGAGAGTGGGGAAGGTGTTTCATTATTATACTGACATAGTCCTCGTGCACGGTGGGGGTGGTGGTGCTGGCGACGAGCGGTTTGCGCTCCAGCAGTGCTAGCACGCGACCTGCCGCCGACACGGCCGCGCTGAAGTTCGGCGCAAACGCCATCGCCTGCCCCATCATCCATGCGCCGAAAATCAGCGCCTCCGACACTCTACAACACCATATACGCATATTTTCAACGTAAATTTCGAACTAAGGGCAAATCAACGCACATACACTAGAGATATTAAAATGCGGGAAAAACGTATACATGTCAAAACAAGTCCGTTTCTCGGAAACTTAGAAAAGCACAACTTTTCCAGTGATCACATACTCTTTATATTCTTACTAGGAGTGAAAGTTAAAAAATTGTTGACTTACTTGATTACGTTTTTGTAATGTAATTCACCATTCGCGACGAGCACGCCTCCATACCAGAGCGCAAGTGCGTAGCCGGCGACCGGCGCGGTCTGTCCGAAAGCGAACACGCACCCGCGCCAACGCAAGTTCTTACGCGCTGTTCCTCGGGCCTCCATCCCCGCTTTGCAGTACCGCTGTAGGATACCTTCTTCGCCGCCTGACACATTTTGGTTAAAAAAAAATAGATAATGCTGAATTTGTACTAGGAGCTATAAAGTAAGACAATTGTCCGCCACTTTGAAATAAATTAAATTTAATGTAAGATTCAGATTAGGAACTTTTTCAATTAAGTAAAGAATGCACGCTTGCGTAATGAATCTACACAGAGATGAAGGAGTTTTATACCGTATCAATATTTACGGTGAAAAATACCTATATTATTTAAATTTTTATTGAATTGATATTCAATTATTTTTTGTGAAATTACTCCACTAGTTTGTTATAATTCGGTCGGATCGAAGGAATTTTTTCTGAGTGCTTTTTCTGAGTGTTCGATCTTTGTATTAATAATTATACCTATATTATGTCATAATCGTTAAGGATCATCAAAGTGGTTAATCCATGGCGACATACTAGAGGCCAAAACAGAAATTTACACAAAATTGGTCAAAACGTGAGAAATCCACCATAGCTTCCTTCGATTTGATACAACCATGACTGATATTTAACTTTGTAAATTAAAAATGCGGACGACGATGTTGCCACACGGCAACCCTGGGATACATCTATAGCTAGATATCAGACTTTGATCGTTACATCTACACGATAACGCTGGAGCGTGTACTTTCAACAAATCATCTTCATTAGTACTTTCGAACAAATCATCTCCACTTTACAGGAGAAGCAGGCTAAAAGTGCCGTGTGTAACCACTCTAACGCGCCCTGCGCACAGTGGAGTATTTGTCTTAAAAATCCGGTCAAAAGTCGAAAAATTTTTTTTTAACAAAAGAGGCCCTAATTACATTGTTTGCACGCCTCACTACATGGGTTATCATAAACCGGTTCCAAAATTGACCTGAAGCCCGCCCGCTCGGGGTGCAGGTAGTCGGAATCTAGTCGATGTTGAATGCGCACGTCTTTGTTCTCGATACGCCCTATTTCTATTGCATTTTGAGTTTTGTGTAGTGTTTTTTGAGAAGATTTTCAATGGATACTGAGGCTCAGGGTATGTACTACATTTTGATACCAAATTATGTTCGTTTTTCTATATGTATAATTTATTTTTTATGAGTTACACTAAAGTATAAATACTTTTGACGAAATTGTTTAGAACATAAGTGTTTTTGTTGTTGTTCCGGGCAAGATCGGGCAAATAGACTTTTAATAATATTAACTATGCATCTTAATAATGCTTTCCATACAAAAATATCTCACCCATCTTGCCACCATTTTTTTTTATAACTGTTCATCTTACGTAGGTAGTTTTTCGTTGTATTTGCTCATTAACTTAAGATGGTGTTTTTTGTTTTAGGTTCGACCTCAAAAAATATCCAAATGTCTCGAAGATCATTGTACATGATTTTCAAAGACAGCAGTAAACGAAAACTGGATCAAAAGTTATTGGACATGGAACAGAAACTACTGGAATTAACGAAATGTCCAGAAAATGAGTTCCAAACTTTAAGGAATGATCTGAAACATTTTACGTCAGATTTAAAGCAAAGATGGAGCTTGGCCAATAACACAGAAGCCCGTTTTTTAATAAAAAATAAAAAATGGTTAGATGCTTCCATAACATTGCATAGCTGGTCAACAATATCTTCGTCAAAACCAGGACGACCAAACAAGGCGTTCCAGCAAAAGATCGCGAAACTGATCGCAGCAAAAGACGCAAAACAAAAGAACTTCGAGAGCAGGTGCCTGTCGAAGAGCTGACATATGCTGCCCGAGTTAGTCAACGAAAATTAGGAAACGTCGAAGCATCGAATATTATAAAAGACGTCACTGCCACTCCCACAAGGGCGAAAAAGTTTAAAAAAGCGCTTTTTGGGGCTCAACAAATGTCTGTAAAGAAACATTCAGCTTCAGAAGCTTTGTCCCTCTTCATTGAGTGTGATTTTACCAAAAGACAATACGAAATATTACACGAGTCGAATAAGAGTATCTATCCATGTTATTCGCTAATCAAAGCAGCGAAAAAGGATTGTTATCCGAGGGAAGAATCAATGCGTGTAACAGAAACTTGTGCAGAAGTTCATCTCCAAGATTTATTAAATCACACGGTTTCTAGACTATGCAAATATCTAGAAGATGTATTTGAAACCTGTACTCCAGAAGAATTACAAGATATGGAACTTATAACGAAGTGGGGTTGCGATGGTAGTCAACAGAGTCAATTCCAGCAAAAGTTTGAAAACGATTCAGACGATGATTCCAATATATTTCAAAGTTCATTGGTTCCTATACGATTACAATCAAATATCGGAGACCAAAAGAAAATTTTATGGCAGAACCCAACACCGTCATCGCCGCGGTTCTGTCGGCCAATTCGAATAAGGTTCCATCATGAAACTGCAAATATTATAAAAAATGAAATAAAATATGTAGAGGACCAAATAAAACAATTGACAAAGACACAAGTATCAAATTCTACTGGAGTGATGTATGTTCGACATACCTTGTTTCCAACTATGGTAGATGCAAAGGTGTGCAATGCGGCCACGGGTACAACGTCGACCATGAGATGCTACATATGTGGAAAAACAGCAAAAGAGTTTAACGATTTTAAAACAACCAAGACGGAAAATCCTGAAGCACTTAAATTCGGGCTTTCAACTTTACATGCGAGAATCCGATTATTTGAGACACTCCTGCACATAGCCTATAAAATGCCTATTAAAAAATGGCAAGCTAGGGGTGAAGATGAAAAAAATATTGTCAAAGAAACGAAAAAACGAATTCTAAAAGATTTCAAACAGAAAATGGGATTGATTGTAGATGTCCCTAAAGCCGGCTTTGGAAATTCAAACTCGGGAAATACAGCCAGAAGGTTTTTCAGTGATCCTGAAACAGCTTCTGAAATCACAGGCATCGACATAGGCCTCATCCAGAAGTTTAAAGTAATATTAGAAGCTATTTCCTCTGGCCATGAAATCGATGAAACCAAGTTTGCAAATTTTGCCCAAGAGACCGCGGAACTGTATGTGAAATTATATGGTTGGCATCCAATGACACCCACATTACACAAAATCCTCATACATGGTAATACTATTATCAAGCATGCCCTTCTACCTATCGGACAACTCTCTGAGGAGGCTGCTGAAGCCAGGAACAAACATTTTCGGTCTTACAGACTCGATTTTGCGAGGAAGTTCTCAAGAGTGCTGTGCAATAAAGATATTTTCAACAGACTTTTGCTAAGTTCAGATCCATTTCTCAGCTGTATGCGAAAACGGCAAAAACTTAGAATAAGCCACCCTTTTTTACCAGAAACTGTAAAACTGTTTGTGCAAGTGGGTCCTTAAAAGTTCAAGAGTTGAATGTGGAAAATTGTGGGTGTCGAAATTATTTTATGTAGTGAAGCCTTGTATCATATGTATGTATTACTATTTTTGGCAATAAATATTAAATATTTAATTTTTTTTTCACCCTGTATTATTACAGTAAATTAACTATATAGTATTAAAAACAGAATTTGAAATGATCTCAAATAAAAAAATGGCAAGAAATAATTTTGACCGCATTTTGAGGTCAAATACTCCACTGTGCGCTGTTAGCCGCGCTGCAGCCGCGCGACTGTTGCGCTGCTGAAGTGCGACCAAATTTTTAGTGATGTTTTATCTTTCGACTTAGTTACACGATGGATTCTGACGAAGAAACGTTACTTTCACTTATTTTGTTAAAACTGAAAAAAAAAAATTAAGAAGAATGCCAGAACGTATTAATATAATCGACAACGTATAATCGACATTGTCGATCGACAACGAGAATTATAGACGCACGATTTCTCAAATAATGGCAAGTTGGGTATCGTTTTCGAGATATTTTTTTTTTCGAAAAATTGTGCCCGCCATCTTGGATTTACAAATGAGTGCCATATTCGTGTTGAGCATCCCCAAATACCTCGAAAACGATATCCATATTGCGGTTTTTTGAAAAAACGTGTCCGCTACCTTGGATTTACAAATAAGTGCTATTATTCGTAATGAGCACCCACAAATACCTCGAAAACGATACCCAACTTACCATTATTCGAAAAATCGTGCCCGCCATCTTGGATTTAGAAATGAGTGCCATATTCGTAATGAGCACCCCCAAATACCTCGAAAAAGATACCCTTATTGCATTTTTTTGACAAATCTAGTCTGTCGTCTTGGATTTACAAAGAAGTGCTATATTCGTAATGAGCACCCTTAAATATGTCGAAAAAGATACCCAACTTTCCATTATTTGAGAAATCGTGCCCGCCATCTTGCATTTAGAAATGCGAAAAGTCATGTCAGCCATCATGTAATCAGATATAACAGCTAGACACGACAGTCGTTCAACGACAAAATACACGTCCACGACATAGTCACGACAGATAGTCATGATATTGGAACAGGCTAGATGCGACAGTCGTCCAACGATAAATAAAACGTTACGACATAATGGGAACGTGTCCTTGGTAGGTACCTATTAAATGTGTGATTATTTTAATTAGGTAAATAAATCCTTTTTCAAAACGTTTATTTTCTGGACTTTTTAAAAAATGGCAATTTTGTACTTTATTCTCTACTATTTTTCCTTCCTAACTTGTTCTGATAAGAACACCGATTAGTTTCTGAAAGGTTGGCCACAGAAAGAACGCGCGCGTAAGATGCGAAATGCGTAGACTGCACAGTAGAACTAAGCTCTGGGCGTAATACCTACATAACGATAATGACGCACTCTAAAACAAAAACGTAGCGTTAAATTAAAAAAAAATAATAATGTGCCAGACAACCAAACCAATTACGTGGTCTCAAACTAGAGAATTCCCTGTACCTACTATGCATAGGTACCAAACCGAAGTAACGGAATTCACTCTGGGGCCCTAACCTAGAACACCCAGACCAGAACCAATTTAGAAAAGTTCATTTCCCAAATTAGTCTCACCGGGAATCAAACCCGGAACATACTCGTCCAGCTTCCACAGTGCAAACCGTTGAGCCAACGAGGTCGTCAAAAATTCTAGATGGCTACGTTATATCTACTACATAACATGTAAATGTTGAAAGTTTTTGTTGATTTTAGCCATCACACTATCTGAAACGATGATACAGTCAATAAATAGCACGCCAGACTTTCAGTTTTGACTTTGAAGTTTCATATAAAATACAAATTAGAAAAGATCAGTACAGAGTAAAAAAACCGACGTCAAAAGTCATTCATCCCCTAGTTTGCCACCCTTAGAGGTGGAATATTTTCCTCAAATTTAAATGGTACCACATCTGAGTTACCCTCTTTCCAACAAAAAAGAATCATCAAAATCGGTTGACAAATGCCGGAGTTATCGCGTAACATACATACAAAAAACACACAGTTGAATTGAGAACCTCCTCCTTTTTTTGAAGTCGGTTAAAAAGAAAAGCAAGTTTGAAAGTACTCACAAAAGGCGGAAACGGTGCGTATATTGGAAATAGCTTCGGTACCAATTGTAGTAGCCTTGTGGGACGCTTTCCTCACAGCTTCCAACCCTTTTGCGAGTACACGGCTCTCCAGAATCACGGCTCCGATGACCAAAGGCACACTAATTAGGGTCACAAGCGTCATCTTCCACGTGAACCATAAAGACAACGTGAAACCAATTGCGATTGTAGCGAATGCTTGCATTAGCGCACCGATTCGGGTACCGGTTGCCTGGAAAATCAAATAGAGTGAATTAACTCTCTCAGAGCGGGATCAATTTAACTATATCACCATCCTCCCACTGCTCGGCATGGATCTCCTCGCAGGCGAGGTTTTAGGCCACAGTGAATGCGAGTTGGGTGACTAAAATATTATTACTGTCATTAACTTATTCTGTGACACTTACATTTTCTATTCTGTGTCACTGTAATTTTTTAATGCGCAATAAGGAATATTTTATACTTTATTTTCTTACTATATTATTATTATTTATTTTAGCTTCTATTAAGGCCTAAAAAGTTAAATTTTGAATTTTTAAATGGGTGATACGGCATTCCCCGACAATGGCACAGTCGGCCGGGGTCAGGGACTCAAGTTCAAGAACTATACGCGTCGTATCGAGCAGGACCGCATTCTGCATTTGTGCTGAATCTTTGAGCTGGACACGCCATAGAAATCCAACCGCCTCAAGGTGTTAGCAAGGCTGACTGGAACGAACTCATTTCCGGGCAAATCAATTGAGATTATTTCAGTGGAGGCCACATCACGTATGTCGGTGATCTCGTGCGCCAGGTTGAGATACGTTCGGCGTTTCTCGGTTTCGGCTTTCATGAGACCCTCGTCTTAATGTTCTCTTATTTTTATTATTATTATTACAAAGATTTTTCTCTCTTCTCTGATTCGACTCAGTGTCGGATATTCGGGACCAGATATGGGCCCAAGCCAAGTATTCTGGTTCGGTTGAGTAACTCTGATGGGATCCCAAGGAGCACACTTTATACGCCTTAAAACTGTTATATCTATAAACAGTCTTAATATGGTGAAATAATTGCGACTTATGTTTGTAACGGTTTAGTATTTTGGTTTTAAAATAGCATTACTAAGTCTTTAATAGTTTTATCAAAGACTATAAATTATCTAAAAACTATCTACAAGACTAAATAAAAACTGTCTACATTTTACAAATGGTTTACAAAAGTTTCCGGAAGAATAAGAAAAAATATTATAAATGGTCAGAAATTAATTTATTGTTTCTCAAAATATTCCCTTTTTCCTACGAATGAACCAATTTTGAAAACATTTATGCCACTTCTCCGTGACAATCTCTGAAACATATTTTTCTTACTCTTCGACAGCCTCTTCAGTGATGAAAATCGTTAACCGCGTAACTGGTTCTTAATTTTTGGAAATAAATGAAAGTCACAAGGTGCCAGACGCGGGATGGCTCATAAGATCAACGTTGTTCACCTTCAAAAATTCATTTGTCTTCTCACGGCCAGACGGCCGTGTGAAACCTGGCATTATCGTGGTGCAAGATGATACGGCGTTTACGGTTATTTTTACGGAGTTTTCAATAACTTCCGGCAAACAAATGGTTGTGTACCAACTACTATTCACGGTACAAATATTCTCCAAAGCAACAGTAGCCACGTGTCCAGTTTTATTAAAAAAAGAAGAAATCATCCGCTTCGAAGCACTTTGCATGGGCATCACTTTGGTTGGTTTCGGCTCATCTCGAAAGACCCATACGTTCGATTGCTGCTTTGTTTTGGGATCGTAACTATAAGTGTATGCTTCGTCATCTGTTACGATGTCCCACATCAAATTTGACGCCTCTTCGTTGAATCTGGTAAACATGGAATTGCACCAAGTGACGCGATCCGTTTTTGAGCCTCAGTCAAATTGTGTGGGACCGAGAGTGCAGCTTTTTCACACCCAAATGTTTGTGTAGTACTGATTATATTTGATTCATGTCTATGCCTAAAGATGCCCGAATCTCATGGTATGTCACATGCCTGTCTGTTTTAATCATACGTGGACGGGCGACCATCACGAAATTTGTCACTGAGATTCACACGACCGCGTTTGAATACTGCAAACCAGTTATAAATAGTCGTCTTGCAAGCCGAGCGAAGCTCAGCTGAGCTGTTAAGTTATAGTTAAAGTCGTAGAAAATCATACTACGAAAATTTTCACGAGTAAATTCCATGGTGATGTAGACAACCAATTTCTAAAATGACGCCACTATGTAAAAACAAGTGACAGACAGATGAAACAAAGTATACTCCTCAGCTAAAGAGTTCCATTTTCAAATGTTGGAATTACTTTTTAAATATTGTTTATGTAAGTGGCCAGTTCCGGAAACTTATAGTGCGCCCTATGTATCAGCTGTATTTTGGAGTTAGGTCATGTTCAAGAAGCGGCGGACTATCGAGCATGTGTCTGATACAATTGACTTTTGTAGAGGTATATATGCTTTAGGGTGCAGATGTATAATTTTTACCAGTTGATAAAATTATAATGGGGACTATCTTAATGGTTTTGTTGGCAACTGGCTGGTGCAGTGGCTCGCTGAGAGCGACGAATAATTTTAACGAATAAATTTGTCAGTCGTTGTCAGCGGGCCGCCAAAGCATTGTTTTTTTACCAATTTATGTTATTTCTATTTAAATATATTATTTTAGTACTTTACCTGATATTATAATTCTTCGCTTGTTCGTTAACAGGTTTCTTGGTGCGACATCTGTTTGATTTCGTCTGCTAAAGGTATGTATTTTTGTATTTTTTCAGTGTGTTTCTATTTTAGATTGTTTGTGCTGGGAACGGCAATATCTATGATGAAGGTGGACTTTGCAGATTATACAGTTAGTGTTATGTCAGGTCTGTTGCTGAAGATAGAGCGGTCGATGATGATGTCTCGATCCCAGTAGAGTTTTATTTTATTACTTTATATTTATTATTATTATTTGTTCATAATCAATATACCTTACCAAAAGTTTTGTCATAGTATGTTTATTAGTGTGTTTTAGTTTTCTATTACATTTTTATATATTTCTCGAATATTTAAATACTTTTTTAACGTAGGTTTTTTTTACTTTCTTACACAGTATCAAACTTCTGAACTACACTATTATAACTAACTATTACACAGGGTAGGAACGTTAATTTTTACAATTTGTCTAAAGGCACCTTCGATTTCTTAACATATAGAAAATCTTGTGTGTGACCATCAGTTGTGTATTCCGCCAGAGGGGCGGGTTGTTCGCGCTCCACCAGTGATGCACCCCGAGATAAACGAGTTAATGATTTTAATTTAATTATCATGTGACGTGCGATAAAAAAATATACGTTAGGTAACACAGCAAAATATAACCTAATTTATAATCAAACATTAGGCGACCAGGTTGCTATTTTTCAGTCATCTGGATGAACTTAGGGAAAATGAAACATGGGACATTTTTTACACACACTGTTCACACAAACTGTAATATTAAAACCACGTTCACAAAAAATGTAGGTGTAGGTGCACCAGTGGTCACCGGTGTATTAAGATGGTGTAAGGTAGAAATTAATGAGTCGGTGGTTGGTACCATCACGGAAGAGTGTTTGACTTTGGCTTGTCTGGTGATAGCCACAATTTGTAATCTGTGTCAAACATGGCGGTGACAAACCGTCATACATAGTAATGGACTGGATGGTTTTTTATTATGATAGTGTACCAAGTGAAGGGACGAACAAATCGTGCGCGTGGTGGTAAGCGATACTTTTCTCAAAGCTTTGAATCGCAAAGATCTGAGTGTTTTGCCTTACGCCCGTCATCCGGAGATATAAGTTGACAAGTTCTACGTGCCTGTGATTTCACCAGCACCCGTACCCTTCAAAACCGGAACACAGTAATAATGCTCAGGTTACTGCTTGGCGGCAAAATTAGGTAAGGTGGCAGTAGTTCCCTGGACGAACTCTTTCACAAAGAGATCTACAGCTACTAAAACTGTAGCGTAAGCTGCAGAAGTTACCGACCCCTTGGACAGCAGCGGCATCCGCAGCCAATCTGCCGCACAATGCTCCCACTCCGTTTGCTGGATTGTCGAACCAACCGATCTCTTGTTTCAACATCGCGGCAAACGCTGCTACCCTATAAAATTTAATATTAACATAAATTAAGGTTATTAGCGCAAAAGCGTATAAAAAAAAAGCATAATTAAATATTTTCTTATACATGAAAATAGCATCCAAATATAAAATAATTCGATGTGTACTTTAATATCATTTAAGGTAATGCTGTAGAAAATAAATTCAATGTGGGTTTCAGCTCTATTGCGCTGATAGCCTCAATTTTCTTCAATATTCAGAACAAACAAAATGCAATAATCGACCTTATTGCTAATGAGCAAATTTTGAAGAAAACTTTTCAATCGAGAGATATAAAGGTTCGATAGAGATAATCGTGAAACCGATGGTTTTTAGAACGTGCAAAATTGAATACAACTTCATGATTACTATAGGTGGAATTTACAATATAATAATAAGCGACATATAGTTAAAGAGAAACAGAAAGAACAAACATGTTTAAATTCATATCGTTTGTTTGTTTTGTCTTATAAATATATAATAGTTACTTATCAAATAATAGACGCACTGATAAGATAACCTAATAATAGAGTTAACAACGAAGATTCTGCATCAGAGCGAGTAATCCAGTTGGAAGGTGTAAGTTATAGGTATCTAGCGATAATTTACTATAGAAAATAACAATTTCGATACAGGTGCCAATGCACATTTTTACAAATATGCCAAAAAATGTCAACACGGGGGGATACGACATGTGTTTTTACTTTGACAAAATAAATGGAAAAATTAGAACTCTCAAGTTAACAAGTAAACTTTCTCCAAAACTTAAACCAGTCACGAAATCATCTTTATAACAAACGGAGGCTATTAGCATTTAAAAATTAGTCAATTTTATTAATTTTGTATGACAAATTTTATATGTAATTTTAACAACTTCGGATGTTCCGAATTTTTCGTCGCATACAATGAAATGATCCCTTAGCAGAACTCAAATTTATAAAGAACTCAAACTTGACAAAAAAATTGAGTAGGTATGCCAAAATTGTTTTTACAAAAATAGACTTGATGATTCCTAAGACAGTTTCCTTGCATCTTCTATGGTTTTAGATTTCCCTATACTGTCCCATTTAAAACTTATATTTAACTTATGAAAATTTCAAGTTATGAATAATATACTATTTATAACTACTATTATCATTAAGCGGCCCCTTCAGAAAATAGGGTACGGAACTGCTGTAAACATTATTTATAAAACGCAAACAAAAAATGGCCTGTGATCAATTAAAGAGCTGCGATATCTTCTGACGAATTCGACTAAACGAAGTATTTGTAAGGCCAAGTGTCGTATTGAGAGAACTACTAAAAAGGAACAATAAAATGTTATTTACCTAAGTCGCGCAGTAAGCCTGACACCTGTCAAGTTGAAAATAAATATTTGGAAGAATATGCCGACGCCGGTAAGCACCCCCACGAGTAAGAATAACACGGCAATCAAGTTCGTCTCTCCCCGGACCCAGTTGTCGTCAGGATTCTCCAAAAGCTGCAAAGCATTCCGTTATTTTGTCAATCATAGAAAATATATTATAGAAATGCATAAATCGTATTCGGTAGCAAAGGCAAAACAATAAAACATAATATAGGTACTACAATATTTTATAAGGACGCAATTACTTATTATAAAGGTTACATATAATATATTTGTGGATTCAAGCAGATCTATCGTAAAAGGTTAGTAAAATTCATGATATTTATTCTAAAGTATTTGATTCAAACCTTTAGCCTAGTTACTTTTAGACCCCGTTTAGAATTCCTATGCATGCATTTTTTATCTTAAAGAGTTTAAAGATATAAAGGGATTTAATTAAGTAATGATTAAAATTTAACGAGCTGTTAAACTGTTTTGTAAAACGTACATGATACATACCTACATACATTGTGCATACTGGCTATGTGTGATATGAAAAATATTAATAATGAAAGTATTTATAAATTTTATTCTCCAGTCATTTATAAATTGGGACACTAACGCAGAGAGATAACGAATGAATGAATACCAACCGTGTTATCGGACCAAGAAGCTTCACATAAAATAACGTATGTTACATTTACATGTGCAATTTAGACGCCGCGAATCGCAATCGCTCAGCAATGGCCGTGTATATAATCACATTAATTTGTGTTCTAGTGTACTATTTCTACATAAAAATAAAATCTTCGTATGCATACTGGGAGAGCAGAAAAATAAAAGGTCCAAAACCTCAATATTTATTTGGGAATTTTAGAGCTGTTATCACTAAAAAGGAGTCAGTGACGACACTTGCAGCTAATATTTATAAGCAATTTTCAACTGAACAAGTTATTGGAATATATCAAGGTTGGAAACCAGCACTGATAGTAAATGATCCAGAACTCATAAACAAAGTGCTAGTGAAACACTTTGAAACATTTTCAAGTAGAGGCATTCGAACGTCGGAAAATAATCCTCTCTCAAAAAACTTATTCGCTTTAGATGGTGAGGAATGGAAAGTTTTAAGACAAAAATTGAGTCCTGTGTTCACACCAGGAAAACTCAAGCAAATGATGCCGCTAATGGATAACTGTGTAAAACAATACCTGGATTATTTGGATAAATTACTTGAAAGACCAGATCCCCTTGAAATGAGAAGTTTAAAAATGAAATACACCCTAAAAAGTATTACTACAATTGCATTTGGACTGGATATTGACACTTTCTCCGAAGACGACTGTATGTTTATTGAAATGGCTAATAGATTGTTTCGGCCCCAGAATTCAAAAATAATTATAAGGGGACTCTTGCCGGGATTATTAAAGAAACTTGTAAAGATCGACTTTGAATCACCTGAATTAATAAACTTTTTCTTGGATCTTGTGAGCGAAATCGCTAATGAAAGAGAAAGGAAGCCAAAGGTTCGAAAGGACTTTATGGATTTCATGATCGATTTAAAAGAACAAGAGACGGTTACTAAATCTAACGCAGAAGGAACTGCTGTGTTAGAAATTACCGACGCATTAATTGCTGCACAGGCTATGGTTTACTACGCTGCAGGGTTTGAAAGTTCTTCAGGTACAATGTCCTTTTTACTCTATGAGCTGGCATTCAATCCGAAAGTACAGGAAAACTGTTTTAAAGAAATTACCATGGTAATGGATAAATACAATGGTGCTTTGACATACGAGGCCTTACATGAATTAAATTATTTATCAATGACTTTTGACGAGACTCTTCGAAAGTATCCAGTAGCAGGTTTGGTATTCAGACAAAGTATTAGAGATTATGAGATTCCCGAACTGAATTTAAGTTTGAGGAAAGGCATGAGATTTCTTATACCAGTGTTCGCTATTCAAAGAGATCCAAAATATTTCCCTGACCCAGTAAAATTCGATCCAGAGCGATTTACATTAGAAAACAAACAAACTATCCGGGATTGTACGTATCTTCCCTTTGGAGAAGGGCCACGGAACTGCATAGGTAAATAGAAAAATGACATTTTAATTTTAGTATATTTTCAGTGGCAGAAGGTATGTAAGTATCTATTTTTTGTTTAAATGTGCGCTATTCATTCAGCCACTTTTTAAAGTTTCCGTCATGGTATATATTATTTTAATAATGTAAATTTAAATATGACTTCATTATTATTAAGTTCCAAAGCACAGTAACCCTATGGTTTCAGGTCAACGCTTCGCCAAAGTACAATCCATGTTGGGCTTAGCCCACTTCATAAGAAAGATTCGAGTGGAGCCGTGCGAGAGAACTACGAGAGAGATAAAGTTCGACCCACAGAAAATGATGCTAACCGCAATTGATGGAATATGGTTAACACTTAAACAGAGATTCGACAAACCTTAGACTCGAACAATAACGCGGTTCCAAGTCAGGTGTTTGATTCTCGATATGTCGCGGAATGTTAAAGTACTAATTTCTTCCATTGACAATAGAAGAAATTAGTACCGTACATGTTATAATGCCACTATTCTAAGGTACAAATGTAACTTCATACATTAAATATAGCACTTTACGAGTCATCGATCCTGTTTCGATTCTTGAGCACCAAATATGTATATCTGCTATGTATTGTTTAGTTAAATAGTTAAACTTTACTCACGGCATATGTCTCACCAAAAAGAACGGCAAACATAGGGAACGAAGCACCTACGGCAACAGCAGCCAAGGCACCGCCGATCATTAGCATCTTTTCAGGTTTACAAAGTTTCATTATTTCCCACATGGTAGGATCATTCTCTCCTTTATCTTTACTCTCCTTTTCATCCTCTTCACTTGACGAGGAGCCACTCGAGACACTATCACTTTTCACAGACTCTATCGATGCTAGTTTTTCAAGCTTGGGTCGATGTATCCTAAGATCTGTAGGAGGAGCGTCGTCAGCTAAAAGAAATAACCATTACATTTTAGCCATGCGAAAGTACCCCGAACATTGTAATAGGGAACGTGCATTAACCCTACCGTAGCAGAGCAAATGTTATCATATACATTATGAATAAACTATTAAGCACGATAAAAAGATAGGTCATAGAACTTGATGTCAATTGATTACAAAAACTGTGAGTTTTCATAAGTATGCCTTATGTGACGTATTCCTAATACAGAGGTTGCTAATTGAAAATGATATTATAGATCATTAGTAGAACTAATCAATCAACTGGCTAAGAGAAAATACGATAACGGTTGTTATAAGTCCTTTCTGTGCCGCTAGTTAGTGGACCTTACATGACATTCGTTTATGCTAACGAGTCTAGTGAATTATGTCAAAAAAAAGGTGTAAAATATTTCAAATTTAATCATAGGGGTCCTAATTATAGAGCTCCATTTGTAATCAGCTTTCAACGACTTTACGCAAGACGTCAAGTGGCATAGATATTGGATCTTTCTGGCTACGGGTAGCCATTCAAACACTGTTTCTATTATTATCTATCACTTGTGGCCCACTTTAAACAGGCTGATCCAATACAGTGATTCCAAATTCTGACAGTCATATGCACGTTCCCCTAAAAGCTAATTTCAATAAAGTAAAAATAACAAAATCATGCCATGCAATGGTTGAAGAGTTGTTAGTCGACAAATGCATTAGTAGGTACTTTCCATGCTACTGGAGAGGACTAGGGATAAAGCACTGAAAAAATAGAAAAAAGTGACAATTTTATTACGATAATGTTTGTACAATCATTTTTATTTGGGATCTCTATCTCAACACTTTGTAAAACGCGTTGTTCTCTGACCGTTAGCAAAGACGCGGACCAGTTTAAACAGTCTCACCACAGTAGACGACAGAGAAATGTACTAATATGTTGCTGTCAATGAACTTTTTTATAACAAATAAGTACATTATTATGTAATAAGTTATTGGTAAAAGCATCACATGAAAATACAAGCGCAGAAAAATATTAATATATGCATATTTTTTACTTTTTTTCACAAGCGCAATGCCGTCGGGCTGCGGGTGGGTGGGCGCGATTCCAGGTTCGTTCTCTAGCACGAGTTGATAGTACCTCCCACGCAATGAAAGCAACTCTTCGTGAGTACCTTGTTCTACCACCACTCCTTTATCCAAAAGCACTATGCGATTTGCATTGAGGACTGTCGCTAACCTGTGTACAAAAAAAGGGTAAGGGCTTTTTTCGTATTTCACCGTATGAAATACGAAAAAAGTATTAAACATAATTAAGCTCTAATTTCTTTCAATCTTATAACTGTGACAAAAAAAAGGAAAATGACAGGTTTTTGTAGTTATAGTTTTTGGAACAAATTAATTTTTAGTTTAAGTATTATTTATTACGTTTTGAGTTTTTTAAATAATTTATTTGTTACATGTTTAAGCTGATGGTTCTATAGCCAATGCTCAACAAATAAAAAATCATAATCTCTGATTGGGACAATTTCGTTCGTCCTGTCACTTGGTATTATAAAATAAATCCATTCCAATCTTAAGCGTCGAAATTATGCGGCTCAATTTTCCCACAAATGTGGTGCTACTACAGAGATATCGCCAATGCCCAGGTTTGTGGAGCTGTGTACGTTCGTACAATAACGGCTTCATAGACTTAGAATAATAACGCATAGAATGATAGTTTCATATCAAACGGACTGTCACAAGTGAGCCAAAAATCAAATTCATGTAGGCTAGTTTTAGTAGTAGGTTAATTTTCGGTTTTAGTGAATATTTATATAAAAATACAAGTTGAAACGCGTTACTTCCTTGTGGAATGTGATGTTAGTATCTATTTTATGTTTGTCTGACGTATTTTTACACTCATTTACCGCACATTTCGTCATTTTTAGCTAAAATTCTGGAGCTGTTCGCGGTGCTAGTTGACCTTGAGCATTGAAGGCCCGCCCGCTCGTGTAGGCCCTTTTTGGCGCGCTTCAATTTGCCTCACTTAGCGTGTGCGGGCTAGGTTTCTATGCGTTATTATTCTAAGTTCATAGAATTACTACACTTTTGATATTATTTTCGTATTGTTTTGCAAATCTGTTAAATTTAATATCATTTTAATGTGTTCTATTTAGGAAGGTCCTGCCCCTTATTGCTTTGGTCAATTAATAAGCTTGAGTTACGAAGTACCTTGAACGGTTACACAATATGGGATGGCCTTTATATAACTTTACGCTTTTTAACCTGTGGCTAACCATGACGGTGGTCCGGCCATGCGCCGCGGAGTCTAGCGCCCTTTGGACCTTGGCTTCACTGTGAGAGTCCAACGCTGAAGTCGCCTCATCCAGAATCAAAATTTTAGGTTTGCGGACTAGCGCCCTAGCGATTGCTATCCTTTGTTTCTGTCCTCCTGATAGTTGGGCACCTCGTTCACCGATCATTGTGTCGTATTCCTATTAAGGAAATGTTTATGAAATACATAGATTCGTAGGTACTTTGCCTTATTAGGGAATTAAAAAAAAAAATTAGATATTGGCAACAAAGTTTATACTGCGCCATAACTTTGATCCACTCTGAAATACTCTCACATACCGACTTGCTTCCTAACCGTTTAACTCGTAAGTTTGCGTGACGTGCAGTGAGAAATGCTAAAGTAGTAGATATCTAACCTACCTACTATCAATACATTTTCACCAGCACACCTAAACTTCAGTAAAGTCAAACGCAGCCACAGTGAAATTATGAAATATGACTCGAAACGTCAGATTGAGATTTAAGTTTACACTCTGGACTACGTAGGTGACGCGCTTGCGCGAGTGATCCATAACGTGCTGTTTTTATTCTTTATAGCACTAGGTATATAGAATTAGTATATGTTAGAATGATGATTTAACCCAAAGACACATCACGTGGTATGTCAAAGTTCGTTACCAACTTAACACTTGAATTAACTTACGTCAGGTAGTTTTCTGATGAAATTATGACAGTAAGCTTGCTTAGCTGCGACAATGATTTCTGCGTCTGTACAACTGGGATTACTTATACTGTGAAAAAAAAAACATTTTATTACTTTAACAGCGATAAAGGTTTCTAAATTGTCGCGTTACATCATACATTAGAGGGCTTTACACAGACCATCAAGTATATAACCAGAAATAAAGACGAAATAAGGGCCGTATATTCCATATACACATTAGCTATACAGCTCTTATAAATATCAACTCCCGTTTGCACTGAAATATAGACAGATCAACTACTGACCTATGTGTACGTCTCCGTGTATTCCAAAAAATATTCTGTATTTTTTGTAACAAAGATAACAATGCCGTGCTGTTCTATTCGGTGGTTTGGGAAAAACAGCAAAACATCTAATTACAAGACAAACGGAATCACATTTCATCGGTAGTTAAATATTAAATAGGTATATAATTTTGTAATTTTCGTCCATTATAGCAAAGCTCAAGTTAACTGGTCGATTGAAGTGAAACAGTCGACGTCACCCGTCAATTGTTTCGACTTCGGGCTAGCCAATCGGAGCGCAGTTGTCACAGTAATAATATGGCAGAATAGTTTTCAAACAAATTAAATGACATTTCGTTTCTATTTCGGTTATGTACTCGATGACAGACCCTCTCTCGCGCGTGGTAATATTGGAAGGAAAAGAGAAAGACTGCGCGATTGCACTCATCAGTCGCGCTTGCAATCATGCGTTCCAAAGTTGCCTTTTACACGAACGATCTTCCGTTGTAATACAAACCAACACGAGCAAACGCACGCGATGGAACGTTAGCTTAAAAAACTTCAAACTGGTGATCGCGCATAAAGGCGCATGCAGGCTTTTACGCGCGCAATCCTGTACGCTCCTGATCACGAGCGATAGAGTGAATGTGTAAAAGGAGCTATTGTAAACGGGAATAAACGCGACAAAGTTGTTTTAATAGCGTCAAAGGCGTTAATTTTATGGCCAACGCAAATCTCGTATGGGAAGGAAGAGGTCATTAAATTTATCAATTGAAATAAGGTATAAATATCGCTGCGTATTTTTATCTGTGATAAGAAGAGCATGGTAGAGGCTACCGCGGCGGGAGTGTTTCGTGCCCGCAACCGCGGCGGCTACATGCCCGCACAAACTTGCAGAGTCGTGATTATTGAAATAAAACCGCTGTCTAGCAGCACCGGCGCACGCGGATGGAAACCGCTCCGTGAATTGTTAAACTTATTAAACTTAAACTGACGCTACTCAACGAGGGGTGTGGTCCTCGTCGCCAGTGTCAATTTTCCATGACACGTTAACGGTTGTTGTAGGGTTGGTGAAGCTGTCACTGTCAAGAGTAAACCATCAACGAATTTAATAAATTAAATTATGTTGTTTTTTTATGAAGGATTTACGTAATTTTTTAAATGCATTTGCTATGGAAATTGAAACATAGTCAGAAATAGTAATAAGAAAACTAATCTTTCGATTTTCCTGCAGCTTCAATCCAACCTCCTTTTATTTTAAATTCATTGGAAAAACTTAAAAATTAAAAATACTCTACGTTTAATCTACGAGTATAATTTATTTTTATTTATTTATATTTTTATTTATTTTATTTATTTTTAATTTTTAATATTAGATTAGATTAGATTTAGATTATAATGGAATTTAAATATCTAAAATAATAATACACATACATTTTTCTTCAAGCAACAGCAACATACAAATTGACATGACATTAAAACGGATGTCCGAAATATGAGTTGTGTTAAAGTTACTCGAAATAAAATGTTTAGTAATAATAATAATAAAATAAAAGAAATCAATTTAAGGTGAATGTTTTTCGCTTCAAAGTTTTAGGGATTTTAATTACAAAAATCATAGTAAGAAATTAAAACATTTCAGTTAAAATTTATTGTCGATAAACATCAGACATCGTAAATGAACAACTATATTTGTGCCTAGAAACTTCTATGGAGACAAGAAGAAAATAGTAATGAATAATAGAAATAGTAACTAAAAATGCAAATAGCCGGTGGAATGTTATCGCACTGGTTTTAAAGTTTTTGTTGGCAACTTGGCATTTTCACGTTTTACGAGAGATCTTGTATGTACAACGATCGCCATGTCACTGTGATGATGTTTGTTGGCTTGTCACCTCGATATGATCATTTTGATCATATCGAGGCGACACGAACCACACCCCCATACCATATCTCCCCTTTTTTTCTATATCTATAACATTTGAGAGTATCGTTTTCACAATTGACGTATAAGTGGTAGGAAGGGGTGATTGATCGCTATTGCCATGCTATTTGGCACAAACTATAAAACGTATCTTTCTTATTCGCGAGGACGAAAATGGAAAATGCGTGCGTAGCAAAAGTTTCACGGCCTCCGTGGCGAGTGGCTTGCACACCGGTTTTCATGGTGTCGCCATTTCTGAGGTCCCGCGTTCGATCCCCGGCCAGGTCAGTGTAGGAAACTAACTTTTCCATATAGTCTCGGGTCCGGGTGTTTGTGGTACGATCGCCGATCGTTGTTTCCGATTTCCATAACACAAGCGCTTTAGTTACTTACTTTGGGATCAGAACAACGTATGTGATGTTGTCTAATATTTAAAGGTGATCAAGGTGAATAAGGGCTTACCGAATATTTTCCCTTATACTCCCAGCAAACAAAACCGGCTCCTGACCCACGACTGCGATATGATTCCTTAAATGTCGAACATTCATATTCTTGACATCATTCCCGGAGTAGTACACATTGCCTCTTTCTGGGTCATACATCCTTTGTATCAACTGTAGTACTGTGGATTTACCGCAACCACTCGAACCGACAAGAGCTAGTGTTTCGTTTTTGTTTATTTTGAGATTTAATCCATTTAGGACCTGGAAATTCAGATATTGACTGCTGAGAGACGATTAGTATATACCTATTGTTGTGTTAATTTCAACCAAAACTCGCCTAAAGACCGTTTTACACGACGAAACTAGTAGGCGATAAGTAGGAGTAAATCACTTGGTGAGTTTGGTAAGATAAAATACAGTGCATCGGTTATCAAACATGCCAAGAAAAATGTTCCTCCTTACCGATTATTACGAAGCCTTTGTAAACTAGTCACAAGGTTTGTTATCATTCTGTAGTAAATTTTAGGAACAGGCTAAGGCGTCTAATCCATACTGCCTTTTATTATTCAACAAAGGAAAGAGAAGTATAGACAGATTTTTTAAACAACCAATACGGTTTTCTGATTGTTACTAAATTGGAAAAAAACTTTCAAGATAACGAAATCCGATTGGCTGTTTAAGAGCTCTCATGCAAAAAAGTTTTGACGTTGGCTCCACCCAAATTTGTGAAACAAATATATGCCTGAAGTTCGCGTGACATGTGACAGGCGATGTTGAATTTTGCGCATTAAAAGTACCAAATTCGTTTTAGTGGAATAACTCTAAAACTAAAGGGATTAAAAAAAATCCGTAGTGACAGTTGTCGGTCATGCATAAATATAATTAATTATCTAATTTTTGTCCTAATAACCTGTAGCATTTCGAGGATAAATTGAAAAAATGTGAAAATTAGAGGTCATTTCGTGATTTTTATCTATCGAGGAAACTTTATTGTTTTATGTTTCTGATTAATGTCTATGCTTGAATATGTCGTGTAGTTACTCATACAATATTTTATTTTTAACTTTAAAGTGGATATACCCCTCTACAATCCTCCTCATTCCTCTGCTCCCTCTTAAATACAATATCTCTTTACTCAGCTTTAATAGTGGTTAAGCATAAAGGTCTTCATTCACTAAAAGGGGGCATTCACTACCCTGCATTGCAGTCCGCCTTGCGATCTGCCGCGTAATGCAGACTTATGAATGTAGTCGCACCGTGCAAGCCATCCTGCAATCTTGCGATACTCTGAATATGGGCCATACGCAGAACAGTGTATGAGCAGTGTCCTGCCTGCACGGCGTACTGCCGCGCAGGTTGTGAATGGGCCGTTTAATACCGCTACGTCTCAACAGACGCCGCATTTGATTCTAACATTCAATTTTGAGTACCATATTTCGGAAAAGGAAAACGAGGAGTATAGTGTCCCCGCGCTGCCAATTGATTTATAATTTGTATTGCACGATACAAGATTTGAATTTCGGCTTTGTGCTGAGGTTTACGTCGAGATCATAATAACCATTTTCCTTTACAGCCCAGCGGAGAGTAGCTGTATTTCAGTGATTTCAGCAGCCAACTGTATTTCGTTATTTTGACATCCCTGCGCTCGTGCTTAGTGGCTAAGGAAACGAAGATGTTATTTTTCCACTTTCGAACTCACTTCAAAATAATCTTTATTATTAGTAATCATTATGCTTGAAATCGTCAAACTAATTAAACATTACTACTGATTCGTAAAGCAGATTCTTGCGACAAGAATGAGTTAGGAACCCTAGGAGTTGTTTTTAACTGACTTCAAAAAAGGAGGAGGTTCTTAATTCGACTTTATGGTTTTTTTGTCTGTATGTTACGCGATAACTCCGGTATTCGTGAACCGATTTTCATGATTCTTTTTTTGTTGGAAAAAGGGTAGCTCCATAGTGGTCCCATTTCATTTTGAAGAAAATCATCTACCTCTAAGGGTGGCTGTTCACGCATGAAAATTCATTTTTATAATTAGCGCCTAAATTTTATTTAAGGAGTAATTATTTTAATGGTTGATTTTGCTTTTTCTCCAATTCAAGGCGTTTTTCTCTCAATATACTTTGAGTAGTGAGAACCGATTTTTATTATCTCCAGTGTCAAGTCCTGTATAGTGGTGAACTAGGGCATATTTCAATAAAACTTGGCAAACAGACATATATAATATATAAATAATATATAAATAATTCCATGTACTTTTGAGGTTGGTTTTTTTAGTTTTCTGTACTGAGATTATTTGAATATATATTTGTTCATAGACTATACCATTTACTTACAGTATTTATTTTAAATTATCATCGATCAAAATATATATAAGGCCTACAATTTATTTTTAAAGTGGAGCTCAGCAGCTCTAAATACTGTTAGTGAGATATTTTATCTCGTATGTTGGAACAAACAAATAACAAAAGATTGGATGGTGAGTTCCTGGAGATCCGTAACACAGGTCAAATCCTAGTATGGACTCCAGTCTCTTAGTCTTTCCAGTCAAAGATGTATTAATGATAAGTTCATAATATTAATTACTTATTTATAAGATATTTTTGTAAAGAGAGAAATAAAGATTATTATTATTATAATAAAGAAGTCAAATAAAAGAAATTAGCTGAAAGTATGGATATTATATTATTTATGTAAGTAATCCACATAACGTTGCTTGATATTGAGATAAATAATGTAAATAAAAACACCAGTTTTTTTGGCAACAAAAGATTACTAGAATTATTGCTACCGCCTCTCGCCGTGTTCCACGTTAGATACTTAATAGCGCATATGGTGACACTTTTTTTTTTATACATGACAGGCAAATGACTCCACTCCACCTGATGTTAATTGGAAAGTGGTATCCAAACGCGAAGGAACCTAGTGCAGCGATGAAACACTCACTGCACTAGCCACCTCCACCCTGCCTGCCTACAATATGCCTCTTCACGCCTCGTTTGAAGGACCCCATATCATAAGAGGGAGGGAAGACATGTGCCGGAAGGGAGTTCCATTTGTCAACCGTGCGGCAGAGAAAGGAGCCACCGAACCTTTTAGTACGCGATGGAATGCGGCAGGTAGTGAAACGGTGACTACGAAGGCCAGCACGCGTGCTTCTGAGCAGGAACGGGGAAGGGGGGATGAGGTTGAACAGCTCTTCAGAGCACTCACCATAGTACATGCGGTAAAAGGCGCTAAGCGATGCAACATCTCTACGCAGTTGCAGAGGTTCAAGGCGTGATGAGACCTCTTCGTCGCCTATAATTCGCTGTAATTTATCCAAGGCATCAAGTAGGTACATGGCGGAGCCGTCCCACAAGTGTGAACAATACTCAACGCAAGACCGGACCTGTGTTTTGTACAGCAGGCATAACTGGTCGGGCGTGAAAAAACGTCGCACCTTGTTCAGGACTCCGAGTTTCCGTGAGGCTGTTTTGATCACAGATTCGATGTAGCTCCTTGGATTCAAATCACAGCAGATTTCCATACCGAGCAAGGTAAAACTGCTCTGAGGTGAAAGTGCTGTGCTCATCAGAGAAGGCATGGGAAGGAACGGCGACAATTTTGTTGTTAACGCGCAAACTTGTGTTTTCTTGGCGTTGAACTCAACAAGATTTCTAGATCCCCATGTAGAGATGAGGTCCAATATCCTATTAAGCTCACCGACAAGATTGGATCGCTCTCTGTCAGTATCGGCGCGCCCAGCTGCGGGGAATCCGTGATATCCCCCATGAACAGTGCTACCATCTGCATAACAATGAATATTCCCAAGTGGAAGCATATCATTGATATGCAGAAGGAAAAGCGTGGGAGATAGGACGGATCCCTGCGGTACATAGTTTCATTACAAATTTAGAGGGTTTTTTAAATTTACTGATACAAAGATCGAACATTAAGAAAAATCCTTCGATCCGGTTGGATTCGAATCAGCAGCGCCTTCAACATACCAGGGGCCTTACCATGAACTCTTATTACAATTCCGTTTAGGACCTAAAATAAATCGTTGTGAGACAGCGCTACATGAAGTATAAGAGTTCATGGTAAGGCCCCTGGCCTGACACCCTCGAAACTGAACGAAACAGCAGACCTTACTTAATTTTTCTATGTGCTTGTTACAGATCTTTGTTTTTCGTTTTTAACTTTTTGCCGTAGCGCCATTTGTGAGAAATCTATGAAACTTTTTTCATTGGTTTTTTATTACTTTTTCTTTGTTGGGTAATGATTTGAACTCATGCTATAAAGCGGGGCTGAACAATTAATGAAGGGCCTTACCCATGAACTCTTATTACGATTCGATACGATTAAGACGTTGTGAGACAGCGCTACATGAAGTGTATATCGCTTTTTGTCGTCACGAACCTATACTGAACTGTAATAAGAGTTCATGGTAAGGCCCCAGGTTACCACACGATTGTCACGGTAATCTCTTGAATTTCTCACCTGAACGTCTGGTCTTGCCGGGTAGCGAAAATATACGTCATGTAATTCAATATCTCCGCTGATCTCAGGCCTGCTGCCTTCAGTGCCCAAGCTATCGATCTCAGGTTTCCTGTCGAGGACTCCATATATAACTCCTGCAGATGCCCTCGCACATGATATGGCTTCTAAGTGGGGTGCGGTTAGGCCCACGTTCTGGGCGCCTTGTAGCACGCTGAAAAATATCTGAAGACAAGTTCAAACTACTATACTTTATAACAAACATTCGCAACTGATCACTATTGGACCGACACAGTCTGAACTCTACATTAGCATTACTTACTAACTTACTATAGAGTGTAATTTTTTTCATAGAAATTTCAAAGGTAATAAACCAATGGTCAATCTTTACTGAAATCGCAAGTAAGTAAAATGGCATTAATACATATCTTCCTGAAATGTAGAACAAAAATATTTTTGTTAACTAGAACTATTTGTAAGTATTTAGTTCTAGTGGATGGATGGATTTATAATAGCATCATCACCAATTCATGACAGCATGAAAACCTGATTTTCTTCAGTGTAGGTACCTACTTTTTTTAGGATTTAAACGTACATATACGAACGCAGAGCCAAGAGATTTATTGGCAACGATAAACTCGAATCTAAACTTTATAGGATAGACCATCGGCGCAAATTTGTCTGTCTGTCGGTTTTCTACAGAATATATTTCGGTGAGTGTGCCCAAGAGTTCCATCAGCTCATTCCGCTCGCCCCCTTTGAGCACCGGTCATCCAGGCGTACGGCGGTGATATCATCTTTACTTGGTCGATATTCCCTTCAGGCGTACTAAGCGCTTTTCGTCATCCCGCCAATCTCTTCCCTTCCCTTCGTCAGCGCAAATACTTTCTATTCAACCTTCATTTAACTCGCACAATGACACTAAGACGGACACCATTCTTCGAAGCATTGGCCGTAATTGAATCATTAAGCAAAACAAATGATATTGACGTGTTCAGCAACACTGAATCAAAATTTCTAACATCCGCTGGTTACTATTTGGAGGCGGTCATCGCCCAAAGCTCTGTGGTCCAAATTCCGCATCCTATCTTTGGTTGGTGATCGACTCAACCTTTTTTTTTGTGACTATGACTTACATGTTTAGTTATAAGTACTGTAAGTGTAAGTTGTACTAACTAAATAAATAAATAAATCTTTTATTATGCGCACAGCCCAGGTATGGAATTCCCTGTCTGCGACTATATTATATATGTATAATATACCGTTGACACTTAGACTCTTTGATTTAAAAGAAATAACGAAAAAGTAAGTTGCAGCAAAAAATGGAACTTTTCAAGTTACGAAACGTAATTTTCAATTCAAGGGCTCTAGCAACAGTGATTTAAACTTTCACCTACTACATGAATGAACTAGATTTTATGATTTGTGCTAGGCTTTTCTGCTTATTGCATTGCCCTGGGTAGGCATAACCCTTTTCTGGAGATCCAGCGCAGCGTGTGCAAATCAAGTGCAGACAAAGGGACTAAGCCTAGAGTCGTATTCCAGAACTCTACTCAATACTGACGTCCGGACTAGAGTATTGCAGTGAGCACTGAAAATCATACTCAAGTCCTTGCCATTAGGGTCGTATTTCCAGTGCTTGAAATCATATTCAAGTCTGCTCAAATCGTGACTTGAGCATTGAGTAGAGTTCTGGAATACGACCCTAAGTCTTATGTTTCACAGCTAGCAACACATTGGCAACATTGAGGATTCTTCCTTAGTGACGCAATAGACATTCGCGTGTCTCAGGAACCATTTGACTGTTAGAACACCATTATACCCTTTGGAACTTTCGCATAGCATTGTAAGTACTAAAATTACAGAACTGGAAACATCGAGTATATTGTAACCAGAAATAGAGACGAATGTCATTTAATTTGTTTGAAAACTATTCTGATAAATCATTAGGGTGACAACGGCGCTCCGATTGGCCAACCCGAATTTGAAACGATTGACGGGTGTCGTTAATTGTTTCACTTCATATGGACCAGTTTAACTTGAGCTTTGCTATAATGAACGAAAATTGAAAAATTACATATTTAATTGCCGATGAAATGTGATGCCGTCTGTTTTGTAATTAGATGTTTTGCTGTTTTTCCCACACCACCGAATGGAACAGCTATGTTAGAGATATTCTCTTTATTACAATAAATACAGAATATTTTTGAAATATACGGAGACGTACACACAGGTGAGATGTTGGCGCTGTACTATTTCCGCTTTATAATTTGTAATGTCAATGCAACGAGAATTGATATCTAAAAGTGATATAGGGCCCATTTGCCTGATGAGTTGCCAGAGATGGATTATTATAGATTACTTCGCCTCTATTTCTGGTTATATACTCGACAACTGGAACGAAACTATTTTTTCAGTATCTAAACCGCGTATATGTTTTTTGAAACAACGTAAGTAAAAACAGTTTCATTTCCCTTGTGTAGGTAACAATCGCCAAAACTTATGATCTTGATATTATAAAAAAAGAGGAAAACGCCATGAAACATTTTACATTCTAATATTGATTTTATGGTGGCACTTCAGATGGCTTTTTGTATTTGCTATACACTTCCGGACACATAATTCGAGCCATTACGCATTTTGAGTATTAAGTACCCTAAGCTGAAACAATGTTTGATTGATCAAAAACTATTATGCAATTTTGAAACTAGTACACTAAAGTATACTAGTTCCAAATTCAAAATTGCATAATAGTTTAGTATACTAAACGCATTGACTTACAAATAAATGGACGACGGGTCTAATACAAAAACCACGAAAAAAATGTCCCAAGTCAACCTATTCGAAATTTAAATTGTAATGTGATCGCAGTATCGCGCTGTCAGTCGAACAAATGAAGACTAAAGCGGAGTTTGGCGCTCTGTATACGATTTTAGCGCCTTACAAGTGCGGACACTTTTTAGCGCGGACCCGACGTCCATATAATTGTAAGTCAATGACTAAACGTCTTTTCCGTAAGTCCTTTGGGTATCTGGACTTGCACAACCGGGGAAAATTTTTTCTTCGATGATAACACTATTTTTGTATTCTAGCCCTTTACGACAAACTTGCGAGGTGGCTCGAATTATGTGTCCGGGAGTATATTTGGCAAACAATCACCAATATGTAACTAGCATGTGTAACAAAGTATTTGCCTTGTTTGCCTATTCGACAAGTATATATTTGGAGGACTATATAGTCCTCTTTATTGATTTCGACAACAGCGACCCTTTGAGATTATTTCCTAGCGTCTTATATGAGTCGCCATACACCTACCGCATTTTGTCTTAAATATCCGATCACAAACAGAGCAATAAATTTGACCTGCAAAGTTGAAAGTATATGTATAGGAAGGCTTAGGTCTTCTTTACTTAATTGGCGTTTTCCGTTCAATGTTTCGATTCGCTTTTGTTCGAATGTTTCTACAACAAACACTAAACACGCGTTACTGTGCGCTGGTCTGTTTCTCAAAGCTCGGCACATCAAATGAGTCAAATAGACAAATACGCAAGTAAAGCGTCCACACTGAGTCATATTCATTATTTTAACTCTTTACGTGGATCCATGTGCATATTTTTCCAAGTACAATAAATACCCAATGCAAATAGGCATGTGTAGTGCCACCATTACCACGATATTATATATTTTTTGTGGTAATTTCACAAAAAATACTCCACTAGTTTTTATAATTATTAATCTCGTTTTATATAATAACAAACGCATAGCGAAATTCGTAGGGTCCGCTGACTCGATCTGTAGCTCAATTGGTAGAGCTCTTGCTCTCTTTGTATTAATTAATAAAAAGATCGAACGCAAGTAAATATTTCTTTGATCTGATTGGATTCGAACCTGAATGCTAAGCGAGAGCAACAGCTCTACCAACTCTACCCATTAAGCTACAGATTGAGTCAGCGGCTCTTACGAATTTCGCTAGGCATTTGTTAATTAATATATAAAACGATATTAATAATTATAAAAAACTAGCGAAGTATTTTCACCAAAAATAAGTTAATATCATGGTAGTAAAAAATCATATTACAATTTAAAAAGCGGTAACTCTTGTCAACCTCTGGTAACTGTAAAGAAACCTGGTTGAGTGAAGAAAAACTCATAGATTTCTCATAGGTGGCGGAAGGGCAAAAAGCCGTTAAAACCAAAAACAAATATCTGTAACAAACGCATATAGAATTCGTAAGGTCTGCTGATTCAATTTGTAGCTCAGTTGGCAGAGCGGTTGCTCTAGATTGACATTACAGGCGCTGGTTCGCGTCTTACAAGACCGAAGGAATTTTTCTTTGTGTTCGATTTTTGTACATTAATTACAATTAAAACATAGACTTTTATTAATATGTACATTGTTTCATCGCGTTTGTTCCTGTTTTATAATGTTAGTTCAGCATCGTAAATAAAAATTCTAAACTACTACAACTAGTGAACTTACAATCAACAAAACGGCAGGAGTGTAAATGGGGTTCTCCTCGTGCCTGCTGTCCAGAATAAGCCCGACACCATACCAAAACCCAAGCGCGTAGGTCGCGTAGATTAACAACCACATGACGCCGCTGCCTGCGCCCGAGTACATTCCTTTCCTTGTGCCTGTCTTATTGGCTGGTGCAAGTCGGAGCGTGTACCTGATCGTTGAAGAAATGAATAGAATACCGTTTGATGCAACCATGGTATGAATACAGCTATTACAAGTAACTAGTAGTATTACATGGACCCTGACAGGGTACAACAAATTATACTTAAATCTAGTATGTATTATAATAACTTGTAAAGTTAATTTCATGTTTGAATTAGGTACTAAATACAAATATAGGCTAATACATCGACATCATATTGTCAAAGTTAAACTAAAAGTGCATATCTTTCAGATGTGTTTTTTCTTTAGAGTTATACCTAGTCTTATTAAAATTAAAATTCGAAGTTCGATCGAGCGCAATCTATTAGCATAGCGTGTGCATAATTTAATCTTACGCACACACTAGGTACGTGCCAATATTATTCTCATCAGCTTTTTAACAAATTGCACTACGCTCTGTTAGGGTTTCCAATTGTATTCGAGCAGAGATATAGTTACAAAAATGGAATAAGATACATTAGCCCGACTAACAGTTCAATTTTGCAGATGTGACCTTATTACACCAAGAGTTCGACTGCTATTGTTACAATTCCCGGGGCCGGAAAGTTATTTCCCAGATGTTAAAAAGAATAACGCTCACCTGGCTATTTCCTTTTCCTCTCCGCCGAAAGCGGCAACTGTTCGTATGGACCCCAGCACTTCTTCAGCGACCACGCCCGCTACACTGTATGCTTTCAATTCTTGAGATGTCAACGACGATTGTACCTATAATGCAAATTTACAATTTATCTCACTGGAGTTGGTACCTACAAACTTGCTACGATCATATTCTTCGTTCAGAATGTATCTTCGAACATAAGTTTTAAGAAAAACTTTTGATTTACAAAATGCTATCGATCATTCGGGATATAAACACGGCTGTACGACTCGGAGAGAACGATGGTACAAGAAGTTGGGTTCAAGAAAAACATCGAGTGGGAACGACAAAACGAGAAAATTACATAAGATTCCGTTAATTGGGTAGGTAACTAGATTGTCAACAGTTAATGACATATTTGATCCACCGAATTTTGCTACCACCGATATCAGGATAATTTAACAGACGGCATATTTTAAAAATGGGAATAAAAAATGAAATAATCTATATAAACATTTACTAATATGACTAACTATTAAATCAAGCTTTAAAAAGTAACATTTATTTATAAATCGACCTGAACAACGCAAACAAATTTCATCTTTGACTATTAAGAATAATTAAAATCAGTTTTCACTTTGGCTGTTGAGTCTTTTTAACCGACTTCAAAAAAGGAGGAGGTTTTCAAATCGACTGTCTGTTTTTTTTTATATGTATGTTACGCGATAACTCCGGTATTTGTGAACCGATTTCCATGATTCTTTTTTGTTGGAAAGAGGGCACCTCCATAGTGGTCCTATTTCATTTTGAAGAAAATCATCCACCTCTAAGGGTGGCTGATCACGTATGAACAGTCATTTTTATAAATTTTCTTAAGGAGCAGTTATTTGAATGGTTGGTTTTGCTATTCTCCAATTCTCAGGCGTTTTTCTTTCTCAATATACTTTCGAGTAGTGAGAACCGATTTTTATGATCTCCAGTGTCAAGTCCTGTATAATGGCGAACTAGGGGATATTTCAATAAAACTTGGCAAATAGATGTAATTCCACGCACTTTTGAGGTCGGTTTTTTTAGTACTCTGTACTGAGATTATTTCAATCAAACAAAGTATTTCCGTATCCCTTTTAAAAAAAAATACAAAAGCAACCAATTTTTTGGAACATGCGCGATAAATATCTTCTCATTACTTTCTGTACTTGACGAGGTAATTCATTTAACTTCAAAATCCTTCTGTCCGTTTTTTCTTCGCATACCTTTGTCTATCCTTTTCTTTAAGCCTTTCATATATAATTAAATAAAAATAATAATACCTAAATAAAATAAATGTTTATTTCAGTAATACAACTTTACATTAACAGTGGATGGTACCTCCTATAAAGCTTATCAAGCTTGTGTTAGGAGGCACCGTTCTTCCGTAGCTATAAATGCACATTTAACATTTTTACCTTATACTTAATTTAGTGTTTTTTACATTTCCAAACAACGTCAAAACAATTTTTTAACAATTTTCAACAGTGTTTTTAAAGAAAGTGTTCTAGTAGACCTTTGGTTTCCTCATACGTTTTCGTCTGTAGCCATTTTCATATAAGTTTACTCTATAACTTTTGGCGTATATTTCTAATTCCTTATTAATTAAACAAATTATATTAATTATATTATATTAATTATACAAATGGCCCGATCGCTTGTTGAATTGTCGTTTTGCAAATGTTGTATTTACTTTAGGTATTTGTACCACAATATCTTTCCTTCTCCTCTTCGAAACATTTAGATCATATTTTAGAGACCTATGTTGTCTGAGTACACTTTGAGTAATGTAGAGTTTCCTTACAAGGGCTAAATTTGATAGCTGATACAATCTGATAGTGGAAAATAGTTTTTTTTTAAATTCATTATTTTAAGTAAATTGCGTTGCGTACGTACCAACTCAAGAAAACGAGTTTTAGCAGCTCCACCCCATACTGGAATACAATAAATCAATACAGATTGAACCAAACTCACGTATATTTCCTTAAGTATATTCCTAGACGACGATAATTGGATCGCTTTTTATCTTTGCTTTTCTAGCACGTTCCTTCATCTTCTTGATTTCCAATTTTTGTTTTCTGTTTTGATTTTCCTTGTTTATTTACAGCGGGAAGCAAGTAGTAATATAAAATTGTAAAAATCAATAATATTAACTAAATATTTATGTGTAAATATGCATAAAATTTTTGCTTTTTAATGAAAATATGGTTTAGATGGCAGTTTTTCTGAATTCGGTGGCATAAAATCTACCGAATCCAAGGCCACGGAATTCAGTATATATATGTGATATTATTGTAAACGACAGTAGTTGTAAAGCCAATAAATTATTATTATATTTTATTCGTTACAACACATATTATAAAAAAATATTACAACCGTACATCCATAAAATTTATTTATTTTGTTTATATATAATTATTTATTGTACAGGAAAACACAAATCACATTTGGTAAAACGGAAAACACAAACAAAAGGTACTGCTTATTTCCATAAGAAATTTCTTCCTGCAGACCAAAATACAGGACACAATAATTACGACAACGGGTTTAACTGCACAACAAAATAAAATATAATTATGTAATAAAATAATAATAAAAAAACAGCAAAAATATTAAATTACTACAGACTATATAAATACTTAGATAAATACATATTTAATATTATAATATGTATAAAATGGATGGAATAGAGGATAAATAGTGCTCCTTGACTCTCATTTTAAAGATAGTTAAGGATTTACTGTCATGTACAGTAATGGGAAGTGCGTTTCAAAGTCTGACCGCATGAACAGTAAAGGAGTGAGAATAAAAACCGGAATTGAATGATGGAAAAGATAATAGGGACCTAACGAGAGAGCGACAAGGCTTATCGTAGGACCTGAGAAAGCTGAAACGCTCTTTCAGATACCTAGGAGACAAAGGATTATGTAGAATGTTGTAAAGAAGAGAGATGATGTGCAAATTCCTGCGGAGACGAATGGGAAGCCACTTGAGCTGATTGCGATAGTGTGAGATTCGATCATATTTACGAAGGCCAAAGATGAACCTTATACATAGATTTTGCAACCGTTCAAGCTTATTTAGCATTCTCTAGTAACATCTAAATAGCAGGAATCTGCATAGTCTAAGAACGGTAATATAAAAGATTGAGCTAAACAGATCTTGGTTTTTAAAGGCATAAAGTTTTGGAGGCGCTTATGCGAGTGCAAGAAGAAATGGGTTTTTCGACTGATTTCATTAATATGTGAAGTCCAAGTTAAATTACAATCCACAAACAGACCCAGATTAGTAGCAGTAGAAGTATAGGCAATAGGCGTTGAATTATACTGTATAATTGGGACAGAATCAATGTCCAAAGTGCTACGTATATGCTCACTTCCCACAATCATGGCCTGCGACTTTTTGGGATTAACCAACAAGCCAAAAGACTCAGCCCAATAAGCAATGTCTCTTAAATCAGCGTTAACCGCTTCAACGGCTGCAACGACATCGGAAGTTTTAAAACTACAGTAGAGCTGCAAATCGTCAGCAGAGAGATGGAAGTTTGAGGACAACACAGAAGTGACAGAGTTAATGAAAATAGATAACAGAAGAGGTGAGGGGAAAGAACACCACCTGAGGGACACCCGCAGCTAATTCACGCCAATCAGAGGGGCCTCATCAGAGGGAACACAATGCAAGCGATCTTTGAGATAGGAATCGAAACACGCTAAAGCCGAAGGAGAAACATTGAAAGAGTGACGAGATGTACGCAATACATCATGGTCAATAGAGTTGAAGGCACAGCTGAAGTCCAGGAGTATAAGCAAAGTGAGAAGATGATTGTCCATTGCGAGGCGAATATCATATGTTACCTTCAACAGCGCAGTCACAGTGCTATGGCCAGAACGAAAAATGTAATTTTTGAAATGTGTAATTTTTGAAATCGGCAACAAATCACCCACCTGTTCTCTCCAGCCGCAGGGGCGTGATGGACGAATAATACGAACGAATTGCGAGTCTTCCAAAATGCTTCACTTGTAATGTGTAGCGTGATTAGTAGAGCTAGCGGGAATTCGGTGGTAGCACCGAATTTCCGCGTAAGCGTGGGACACGCAGCAATCTTGGTATTGTGATAAAACTTTTGTCCAGTTTATTGTGAAATTCACATTATAAGTACTGTCATCTAATTTATTATACGTGAACTAAAGCTTAATAATGATATACAGTTTCAATTTTGAGAAAAATGACACTTTGTGTTGGATTCTGCATTCGGGACACGCCACCGCTGTCAGCTTTTAGGCATTTCGGATTTTTTTCCATTAGGTCCGAAAGGTTTATTGAGAAGATTTTGTGCTCTCCAGTTAGCTTTCGGCTTATACTATTTTTTTGTAGATTTGTGTTTTGATAAATAAGTGGAGTTTAGTGCATGGATACAGAAGATTGCGGTTTTGGAGAAATGCCCAGATACATTGCCATGGGGCAGTTTCAAGTTTGTTTCTTTTTTTAAGTAATTATATAGTTTAAAGAAGTTCCTTTAACTTGAGATACCATGTTACTTCAAAGGAATTAATTCTTATAATGGACACCTACGATCGGCATTATGAAAATACAGGGGATGCTTATTTTTTAACATTTAGTTGATTCGATTCCTAGATGAGGCAAGCACTTATTTAAAAAAATAAAATGTCTCGAGGGAGCAAAATATCCTATCTGCAATACCGCACAGCCGTAGCCGTGGTCGTTTGTGGAGGAGGATGTTTGCCTGGAGATTTAGTGAGTAGAGCTCCTTGTGAAAGAGTTCGTTCAGGGAAGTACTGCCACCTTACCTATTTCTGCCGCCAAACAGTAACGTGAGCATTACTGCGTTCCAGTTTAGAAGGGAAAGGGTGCTTGTGAAATTACAGGCACATGGGATTTGTCAACTTATGTCTCAGGGTGACGGGCGCAGTGGCAGTGCCCCTCAGATCTTTGCAATTTAAAGCTCTGAGTGGCACTGTAACTGTTATGAACCGGCGTGTTGATTACCATCATTCACTTAATGTTATAAAAAAAAAGATTGCTTGTCCCATCTGCATCTTCTCAACATGGATATGGGTATGAAACCCCGGACTCTTTAGTTACTACAGTTCTTTTCCTTCTTGATTCTGAAAACTACAGTATTCTATATACCGAATTCCTCACTCGTTCTTCACCAAATTACTGCCGGACTCCTTTTGTTGTTAACGCGGATCCCTCCTGCGTAGTGTATAAGAACAGTCTGTTTCGGCAAGGAAAGCAACCGAGGAAAGTAAAAGCCAGCAAAGCTTGTCACATGCAGTGGCTTGCTGATACACACCAGCTTGGGGAAGTTTTACGGTGAGGCATGCAAGCTGATTGGTGTATCTTTCCGAGTGGAAGTACCTCTGAGGTCTTTAGACACCACATGTTGACAAGCAAGCAGGACGTATTATAGTGCTGGGCCGCACACTTTAATACTTTGCTCAATGTAGATCGTTCAGCTGGACTCCAATACATCAGCTTGATGAATCAACTCTCTGTAGTTATCGAGCTGGACGAGCTCTAACGCGTGATGGAGTGGATGCCATCGGACAGCAGCGAAGTAAACGGGCGGTGGGCATCGACCTTATACCGGGGGAGCTGCTAAAGTATGGTTTACGGTCTACCGTGAGGGTGGCGCTGCACACGATGATCTGGGAACTTTTTTTGCCAGAGTTCTCCTAAGCCGGAAAGGTTTATATGAAAAGATACTGCTTGAAACCCAGTTTGGCTTCCGACCTGACCGGGGCACTCGTGAAGCTATCTTTTCCACTGCAGGAAAATAGAAGAGAACAGGGTTGTCATTTGTATCTCTGCTTTATTGACTTGGAGAAAGCATTCGATAGCATTCGACAGTGTGTTCCATGAAGCCCTTTGGATGGTGCTTAGTGCGAAGTAGTTGGGGCGAGGTGAATTTATTGGGCTTCTGAGACTCCTACATGATGATGCAGCAGTAAATGGTGAACAATGAATTTCTTTCGCGTTACCTGTGGGGTAAAACAAGGATGTGTTCTAGCACCAACGTTGTTCGCCTTATACTTTGCCGTGGTAGTCAAGGAAGTACTGCACACTGTTTCTAAGGGACTTCGCATCGGTTCCGCAAAGATGGCATCTTTTCAATCTGGCTAGGCGCTTAAGGCGCGCACTAAAGTATTGTATGTATTGATCACAGGTAACATGTATGCTGACGAATTATGGTTTTGGTAGAATCCTCGAGGGGCCTGCAACGGCTTATGTCTGTTTTTCATGCTGTCCATCCATCAAGTTTCGAATCCATACTTGGTCAGGAAACATTGGTCATTAAGCTTGGAGAGGATCGGTTGAGACAGGTGGATAATTTTCATGGGAACATCAAAACATCCAAGAGTGACCTTGATGCAGAGATTAAGAATAGGATCGGTGGTGCAGCTGCATTTGGCAAACTGTGTTTCAAGGTCTTCTTTTCACATGACTTGAAGTTGGCCACCAAAATATATTTATACATGGCTATTGTGCTGCCAAAAGTTTTATATTCCTCCGAGATAGGGTGTTTGTATTGCCACCATATTATCATTTTAGACCGTTTCCGTTAAATGCCTCCGCTTCAGAAGGTCCGATCGAGTGCGTAAAACCGAAGTCCTGCTACAAGCCAATATCAATTGCATTGAAGCTTAGCTTCGGTGATGCGGTCACGTATCGCGTATGGCGGAGGACAGACTGACGAAGTGAATTTTCTACTCTAAATTTGAGAAGGGTAGGCGGATCTTCAACATCTTTATACCTGAGAAGGTGACCAGCAAACTTGAGCAGTCAACTCCTAAGGTGTAAAGAAGTTTAGAAGCGATATATACTAAAAGACGCAACTTGGAACGGCCTCAATGGGAAGATTTGGCACTGCGTCAGGAATGGCGGGGTATGGTGAAGACGCAAGTCCACGAGTTCGAAGAATGGCATAAAGCTCAACTCTACTCGAAACTTGATGAAATAAAGGAATATTAACTATAAGTATATCTAACAGTGTGGGAGTCCCAGTAGACGTACTGCCTCTGTTCACTATCATTATCAACCGATATACTTTTTACTGTCAAACAACGGGTCTCCTTTAAGACGCTAACAAGCTTCGATGACCTTGCGTCGATGATCTTGAGCGATAACGCCCTACTATAACTTCTCCAATAAGGTGGCGTCATACGCCCCGATGCGGTAAGAGTGTGGTAGTTGGACCTTCCGATTGATTTAACATAATATTGATTGCCGCTAACAGATGGCGTTGTACTTAAAATACACACATGCTATCAAACCAAAAAATATCAAAGCATATAAGAACTGGACATGTTATGCAAACAAGAAACAACCCACACCTCGAGTGAAATTGAGTTATGTATTTAGGTAGAACACCAGACGTGTCCTTTATCCGCTCACAAAAGATCCTGGCAACATACCAAGCCAAAACGGAGAAAATAAAAGTCCTTCAGGGTGCCAACCCTAAATAAGTAACTTTTTAATAGCTAAAAAGAACCTTGCTGCCAAACTTATAATGTCTTTTTTAAAATATGCTAAACGGATCCATGTCACATGTAATGAAGTACTGTAGATCTTTGGCGTTTTCATTACGAAAACTAGAACATGATTCTCGTTAACTAAATAAAAAGATACATAATGTTTTCTATTTATTGCTATATAATATCATAGTTTCCCTATATCGTTCTCACTGCTAAATTACATCGTTTGTCTCAAATAGAGATGCACCGAGTACAAGTTTAACCGAGTAACCGAGTACTGAATATTACTCGGTTTAACATTTTCCGAGCCGAGTACTCGGCCGAGTTACTCGGTTCATTACAACCGGAACTCGATGATTCTAAAAGCCCCCGTTGCTCTAGAATTAGGCCGATATGTCAATGAAAGTTTGACGCGAGAGCAGAGTCCTCTCATCCAATGGTGGGCAGAGAATAAAACAAAATATCCAAAACTGGCACAGTTAGCACGAGTGTTTTTATGTGCACCTGCAAGCACTGTGTATAGCGAGCAGTTATTTGCCGAAGCGGGTAATGTGTATGAAGAAAAAAGGAACAGACTATTACCTGAACGCGCAGAAAGCCTTGCCTAAGCCTAAATTTTCCTACATCATAACATCTTTTTTTGCCTTTGTCAAATTTTAAATATTAATAATGTAAACTTTCTTTTTACATTTTTTTTGATTTCAACGAATTGGTGCATTATATTTACTTATTTGCGTATTTTTTGTGTATGATATTTTTTCACACTGTTAAGTGCCTGTCCATAATTTGCAAGCAAATATTTAGCTCGTACTCTCTAGTAGGCGAAAGTTACTTTTTACTCCTAAATTTGTTATTTGTCTTTTATTTAAAACAAATAAAGTGTCAGGATCAAGATAAGTACCATTTAAATAACCACACCAAATTTGGTAGTAAGCAAGTTTGGTTTGCCCGAGAAAAATATGTCAAAAAATAACCACCAGAGTCTCACTGTAATCCAGTTTTTGTATTTCCTATGACAATAAGCAATATTCTAGGAACTTCAAGCTACACTTCAAGATACGTGTTACAGGATGTACTATTTTCAAAGTTCCACGTGCGATGTTATCGCCTAAAAACTTAAACAAAAACACCATATTTAGCGACTTTGGGCACCTCATCGCCTTAAGTAAAGGGATTTTAGCCAAAGCCCGCAATGGTAACTAAACATGGAACTTCAGTAGGGAACTACACTAATTTCGAAGAATTAATATAATATGAACTTCTCTGGATGCTTGCCTTGTTGTATCATTATAAGTATAATTAAATAACTACCTTAGCGACGATTGCAGTAGTAATGATGATAATCGGAGCACAAGCCAGGATGACGAGAGTCAACTCCCACCCGTACCAGAAAGAGATGAGCACGGCAGTAACAAAGGACATTACCAAATATACAAACATTGGTACTTTCTCTGCGATCCCCTCTCTGATCTTTTCTACATCGCTGCAACAAACATTTCATTATCAAATTATATTTTTATTTTATAAGGTCGTAATTTTTACTAACCGAAATTCTTTTAAGAGCATGTGAAATATGTACATGGAATAGTTGATATTTTTGGGAGATTTCAGGGTCCCTGTAATTAAAGTTATTTAGTTTTGGTAGTTATTTGGTTTGGTTTGTGCAGAACCAAGACTGTAACTGTAACCGTTGCCTCATTGATTTTGCCATAAGAAACCAAACCGCCGTTATATAACCGTTAAAATTATCGATGATAATTTGGTTAGCTTTGGCCAAACTACGCCCAAACCTAACCTAATTATCATCGATCAGACGACACTCACTGCAGAATGAGAATATATAAAATATATTAAAAGTATTATACAACAGAACATCACCACACACAGTCATGAATCATGTGTATACAATGCGTCTGTGCTATTTGCACTTCGTCGGTCCTATTGAAACCGTCTTACACTGCATCTTTCAGCTCATGTACCTACTCCATTCGAGAATCAAAAACTCAAACCTCAAAAACAAAACTCAAAAAAGTTTCATGTATATATTTCAAAATATATACATGAAACTAAAAACTTACTCTGAAACTTTGGTAGCGAAATTCATTGATGTATTCAGGTCATACCAGGAAATATCTTGACGTAAAACGGCCCGTAAAAATTTTTCTTTTAACCTTTCGATCTGTAAACAGGGAAAAACAGTAATTAGTCGGGATAGTGAAATCAGTCAAGACGCTATTTATCACAAAGTTGATCTCCTGAATATAAATTTATCTCAGAAATAAGAAAGCCTTATTTACTCTGGAAAATGATGTGTACATAATATCGTGATAAATAATTTACTAATGAATTAGAACCTCCTCTTCTCCTTCCTTGACCTCCATCATTTAAAATTGTGGCGTTTTAAATGATGGAGGTCAAAATCATTGCCAAGTATGTAATTCCTTCCGTTACCTGCTTGAGTGCGATGTAGTTGAATATGTCAACACTGATAGCTGCCGCGATGAATTGCGCCACTGAGAAGATTACGGTTCCGATGGCGAACGCTTGCGAGTCTTCAATTAACGCCAATCTGTTCGCTTCCTTGGATGCGTTTGTTCTGAAGTTAACAAGTTTTCACAAAGTGTACTGATAAATTTTCGTGACAGTTTTGCTACATTTTCGATAGATGCCCTCACCACATTATTCTTAAGAACAAATGTGCACGCCAAGATTCTGAAACCCGCTTGCCAATTAACATTATTACGTGTAATTTATCACAACTAGCACACAAGCTCTAATAATAAGCCGTATAATAGCCAGTTACAAGTTCTTAATAACGGCATAGGCTGCATTAACAATTTCTATAGTAGATATATAAGCGGCTACATCGCCGCTGTATTTTCGAGATTCGCCACAATCTTCGTCTTGAACACATTCATCCTTAGGCCAACTCTCAAAGAAGCATCATATAGATGTTCCAGCATCCTTTGGAGATCATCGAAACTTGCAAATAGCACGAGATCGTCCGCTAATCTTAGGTGAGACAAATGGTGTTACACCATTAATATTAATGCCGCGGTTATCCCATTTAAAGGTTTTTACGACATCTTCAAGTCCTCGCCGGATTGGAACTGGATTGGTTAAATCGTGAACTTGTACCTGCAGAGTGACTGAACGGTAGAGCTCCCGGGGCACATCCACGCAGCGGGAATCGATGTGACAGCGATGAAGAGCGTAGAACACGGCCCAATGTTTGATACTGTCAAAGGCCTTCTCATAATCGACGAAGGCCATGACAAGGGGCCGGTTAAATTCGAGACATTTCCCCATCAGCTGATTAACCTTGTGGTTATGGTTGATGGTTGAGAAGCCGCTCCGAAAGCCAGCCTGCTCAATAGGCTACGCTTCGTCAAGTTCACTGGTAAGCCAGATGGCCAAAATCTTTGTAAATAGTTTATAAATCTGAGAGAACAAGGTAATCGGCCGATAATTGCTAAGTTTTGCAATGTCGCCTTTTTGTGTATGATGGTGACGATGGCATTCTTCCATTGTTCTAGTGTTCGAGCTTCATGAAGAACTTTGTTGAAAAGTTTCACAAGTACTTTTACCACAGGATTTCCTCCTGCTTTGAGTAGTTGTACTGAAATACCATCATTTCATCATCATCAGATGATGGTGTTGATAAGGCACTGAGTACTAATTTAGAGTTATTAATTTTTCTTCAAATAACCTGAAGAAAATTCATGTTACTAAGAAAAGGTTTCACATACTGAAGAATGAGCCAGTCTTATTGAAACTGCCTCCGTGGCCGAGCGGTTACCATGCCGGACTGCCACGCAGAGGTCCCAGGTTCGATTCCCGGGCCGGGAGAAATAGTTGTATGGCCTACAATTATTTCTCTCGTGAGTTTGGGTGTAATTTGTGGTTGTCTATGTGTGTGTCCATGGCACCCGCGACACAGGGTTTCCCTAGTGCGGGGCTATGTTGAGTGTGTGCGTTATTTATTTATTTATTATTTATTAACAATTTCGTAATGTACACGTTTAATTTGAATATTATGACGGGTAGCTTTTAACACCAGATGATCGAATCAATGTCAGTAATGTCATTCCCAAACGACACTGATTGATCTGTAGTTGTCTTTAAAAATCCTCCAACTCCATCCGGGGCACCCGCGATTATTGCTAGTGTGACCATGGCAAGGGTGCCCAGGAGTTGAATAATTATTACATAGAACTGCAGATCAAAGTATCATTTGGGAGCAACATTACTGATATTGATTCGTTTATCTGGCATTGAAACCTGCCATTGATAATATTAAAATTAAACCTGTAGAAAATTACGAAATTGTAGAAAAAAACTGGCCTTTTCCTGGTAACATGAATTTTCTTCAGGTTGTAAATAAATTTTATAGAATGTCAAGATGTTTCACCTCTATGATATTCAATTGTTTTTTGTGAACTTACTCCACTAGTTAGTTATAATTGTACCAAGTGTCATTTCTTCAGGTTATTTGGAAAAAAGTAACAACTCTAAATTAGCATTCTGTGCCTTATTTTGCATCAAGCCTCGATGTCACGATAAACCCACCGCATGTCCTCATGGTAAACATTTGAGTTTCTACAATTTATCTTCAGAAAACATTCCTGGAAGATAGCGTAGTGTATCGTAGTTATTCAACTGCCAATGAAAACAACAATGAACTAAATTTTCGTGTTTGACATTCTCAACAAAATCATTTAATCAATGATATCACCGTTAATGTAAGTAAAATACAAATTTAAAAGATCGCTAAGGCACAAATAGATCCAAAAGCAATTAAGTAATTTTTGGTTATCTGAAAAATTATGAATAACACTACCTTTGTAAACATTAATACAAAAATCGAACACTCAGAAAAAGTTCCTTCGATCCGGTCGGATTCGAACCGACGTCTTCTTGCATGCCGTGCCAGACGCTATACCAACTAAGCCACGGAACGAACCAACGGACCCAACGAATTTTTCTATGTGTATGCAAGAAGACATCTTTCGAATCCGACCGGATCGAAGGAATTTCTTCTGAGTGTTCGATCTTTGTATTAATGATTACAACAAACTAGTTGAGTAATTTCACAAAAAATAATTGAGTATCAATTCAATAAAAATTTATAACACTATCTTTCTTAAGTTTATTGGGACAAATAAACCACAATACTTTAAAACAGTTTTCGAGAGTGAACGTTATATTCAAAAATATCATAACAATTCAAAATTTGGTGGCGTTCTTAAGTTAAGGTGGTAACACAAACGCCACCAAAACCACCAAATTTGAGACACGTAAGGTGAAATCTCAAAAAATAAATTACGGGAAAAAAAAGTAAAAGCTTAAAAATCAACCCGAGACGATTAAATTGTGATAAAATAATGACAAAATTAGTCTCTTAATTTGGTTTCAGAATACGACCTTAGGATAAAACAAAACTTGAGCCCAAATGAGCCAGGAAAGCTGAATATTTATTGTCCAACGTGCCACCAAAGGGCATATAATTACTTTTTTGACGGGAAATGGAACACAGTGCCCATGTTTTTCGCTGCCAGGTCCTAATACACGACTGAGGCTTGCGCGGGGCAAGAACGTAATGGTTTTTAGTTAAACTACTTACCAGTTGCAACCAGTTGAATTTTTGCCACCAAAACTACAATTTTGCTTGATCAAGTACCCGGTCTCCCACATACTGGTAATTGCAATACTCTCAATGATTTTAGTTAGTGCTTCTAATAGTGAATAACATACATGGAATTATTTTTCTTAAAAGCGTACACATTTTTCCAGAACGACTATTTTATACAATGAAACAGAAAGTGGACATACCAGCAAAATTGAAAATCGGGACATTAATCTTTTTTATTAATTACTATAGTACAATGAATTTTCTGAAATTCTTGCCCTAAACCTAAACTCATTTTACGTCTAATTAAACTATAAAAAATAAATCATTAATATTTCTACACTTTACACCTGGTTTCTCAGCCTGGACTCGCAAAATTTACGCATGAGATATTCACCCATAAATTAATTTGTCAAAACCATGTCAAAACACAGGTCTGGCAACGTATCCCACGAACGCAGCAGAAATTTTCAACGTTGCAATTTTACTAAATAATCAAGAACGCAAACAATAATTTCATTTTTGTTTTGAATCTGTGTGTTTAAGGTTCTAGTGCAACCATAATTTTTTTTTTATTCTTACCTAATGGTAAAAAATTTGACTTTTTTTAAATATTTTGTTTTGATTTCAACGAATTGGTGCATTATATTTACTTCTTTGCGTATTTTTTGTGTATGATATTTTTCACACTGTTAAGTGCTTGTCCATAATTTGCAAGCAATATTTAGCTCGTACTTTAGTAGACGAAAGTTACTTTTTACTCCTAAATTTGTTATTTGTCTTTTATTTAAAACAAATAAAGTGTCAGGATCAAGATAAGTACCATTTAAATAACCACACCAAATTTGGTAGTAAGCAAGTTTGGTTTGCCCAAGAAAAATATGTCAAAAAATAACCACCAGAGTCTCACTGTAATCCAGTTTTTGTATTTCCTTGTCATAAGCAATATTCTCAAAGCAATATTTTCAAAGTTCCACGTGCTATGTCATAGCCTAAAAACTTACACAAAAACACCATATTTAAGCGATTTTGGGCACCTCATCGCCTTAAGCAGCTTGTGTGCTAGTTGGTATTGCAACGACTCTTAATACATGTGTACTTACAGAATTCTTCCGCCGCCAAATAAAGCAAGAGTGATTGTGGAAGTAGAGGTCCCTTTCTGGACCGTTCGGTCTATGAGTAGAGACGTAAACTCGCCGTAAATGATGACTCCAAGAGGCACAAAAAGTCCATTGACGGTTGCTAGTATCAACCCCAGGAATAACATGCCTAATTCCCATCGTTCCGCGAACCTGTACTGTAGAAAAACGTACGATAGTAGAATTTGTAGGGTATTCGCTTCTAAAACTATAATATTCTCGAAGTAAAAGAAATTTTGTTCCGAGATATCTCGGAAGCTAAAAAGTACGGATTTTATATTTACTCTGTTGTTCTGATTTTATATTTACTCTGAAAATTCATTTTCACTTAATTCCTTTTTCTGTTTTTAAATATATAAAGGACAACGCTACGTTTACAAAACATACTTACTTAGCCGAAATTGCTGCTGGACACCAACCCGTTACACCAAGTACTCAGCGAGGGATTTTGTTACGAATTAGAGAAATAAGAAACATTATACAGGTACATCAAGCTAATTATCGGATTATCCTCCACAAAAAATGGTAATATATCGTTCCATGGTATGGTTAAAATCTTAAACTTTAAGAACAGGTTTATACTAAAAATGTTTATCGGCAATTAAATACGATTAATGCTTCGTAAGAGGTTACTTTGTCTATAACAAGGAATTCAAATACTTACTAATTTGTGCCATTTGACAGGAGAGTGTCGTTCGCCGGTGTTTTCGTCACTAAACAAACAAGGAAAAAGGCTTTCTAAACAAAAATAATAAAATTAAAATAACGATCGAAAAACTGATTGCAAATGTATCGTTTCTTGTTGTATCTTGCAAAAGTATCGTAATAGTTAAGTTATAGAGATAACATACGGAGAAATTTAAATTTGTTAGAAACAAAAATAGTATTTTTATTTGCGAACATTATTGACCTCCTTGTCATAAACAACGCATTTGCATTTTGATAAATTTTGAGATATTGGCACGTAAAGTTTTTTTCTTTGAGAAATGTCAATTACGCAGATTTTAACGATAAAACTGAAACTAAATAAGATATTAAAAAAAACCATTTATTGACATTTCGTTTCGCCGATTTCAGACAATATGTTAATAACCTCAATTTCGCCAAAAATATAGACTAGGTACGATGGTAGATTAATTGTCCCTGAATATTATTAAATATCAAAGTGTTGGGATCCGGAAACCAACACAGAATAGTACCAGTAATAAATAGTAATTGTTTGAAAACTGGAAGACAAAAAAGCGAAATAGATTTCAAGACGTAAAAAATACACTTACGCCTCAGCGCTAAGAGTCTTATCAGTTAAGTAAGCTGATTGCTGTGCAAGTTGTGTGATAGTAAGCGAATTCTGTCGCCAGCTAGTGGGGATTGTGATTGTAGGCTGATCACTCAGTCGGCGAGGAAACTGTCGTAGACTTCCGGTACTCCTTCCCGCCTCATCACCACGTTTCATTCTCGGGTTAACCAAACTGGAACAAACAATTGTGACGTATATACTCTATGTATCTACCAGTGGCGAAGCGGCCACCGAATTCGTCAACCACAACTACCACTAGGTACCTAATAGCAGTTAAGTCCACCAAGTTCCTGCTCGGGCGCGGTGATGTTAACCGTAACAGTTTTATACATATCTTACTCTTTTTTATCACACTCATAGCCCCGCACTATGGAAACACACATAGACAACCACAAATTACACCCAAATTCACGAGAGAAATAAATGTAGGACTTAAACATATTTCTCCCGGCACCGGAATCAAACCCGGGACCTCTTGCGTGGTAGTCCAGCATGGTAACCGTTCGGCCACGGAGGCAGTTACTCTTGGCACAATAAAGCCACATGTGATCATACGTCAAAAATGCTTTTATCATATGAAAGTAAAGAACAAATTATATATTTATTTATTTATTATTTTATAAAAATAATAAATAATAATAAAAAAGGAGAATGTTATCAATTTGATTGTACGTTTTTTGTATGTATGCGGTAACCCGTGAACCGATTTTGACGTTTCTATCTTGTTAGAAAGAGGGTACCCTCAGAAGTGGTCCTATTTAAATTTGAAGAAAATATTCCATCTCTAAGGGTGGCAAACTAGGGGATGAATAACTTTTTTAGTACTCTGTACTGAGATTACTTTTACTTTAATTATCTATAATATCAATAAAATTTTATACACAAACTTAATAGTAGGCATCAAATGCAACAAATATATTACATTGAAGCATTTGCTGCGTGCATACATCAAGTAAGTACTTATTTGATATACTATATGCATTCTTTGTCATTGGTATCTTCCATACGTGTATGTTCAAGCGGGATTATTGTAAAGCTCGTTTTCAATAACCATGATTTTTTATATTTAAATTAATGTACATTTGGCTTATACCGGGGACGAGGATAGTAGACATTATCCGTGATATATATTATTAACCGTGAGCAAGCCCTTACCCTGCTCGACTAAAAGTTGTATGAATTAGAGATCAGTAGAAAACAGCCAGTTACGTCACAATTAGTCTGTGTGGTTACTTATTGTTCTTACAAACACAGATGAATTTTGTTATTATTCTACAAGTTTGTAACTTTAAAGTAGGTACACTTACAATCAACCGTCTCGATCTAGATTCTTCATTATATTAAACTGAATTCTGATGCTATTTTCATTCTTTTGCAAGCAATTATTGAGTAATTGGACTTTTTAATTTAGATAATTTTAATTAGATAATTTAAAAAATCCAAAAAACCATTTTTGAGCCTCTTTTTTCTTGGACATCAAGGATGAAAAACTTGAAAACAATATTTTGACATTTTGACAAATTGACGTAAGATCTGAAACCATAAAGTGCAAAACAAAAATGTCTATGTTATAAAAGAGTAGGTATTCATCAATACATATGTAATGGACTCAGAATTTTCAAAGCTTTAGAAATCTTTCATGATAAGGAGCGCAGCGGTTGTAATCGTGTTGTATGGAGCTTTCGATACTGGTAGGTCAGTAGTTAGTACCTACTCAAGGCTATTTTGTGATGTTTATATTCACAGTTATATGACCGATATCGACTTGAGTATCCTCGAGTTTGTTTTAGAGCACGTACCTACTTCAGCGATAAAACTAAACAAACACCTGTAGGTACTTATTAGGTTACTAGATACATACTTACAACAATGATAAGTCAAAATATATGCTGGTAGCCTGTAACGGGAGAGTAAGAAACCGCTTGCAGAAAATAGTCTTTAGAATTCCTACTGTGTAGGTTGCTGTATGGGCCATCAGCACACTTGATGCAGGAGCTTATTAACAACCCAAAGCAGCAGTAGAGTTCCAATAGGAATAAACCACCAATATATTGTAGATTTTTTTAATTTAATATTTTTAAACCGTAAGGCCAGGCAAAATAAGTAAGTCAGTCGGTAGAGCACTATGGGTATTTATTACATATAAATAAATGGGGCACAGTGATATTACACAGATACTACGACGTAAGTAAATACTTATAACAGGAACTAATACAAAATTACAGCAGAAAAGACACGCGCACATGAAAGACTTCTAACTCGAACCAGTGTTAAACGCTGTGTTGGACACTAACTGGAGCGCGCGGGGGTGCGGGTCGGTAATCACGCATAAAACGGAAGTTACCGGAAGTCCTTTCGTTCTTACCATATTTGGTCATGATAAATGGATATTTTGGCAAAACAGGGTCGATGGCGAGAAGCGCCATCTACATTCGCAAAGCATAATCTACTTCCTCGAGGATGGGTAGTCGTCGCGATATCGGGTAGGACGCTTCCGAGTACGCTTCGGGCGCACTAGATGGGATTGACACGCTATACTCTCCCCCTGCATTTCATGATGACGACCTCGTTAATGAACTGGCGAAAGTAGTTCCCCCCTTGCGTCTGACTCGGTGCGACACTTTCTCATTCGCCGAGAACACTCACGTCGAGGTACTATAGGTACTGCAGCAGTATTAAATCCATCACGATAAGGAGTGAGCTGCTTTGCATTTTCGCAACTTTCGCAAATTTCTATTCGGCTTTACTAATGGCGCAAAGAAGAAAGTCTTAGGAGACACCTTTTTAGTAGGCGTCTGACTGTTGGGAGACATGGTGATCGGAGGATGCGGCCCCGTGTCTATACGGTGCTGAGCGAAAGGTGTCGGCTCTCCCCCTGGCTGAAAAATGTCATCATTGTCAGAATACCGATTCGGATCCAGTAATTAAAACCGCACGCTTTCATCGACCCTAAGCACGTCTGAGCAGGAGCATGAAATGATCCGGTGAATAGGTTCAAAACACATTTTAAATTGAACGCTGCAATTACTAGCAAAATACCAGCACTCACAAGACAGAAGTCTATTACCACCTCAGCCGCAAGGAGAAAATCTATTCCGAGCAATGTTTCATTGTCACCGGCCTCTGGTAAAATTAGAAAAGGAGTTTTTATCACCCTCTCAGACGTCAACTTCGCGAGTATACCCATCGGCGAGCTTAATAGATTTACGTGCGGATCGAAGTGGATGGGCCTTCTGTTTAAGGATTTTGTATAGAGTGTGACCTGCAATAATATGCTTGGCACCAGTATCAATCAACGCGGTTCCACGCGACCTTAAAATTTCTATATTAAAAATGGGTCGTAAAACGCGGCGGAGTAATTTATCGGAGCTTTCACCGGTGCTCGCGACTTTTATAAAATTTTCCTTACGACTACAATTTATATAATGAGCACAAACATTTTTCGAACTACCACAGTTACTTTGTTTTCCACATTTTTCATAGTTGCTACAGTTTGTCACAAATAAATTTTCGTTGTTAAAATTATGATCATTATTCGGAATGTCTAGGTTAACCTTTCGATCCATACAATTGTCAACATTGGACAAAAAAATATTTTGATTATTATTTAAATCGCAAACTTTTTTCAGAATATCCAGGTTAACCTTTCGATCCATACATTTATCGTCGTGAAAATAAAAAAATATTATCACTCGAACAACTATTATCATTCGTAAAAAAATTACAAAAATCTTCTGAATTATCCATAGTAACCTCTCGGTCAATACATTCGGACTTTGTCACAAATAAATACATAGTTAACAGAACGACCAACATTTTCGTGACTGTAACATTTAGAATTGTGAAATGAACGGAATCGCATAAATTCTCGAAATCGTGGAAAGATGAGCGATCAGAGATTTCGAACTAGGTCAGCTGTACCCGTCGGAGAAAAGTTGAATTCTCGCGAAATTTCTTCGGCAAAAATAAATGTTTCACCTATCGCAACATCCGACACGTAATTATCATTAAATTCAGGTAACACCACATCATTATTACTAGAAACGGAACACTGTGCGTCCGTGTTCACACTATAAAAACTTTGTTCGGCGCACTTTTTACAATTTCTGCGAGTTACGTTTTTAGTATCGCACTGATAACAGGAGACGGGAATTGAAGTGTCACACTCACCTCGCTTTGCCAACTTACTGCACAGGTCCTTGTGATACCCGTACCGCTTGCAGTATATACAAAACGGCCGGGTTGCCTTCGACACTGAGCGGGGCCCGATTCCCAGTGGGGCCGACGCTTGGAAAACCAGACGAGTGACGGCGGGCACAACCGTGGCGCGCGTGGGCATCGCTAAGGTCGCTGCGGGCCGTGGTAACGTAGTTGCACCCGCGCCTACCGCGCCTGGAGGGAAGCTAGCAGCGTGAGTCGGTGATGCGGATGTCGGTGCACGCGCGTTGTACCTTGCTGGCTGGTTGAGAGGCGCGGCCACGCCGCGCTTTGCACACCACGCAGTGGATGACGATGTTACACTTTCATCGATAAAATCCTCTATCATGCGTGCATGAGAGATAAGTTCCGCGAAATTACTGCACTCTTCTCGACGTAACCTTTTCCTTATCCTTTGATTTAAAAGGCCGTAAACTATATCGAGTTGAACTTTTTCGGTGAGGTCTCCGAAGTAGATCGACTAGCGATGCGGGGGTAGCGTTACTAAAACACATCTTTGATGCTTGGGAAAGGTCCCAGAACGCTATTGGTGTTTTCTGTGACCTCTCAAAGGCATTTGATTGCGTTGATCATAATACTCTTATTAGGAAGCTGGAACATTACGGTGTAAATGGCAAGGCGTCGAAACTTGTCTCGTCATATCTCAACGGTAGAATTCAGAAAGTAGACATAAATGGAGTGACTTATTTGGGTTCTCCAGTAAAAATGGGTGTTCCGCAGGGCTCAATACTTGGACCTTTCTTATTTCTGATTTATATTAATGATCTGCCATTCTTAGTTAAGGACCATTGCGAAATAGTGTTGTTTGCTGATGACACATCCTTGATTTTTAAAACAGACAGACATGACATTAACTATGACCATATTAATAATACCCTCTCTAAGGTAGTTTATTGGTTTAATGCTAACAATTTATTGCTTAATGCCAAGAAGACAAAATGTGTTAAATTTGAATTACCTAACTTAAAATCGACTAGTCCAAGCATAGAAATAAACGGAGAAAAGTTAGACCTTGTTAATAAAGCAGTCTTCTTGGGAGTGACCTTAGATAGTAAACTTCAGTGGTTTCCACATATATCATCCCTGGCCAGCAGATAAAGCTCCGCTGCTTACGCAGTCCGCAGAATACGTGAGCTTACCGATGTTAGTACTGCTAGACTAGTTTACTTTAGTTACTTCCATAGTATAATGTCCTACGGGATTCTCATGTGGGGTAAAGCGGCAGATATTCAAACCATATTTGTATTGCAAAAACGAGCGATTCGTTCTGTGTACCGTTTAGGCTCTCGGGTATCTCTCAGAGAAAAGTTTAAGGAGACTGGTATCATGACTGTGGCATCACAGTACATTTACTCAAATATTTTATATGCCTGTAAAAATATACATAATTTCAATAAGAAAGAAGATATCCATAATATTAACCTTAGAGCTAAGTCCAAACTCATGGTACCACGATTTCGTTTAACCAAGGTAAACAACTCTTGTATGGGGAACTGTATACGTTTTTACAATAAGATTCCGGAGCATATATTAAGTTTATCATTTCCTAAGTTTAAAAACTACATTAAAAATATTTTGATCGAAAAATCATATTACAAAATTGAAGACTACGTGTTAGATAAAGATGTATGGAAAGACGACATGGCTCCAGAATCCACACAAATTTGATTCAAAGCGTATTCCATGGCATTTAAGTTTATTTGAAAAGAGCAATCCCTAGAGTTTCTTGCTCGTTCTTCTCAGGGAGGTCAGCGTAGTGAACGAGCAGTAGCTTAAATGTGACGTTTTCAAGTGTAAATTTATTTTACCTATGGAATAAATTATCTTTGACTTTGACTTTGACTTTGAAGGACAGCTTCGATAATAGGGCTCTCGCTCAGGCTACAAACAGATCCGTGTTTTCGTCACGTTGTTCCATGGAGAATAACTCTTTATAGATTTTGTAGGGCGGCCGTCAGTCGCCGTAAGCGCTTCGCAATCAAGTAATAACGTCGTTCCACGATGTAGTTTCGTGATTCGGACTTTGTCACCAGATTGCAGCAGGTCCTATCAGGAGCATTGATATGCCGCGTATAGCTTTATCATCGGACACGTTGGCGCAGTCTTTCAACTTTCGACCGCGTCCACGAACGCCTCGACGGAGTCAGAGTGGTCGCCGGACAAGCGAGCGATGCACGTTGTGAAATTATCAGGAGTAGGGTCTGGTGCTGGAGATGTGACAACAAACGAAGCTGGCTCAATTTGCCAGTCCAGCACTCGATCCAATAGCATCTCGAAGGATTCTGCCTGAGAGCGCTGCATCGCAGCCATCATGCTGGATAACAGTTTAATCCATGAATATCACTCAAGATCGGCTCAACGTTGCGTAGCCATTTTATGGCCAGGCAAAATAAGTAACTCAGTCGGTAGAGCACTAAGGGTATTTATTACAAATAAATAAACGGGGCACAGTGATGTTACACAGATACTACGACGTAAGTAAATACTTATAACAGGAACTAATACAAAATTACAGCAGAAAAGACGCTGGCACATGACAGACTTCTAACTCGAACCAGTGTTAAACGCGCTACTTCCTCGAGGATGGGTGGTCGTCGCGATATCGGGTAGGATGCTTTCTAGTACGCTTCGGGCGCACTAATTGGAGGTTGACTTGCTATAACCTTAAATTTTTTTTAAAACTGTCGTTTTGGGGGTGCCAGAACAACAAGTCTCAAGTACAGCTAGGGTATAGCTGTACTTGACGCTGGAGGCTCACAAAAGTATACGCAGGGCAGTCTATGTTCTATAAACGCACGCAATATTGGGTTCAAAGTGTCAGGGATTCTCTCCCTGATACCCCTGAACCAACCGTAGCTTCGATGCCAAACGTTGTCCAGACCCCCTCGCCGTTTCCAGCGACATACTTGGACCACAACGTGGCCGCCGTACCCAACATGTCAAAATACTCCTTCGTTGACTCCTATTGATATAGGCCAGCAAATAGCCACAGCTATTGCCTCTATCGCCCACCACTTCTAAATCGCCTCTGCCCGTGTTAATGGGAAATTATAGAGAGTGGCTTTCATTTCAGAGTAGCTACGCGCGCACTAGCCAGTTCAATGCTGCCACTAACTTGACTCGCTTGGCGGACGCGCTGCGGGGACCCGCCCGTGAAGCGGTGGACGTACTTCTTGATAATACGCAGGAACCAGATGAAGTTTTACGCGTACTTGAGCGAACTTACGCTCCACCGGAGCTAGTGATCGCCCGAGAGGTCGCGGTACTTCGTTCATTTCCTAATGGGACCTATCCAGAGCAACTTAATCATTTTGCAAATAAGGTCAGTAATTGCGTTGCTTCTATCAAAGCCATTAAACAGCAGGAGTACATATTTTCTCCGGAGATAGTTCGTGCGGTACTGTGAAAACTTAACGAGCTAACTAGGGCAAGGTTAGCCGATTTTGCTGCGGAGCACAACACGTGGGTTATTCCAAATTGGAAATTCTCTCTTTATTTGCTGACAGACTACTAAAGGTCACATACATGCCAGACCTCAAGGGCACCTTGGCAACACACGCTGTCAAGCCTCCTATTCCTAAACGGGAATCAATTCATGAAACATCAAGTAAAATTCCTAAGATTTCTATTTGTGTCATTTTCCAGCAAGGACACGCGTCTGTCGCTTGCCCAGGTTGTAAATCGCTGAATGTAGAAGCCAAAATTTGCTACCATTCCGAGTTCTTAGGTTTTCGCGATTGTTACACATAGGAAATGAAACTATTTTTCCGGATTTAAACCGACGTTTCGGGTCCTTTACAGGTCCCATGGCCGTCAACCGTGACCATGGGACCTGTAAAGGGCCCGAAACGTCGGTTTGTTTGAAAAAACAAACATACGCGATTTAAATCCGGAAAAATAGTTTCATTTCCTATTTGCTACCATTGTTTAAAAAGCGACCCACATTGGAACGGTGTGGCGTGAAGTGCTGTAACAGACTTTCCCATTCGCTACTCTATAACTACACCTTGAAACCTGTTCAGCAAACGTCAGGTGACTCAAATAAACCTTCTACATCGCAGCAGGCCAAAGAATGCAATGACCATTCGGTGTCCTACATAAATATTACAGAAACTGTCGACTCAACCTGCAATGTTTCAGCTTTGTCTCAAAAATGCGCACGCCCTCACGCGCTGTTGAGAGTTCTACCTGTATTAGTGCGGGCGCTTCTGCTGAGTTTGAGATCTACGCCCTGCTCGACGTTGACAGCACGGTGACTCTCATCGACGCGGACGTCGCAAACCGAATTGGTGCAGAGGAGTTGTCCAGAGAGTCCATACGCTTAGATGGTGTGGGTGGCATGTCCAAGGTAACGACAGTTGGCTATACAAAATTTTTTATTCGCGATCGCGATATGGCTGACGAATATACTATAGAAAATGCGCGTTCTGTACACGGACTCTCCTTACGCTCGCAATTGATTTCCAAACGCGATCTAGGTGGCTTTAATCATTTAGCACACCTTGCAGACGTCTAACATTTGGAAGAGGCCACCCCTACTATTCTCATAGGTGCGAGTGACTGGCATCTCTCTATAAGCAGAGAAACCCGCGCAGGAAGGCCATCGTAGCCTGTCGCTACGCGTACTCGTCTTGGCTGGAGGTTACACGGATTCGCTTCTTGTAGAACAAAAGCGGTAGAGTTTGTTATCAATCTTAATGAACTAGAGCATGACTCCATTGTAGCACCTTCGCGAGAACAAAACAGTCTGGATACAACAAGTGTAGTTGTGTTAAAATTACGCGGAGAAGCTAGATCATACAAACCAGTATATAGAGTCGTAGAGATCCTAGATGATAGTTTAAATGTAGCTGTTGACGCTACATTTAAACTACAAACTACAAACAGTCTAACTGGGCAGACCGTTGATTTGTGGATCTCTCATTTCACCTGACTCCTCCTAAAGAATGGCCAGTCAAGGTAATACGCAATGGAGAACCTGCACCGGACTTACAGCAAACAGTGGTTGTACCTTCAGATGAGGTCCTCCTTCCACAGTCTATAGTATCGGGACCCGAATCGGTTCAGCATATGGCCACGTTTACTAAGGGCTGCAGTCCGCATTGTTTAGCCGCGAGAATGTCTAGATCTTCCCTTGGTTTGCCCTTAACTCTAAATTCAAAATTATTTTGTATTCAAAATATTCATCTGCCATCGTCATATTACTAGCTGAGTTATCACTTCTCTTGAAGTCGCAGGCTGACATCTTTGGAGTCGAAATGGCCCACATTCATGAGTCCAAGCCCATTTCAAAAACAAGCCGTCTCTCATCATTTTCGCCTAGGCTTCAGGACGGTCTCCTGGTTTTGGATTTGAGAATTAAGGCACTGCCCAATGAAGACGAACACACGAAGAACCGCATCCTCCTCGACGATCGCCATCGCGTCATATGCCTATTAATCGCCAATCTCCATAACAAGGCTAGTCATGGCTTTCACGAATATGTACTCAACGATTTAAGAGAGCATTTCTGGGTGCTACGAGGTCGGAGAGCTGCCAGAGCCGTGGCGGCAGAATGTTTTGAACGCAAACGCCGTAAAAGCTCCCCACGATGTCCACGCGACCTTCCTCCGGAGAGACTTCTTCATCATACAAGACCATTTACCAACGTCTGCCTTGATAACTTCGGCTTGTATCGATCGGCCGACGCTGTGAAAAGAGGTGGGTAACTGTTTTCCCCTGTTTAGTCACTCGCGCCCTTCATCTAGAAATAGTAGCCACTCTATCAACTGACTCCGCCATAATGGCCCTAAGAAGACTGATTGCGAGACGAGGCTGCCCGAGTAAAATTCTATCTGTTAATGTTGTAGTGTCGCGAGACGAGAATTAATTGCACCTTCTGGACTCCCTATTGAAACCTACTCTGCCGTCAACAAAACACAATGATGTTCGTACTCACGGCCGCCCCTTTCATGGCTGGCGAATTGGACGACAGCGATCTGAAGCTAAGGTCATTATGGAAACAGCTTACTCTCAACAGGATACCGTCCAGCCCATCTGCGAAAAGCACTCCATCGCTGTCAGTAGCACAGGTGATATTATTGTAATCGCTCACTTGCCGACAACACCTACCAGTTATTTGCCACTAATTAACCGTGCTCTGCACCAGGGCCCGGGATGTTGGCAACTGGCTGGTGCAGTGGCTCGCTGACAGCGAAGAATAATTTAAACCTCTGACAGTCGTTGTCAGAGGGCCGCCAGAGCTATACATTATTTGATCAAATTGTGAACTATATTTAAATGTACTATTTAGCACTTTCCTGATGTTATATTTGTCCGCTGGTTTGTTAACAATAGTCATTCGGGGTATTCATTTTTATATATATCCGGAACGGAAACCGGAAATCAAACTGTGCTCATTACTTACTACCTATTTTCTACTATTTAGTATTTTTCTTGACATATTTTCTACTTTGCGCTAACGGAAATATTAAAGAAATAAAGTGGCCAGGCATTCTGACGTCAGGTTGGCTGGACCACTTTACGTTTTCCATGGTTCTAGCAGTATATGATTTACTTTTTTTATATAGCTATTTTCTACCTAATTTCTTCCTAAACATACTTTTTTTTCACTATTTCAGAAAGCTTCTATAAAAAGTTATTTAAAAAAAATAATAAAACGCCTTTGCAAAAAATATCATCTAAAAAAGACAGTTTATCTTCTCTGTGTAATTGCTAATAATAGTTTTGCAGGCGCTTAGACTAAGCCAACAATGGTTTCTGGATTATCTTTGCAAGCTATATTTTATTACAATTATTGTAGTAATTACAAGCTGAATTCACTATTACAAACGTAAATTCCATGTGTAGGTATTAAGAAATGCGAACGAATTATAACCAGTTATTTAATCGTTTAGTTGTCATTTGATAGTAAATATTCGGAACTATCCAAAGTATTCACAATGGTGAAAATAATTGTGCTAAGTCTGCTTTCATAACGTCATTAATAATTAAAAATAGTAATAAACTAGTAACTTAAACGCATTAACGATGAAAGGAGATAGACCGTCAGCATCACCGTTAGAAGAACGAAAAAGTGTGATTTCTAAGTTTGAAAAGTATTTTTAGATATAAATGACCTTCCTTCACCCTGTGATCAAGTGTTCAGAAATCTTAGTGAACTGTTACAATATAAGATGCCAGAAAAATGTTCAGTTTTATCCGTGGGCCAGAACCCAGATAAGCCTGAAACTATTTTTCTCGAAATACAGTACATAACTTGCATTGGTTTAATTGAATATGTCTTAAAATATATATAAAAAATTCTGAAAAAAAATTTCAGTGCATGACTTTCAGGGAAAGACCCGGCCTACATATAGGACAGTAGGATAATGAGTATAGAATAGGCCTTATATTAACAATGACAAAACTCATTTTCTTCTGCGTACTTATTTAGAGAATCGGTGGATATAATAAATGAACTTATTTTTTTATTATATATAATAAATTTCAAAACATTTGACACATACTCCAACATCACATTATCAGTAATGGGAATTTCGCCTCGAACAAACTAAAAGCAAGGCTAAAGTAATATGTTTCTGGGCAACTTGTTTAGCGCCACACTATCCTCTTTCCGAATCTTCATGAGCAGGGCAGTCGGGCTCAACGGAGGGGTGGTGGAATATATATTTCCCTGTTTCTGTAATCTTCATCATCAACATCAATATTTGAAGAAGCTGAAGCATCTAGTAACTCATGCGCTGCTAATGGTCTGCTAAGAAATTGCTTTTTACCAAGCATCGATTAATTGATAATATTGATGGGAAACCAAAGGTTATTTAACTATGTAAAAACTTTGAAAAATGAAATCTTAACGTGAATTATAATATTTTGTACACACCTTTTATGTGACATATCTGCAACTTACTATTATGGTACATTTTTAAATGAAATATTTCAGAAAAAACATACAACTTGGGTTTTTTTTATTTTTGCCACAATATTACAAAGACTCATTATCACACATTTTCATAATTGATGAAAACCTTATAAATAAATAATAAATAACGCACACACTCAACATAGCCCCGCACTAGGGAAACCCTATGTCGCGGGTGCCATGGACACACACATAGACAACCACAAATTACACCCAAACTCACGAGATAAATAATTGTAGGCCATACAACTATTTCTCTCGGCCCGGGAATCGAACCTGGGACCTCTGCGTGGCAGTCCGGCATGGTAACCGTTCGGCCACGGAGGCAGTTAACTTACAATAATAACACTTATAGGTGGGTAGTGAGGTATATTTTTAATCTTACTGACCTGTATGTAGGACAGTAGGTTTATTGGGTTAATTTCTACGTATAATGTGTTCCATTAATTACAAAATTGGTCCTACTGGGAATCCAATGCTTGTGACCTCCTCATCCAGTATTCAGAATGCTAACGGGTGAGCTAATGAGATTGTTGACCCATTGTACAATACAATACAATATATTACAAATATTCTTTATTGTACACTGAGACAAATACATTAATAAAAAAAAGGTACAACTGGTGGCCTTATTGCTAGATAGCAACTTTTTCCTGGCTACTTTGGGGTTACAGGACAAACTAAAGGTAATAATTGGATAATTGAAGGGGCAACAGAATATAGTTACATAAATTAAAAGTAGGATTACTTAAAACATAATAATTTTATTATTACTTAAAACAGAAAATTTAAAACACGTAGGAATAGGGATAAACGGATAATTAGGGAGTATAAGGTAGGCAATAAATTTTGCTTTGCTGCAAAACTCTTTTGCGTTTTATTTTGTTAGCGCTATATCAAATCACACTTTTTAAGTTTTGCTGTTAATTACCAAACTCTCTGTAGACCAGACAATAGCAGAAATATACACATACAATGCTTAAACTTTATCAGCGCCGAAGCTACTTCGTATATTAAAACATTGGATAGGTTATTTTGCGGCATGTGACCAGACCAAATACCTTCACATGACACGACACGATGACGGTCTCGAGTATGTATCGTTGAATGATTTGATTTAGATCAGGGCCCACCAAAGCGAACTGAATTAAAATAGTATTGTTGTCGCCGGCCAAGTAGATCTGCCAGACAGCTATTATTGTATAACTATTGTACTAATCTCAACCCTAAAAACAATTCATTGAGACGCGTCTGCGATGTGCGTAAGTGATATTATCAATGTATGTCTAGGTAAACACTTTTGGAATTTATATCACTATATTCTTATATCACTATAGATATATTTTTTTTAATCTTCATTTAATTTTATCACTTTTATTTTAGAAAACATGCCAGTCTTATCATAACTTTATTCTGATTGTGATGCAATTTACAGTAAAAATTATTTTTTTATATTATACACACACATATATATATATGTATATATATATATATATTAAAAGTACTACGTTAACTATCGCCCATTTACTATTTCACACAACATTTTTGTATATTTTGACAAGGGGCAGAATCCCTTGAAAGAAGTTGACGTTGGAGCGGAATTGTATGGAAACATCAGTAGTTGTCACAGGCTTTCGTTCTTGGTACATTCCGGAAACAAGTGTTGGTCGTCTTCAATTTCATTACTAACTTCACAATTTGGCGAACTCACTTTTTTCATAAGATATCCAAACCTGTTCGACGTATAATGTCGGGAACGTAGTCTAAACATTATAACAACATCTAGCCTGCACAATTCAGAATTATTAAACCACGGTATGTGGTGTGGCTCACATTGTAATGTTCCGTATGCCTTTATCTCTGGACCTTACATTAAAGATTTCTTTCCAGCTGTCAATACTTAGTTTTTTATATTTAGTTAGGATTTCGTGATAAAAGGGCAGTAGGTATCCGTATACTAGGTTTAAATTATGTGAATAAAACTGGGTGGCCGCAGTAAGGTGTCCAAGATGCTGGCAGCGTTCACCTTTGTATGGCTATACTAATGCGTTGGACAAGATAGCTTAAGTTTCTTCTAGCCCGTAAGTTTCACAGACAGTCTATTAATGTTTTGGATAAAATTTTGTACAGACGAAGGGCACCGAGACCCCACAGGCCAAGGGTTTCGACTCGAAAGACTGTAAATAGATACCTATATTAAGATACATGCACAGTCGGATAATATAAACTCGTGGTATAATAAGGACACATGTGATAATATTATGTCCAAAGTGCTTTTTATGCCATGAAAGTCAGAAAAATAATACGGACTACATGAAACTAATTATGTACTGTAATGATGTATGTGAAATTATACAGGTAACTCTCCTATTTAATCATAAAAAGTTATTGACTAATTTCGTGAAAAGTTGTCAGCGTGTGCAGATTCCAAATGTCGACTTAGACGAGGCTATTTTTCTGTCACAGTCGAAATTTTCAGACTAATTTGAAAGAAACTATAATATCAATAATTATTACTTCTTTAAGAAAAGAACTACATGTACAAGCTAAACTGATCTACAACAATTCAAAATTAAGATTGTACTTAAATACAATTCTTGAATTTCGATGTGTGCGTGCGTGTGCGTGTGCGTGCATGCGTGCGTGTGTGTGATTATATTAGAAAAGTAGAGTACAGATATCTATTCTCATCGTTGATCAAAATATTAACCATACGAGTGGAGTCGAAAAACAAATTTGAATTGCGGTGTAAAGAAAATTATACGATTCGCCAGCATTTTCAAAATGAACTCTGTGCATTTGGAATAGAGTATTACACTATGACCGTTTTTCAGTTATTAATGGTGCGTTTTATGTAAGAACTGTTGACGTAGTGATTACGTAAGTACTTTCTGTGTGACGCCATAGGAGCTACGCTACGTAGCATGAAACCTTGGCAACGTCAGGTATAAGATGTTACAACCGATCCAAACTATTGTATAATATAAATGCAACAATTTAATTAGGTGTGTGTATGTGTGGTCTCTTAGGTAAGTAATTATAGACAAATATACAGTAATTAATGTTTTATTTTACATATTATTATCTCTTCATAACGACTACACTAAAACAAACTGAATTGGTTATTTCAGGCCAGGCAGTGTGGGTGAAAAATAGGGACATGCAGAGATAGCCTTTTCATCCTCATAGGATTAGTATTAGAAATCAGCGTTAATAGTTTATGATTATACAATGTGTATACATATA